TTGCCCAAGCCCATTCATAGTCCTATCGTCGACAATAGCCTCTTCTCAACTTCAAGGGAAGTCATCAAACTGCGTTGTTCGATAAATGACATTTTACTGCAAGCTAAGGGAGATAAGTTCACCTGTTATCTCACGAGAACCCTTGGCCCCAGATGTTAGATCGGGACAACTTCCACCCCAACAGTTCGCCTTCTTGTCTCAACTTCATAACGGTCGTTTAACTTTTTAAAGCGGGTGGGTGATTATAAATACATAGTCACTATCTTAACGCTTGATGTGGGTTATCTGGCCTGAAGGTTGCCCCTAAATATGATATCACTAGAAACTCCCCCCCCCCCCCCACACACACACGCACTGGTCTACACTACAAATACGACTCGCCAGTTTATTGATCTTTGACACGGTTATGTCCCCTGGTTCAACAATCTATCAGAGGCTGACAGTGGTAGCCACAGTGTGGACAGCAATTAGGGGATGACCACATGACTTAAGAAATGACCACATGACTTAAGGAATGACCACATGACTTAAGGAATGACCACATGACTTAAGGAATGACCACATGACTTAAGGAATGACCACATGACTTAAGAAATGACCACATGACTTAAGAAATGACCACATGACTTAGGGAATGACCACATGACTTAAGGAATGACCACATGACTTAAGGAATGACCACATGACTTAAGGAATGACCACATGACTTAAGGAATGACCACATGACTTAAAATTAGTTGACCAAGACTCCAACACTGGTGCAGCTTTTTTTTTCCCCGCAGACCGGCGGTGCTGATGTAGTTGTAATGTGCAGATGTGAATGCTGATGTAGTTGTAAAGTGCAGATGTGAAAATCTTGGAATAATCCAGTCGACCTATCTAAGCCAACTACATAAACTGCAAACTTTCTCTCAATGTTGTCAAAGTCGAAACCTTCCTTATGTCAGATTAATGACTTAAAAAATTCTCAATAGTACTTAAGGAAAAGAAATGTCAGACTAGGAACTTGTTCAATAGACACCGAATATAATTATATCGGGCATTACATACACCGTCGGGAACTTAACAACTATATCTGTCATTGCATAAACTTAGGGGAACTTAACAACTGTATCTGTACACTTGTACATACACAAACACTCGGTGAACGTAGACCACATGACGTAACACAATTCATGACGTAACACCATTGTCTCAGCTCGCCACATCTCAATCCCCGCGAGAAACACCAAGCGGGCCTTAATGACGTCACATCCGCTTGATTTCCTAAGTAAGAGTTCAGTTTGAAAAAAAGTGGGGAAATCCACCCGTCACCCCATAGAACTGTCGCCCTTTGAGATAATGGGATCTATGAATGGTCAATTCAAACCGTTATCAGCCCGGTAGGCCTACAGGTAGCAGCGTAGTACACATCTGAATGGGCCGGTGGGCACGGCAAGTTTGACGCTTATCAAAGCGAGACGAAGACCTAGTTAAAACCCGGGTAAGAAAAACGAAGAAGTGGAGTTGAAGAGGAAAATGTCGATAACAGCCAGTGGTAGAGAAAACAGGGGAGAGAAGTCTAGGGCCACTCAGGGAAGATAACCTGTAATACCTTTAATTCCTTCTTCACCCCCGCCTATCATTGGGCTGAGAAGCGAAGTTCAAGTGGTCAAATCTACCTCAAGATTCAGAGACCTACACCAGGTCCGGTAAGCCGTGGACTCAACGTTTTATTAGAGTGGTCGCCCCTGTTGGTCTCATTTCCTCTATTGACCCGGTTTTGGTTTGACAAGAGTTTACACTACACAGTCGAATACACCCTAATGAGCATGCTTCATTAATTGACATACACCCTAGTGAGCACTCTTCATTAATTGACATTCTTCATTAATTGACATATACCCCAATGAGCATGCTTTATTAATTGATATACACCCTAATGAGCATTCCTCATTAATTCGCATATACATTAATGAGCATGCTTCAGTAATTGATATACAACCTAATGAGCATTCCTCATTAATTCGCATACACATTAATGAGCACGCCCAATACATTGTTGTACGTGAGAGGCGATTGTAATAACTTTTTAAACTACTATCTTGTCAGTGCTAAACCCTGAAAGCTGAGTACAGAAGGACTGGAACGACGTAAAACCACCAAGAAAGTCTACGTGAGTAAGCTTGAAGTGACCGCTTGACCCAACCAACTCGCGGGATTATTTCCACCGGAAGTAGGTCCGAAGACCCACTCACTGCATCCTTCCGGTCCTGAACCCCGAGCCCCACTCAAGTGAACCCTGTTGTTTCCCTACCCAACCGCCGTCAGCGCTAATAGAATAAACGAAGATACATGTGGGCTGGATTAGCGCGGCCCGACCCCGGGATGAGCCGCGGCCCGACCCCGGGATGAGCCGCTTGGATAGTAAACACCTTGGTCTTCATTACCTCCCCTCGTGATCATGGTTCCATACGACTTCTCCATAACAAAACCTGCAGACGACTCAACCAAACCTGCAGACGACTCCTCCAAACGTGCAGACGATAATTATATTGAGTATTGTTTGACGACTGCGTAAATGAAAGCCTTCGAACCGTGTCGGCTTTTTAGTATTGATGTTAAGCTTTGTTAAGTAATCAGCGTGATAATTGTGGGCAGTATAAGATGGCTGAGCTATTGTTGCGATGTGATGATGATAGCAAATCATATCAACTACGCCTTCTTGCCATTTCATACGCGCTAATTCAAGGTTTGTATTTAAAAAAATGAATTTAAAAAAAAAAAATTGAAAGAAAATGTCTTTGTTTTTTTGTTAAAATTAAAACATAGTACAACATGTCATGTGTGTGAGGCCATTAGTCTGTTTTGAAATCTCTGTCTCATTGTATGTTTGTTGTAATACTTCTTGTTCTCGGGCCGGTCAAAAGAATCTAAAACGTGAAAGCTTTGTATGTGTAATGGTTTCTCGTGGAATGTTTATTTTTTTTTTTTTTTTGTATTTATATTATTACATTTAAACACATTTCCTTTTTATACCATGCCATTCTTTAGTATGCATTCTGCATTATTAAAAAAAGAAATAAGAGAAGTAATTGCTTTTTAATTTGTTTAGTACAAATGTACAAATGTATTAAAAGGAGCTTATGAGCATCCCAATATATATATATATATATATATATATATATATATATATATATATATATATATATATATATATATATATATATATATACATATATATACATATACATATATATATACATATATATATATATATATATATATATATATATATATATATATATATATATATATATATATATATATATATATGTATATATGTATACATATATATATACACTTGCCAGCATACTTAAACACATACTGGTCAGCTTAATGAGAGGAGGGAGACAAAGGTTCCTTGACCTCCGGCTCATGTGTTGGTCACGTGACGTGTAATCTCCGGCCCAAATGTCTAACCAGTGGCTAAACTAGAAGATGTGAGCGTCGCTCGTACATCACACACAGCCGTAGATGGGGGATAAGCCCAACTGGGGGGGGGGGGGGTCCCTGGGGGAGGGGTATAAATTATTCCGACGACGACCAAATGTCCAACCCACACAACCCCACTGGAGTTGTCACTCTTTGATGCTTTGTTTTGTTGTCAAATGACGACACAAGCGTTTGGTTGTTGAAGACAGCAGCCTGGAATGTGTGCATCAAGATTTTTTGACACGAACTCTCTACTACACAATACACTCAGTTAATTAGACGAGAACTTTAGGAGGGAGAATCGACCCTCAACCTCACGCAAATTTTGACCCCCAGTCTTTTGGGCGGGATCGATATTTGGCTGCGGCATTTCCTGGAGTCTGTGAGAAAACTTTTGTCTTGCACGTGTTTTGGTGGACAGACAGACAGACAGACAGACAGACAGACTGCAAGGGGTAGGGGTATCTGATGTAACAGTCGAGTCTATCTGATGTAACAGTCGAGTCTAGGGTATCTGATGTAACAGTCTAGTCTATCTGATGTAACAGTCGAGTCTATCTGATGTAACAGTCGAGTCTATGGTATCTGATCTAACAGTCGAGTCTATCTAATGTAACAGTCGAGTCTAGGGTATCTGATGTAACAGTCGAGTCTAGGGTATCTGATGTAACAGTCGAGTCTATCTGATGTAACAGTCGAGTCTATCTGATGTAACAGTCGAGTCTATCTGATGTAACAGTCGAGTCTAGGGTATCTGATGTAGCAGTCGAGTCTATCTGATATAACAGTCGAGTCTATCTGATATAACAGTCGAGTCTATCTGATATAACAGTCGAGTCTAAGGCATCTGATGTAACAGGTGAAAGTGACTAACGTTTCAAAAACTTATGAAGCTGCACTCAATAAAATATTCTTCTTATAACAACACGTGTACTATGCACAAACAACTAAGCATACATTTACAGATTGGCGCAGATTAAAGGTTTTGGTACAGTCAAAGGGAAATAACAAGGAAATAAACGTTCGGCTTTAAAAGATAAAACGAGTTGTTTCCCCTGATAAAGCACTTTGTAATAAATATTTGTTTATACTATATATATTATACACACACACACACACATATATATATATGTATATATATACATATATATAATATGGGGACGGCATGGCTTAGTGGTAGACTGCTAACCCAAATCAGGGTTTAACTTTCCTGAGTCTACTTAGCTCTGATGGGTACTAACTCACGTTAAGAAAGCAAAGGCAGTGGACATAGTGCTGACTGCACCATCTCTTCAAAGGTCAAAGAAACAGGCAAACTCTACTTCACTTGCCCCATAAACCATCAGGTTTGATAAAGGAATTTTATATATATATATATATATATATATATATATAAAATTGACAGGAGATAATAGTATTTCTCCTATACCCAATATAATATAGATGTATAACCACACTACCACCATAATCTTTGGTTTAGATACAATAATAAGATGAGCCAATTTAAAAACAAAACAAAGCCCAGATAATAGTTTGTCATATTTATTTCTTAAAGCAGAAACGTCATAAAATTTAAATTTATGATAACCTTTGTCTACCTGCCTGTCTAACTACAGGTGTAGCCAACAAGGAGAAAACACATGACATAAGCAAAGCCTCACTAAACAAACAGGCGGTTGTGGTTTCAACAAAAATAAAAAGTGTAACAAATATTGGGATCAAAGGGAAATCACTCAAAATTTTATTTTTCTAAAGGTCATCAGAAATGTAAATTTTTGGTAAATAAAATAAATAAATCTAAGAGCAGATGCTCCATCATTTTGTATATAAACTAAAATGGACATGCAGCATGATTTAACTAGCTTTGGCAGGGAAGATACACTGAACAAAGGTATGCACCCTTCACAAAACTAATTAGTCAAAGAAGAGAATAATTTATATAAGGATGTCACCTTCATATTGGGAATGTTTAATGAGCTATTGTTAGATTTTATTCATTCTTTAATACATTATTAACAAATTGACTTTATTACTGTCTAATACATAAAGCAACAAAATATACAAATATCTATAGTACCTCGCTTAAAAAAAGTTTTAAAATAGAAGCTAGAAAATAAAAAGTTGGCATCAAAATCATAGGACACAACAAGTGGTTTTATTTGAGCTCACTGGGATGTGCATGTGAACAAAGCTAAGGCACTAGAACCTAACTGGTGAGTAACCCACAGACATGACCTCTTCTAACTGCTCGCATTTCTTCAAATATCACTCCAGACAAAATGGTTGCATTACTTCTTCAAATATCACTCCAGACAAAATGGTTGCATTACTTCTTTAAATATTAGTATATATAGACAAATATTTGCTTTCGGATTTAAAAAGAAAAACTGGACAAAAATAGAACTAAATAAATCTAGACCTGTTTATCACATAAAAGCAGCATCTAGGCAGCGTGAGAGAAATAAAAACAGTGTCCTCCTTCTCATATCCAGAGATTAAATTTACAAGTCTAGGTGAGGGATTTATTCATCAAAACATTTTTTTCTAACAAAATACTGAGTGATACTCTAAAACTGACATGCATATTTGATATTAAATTACATAAAGAAATGACCACCTATACAAATTGTTTGTATGCATAGTTATTAGTTGCAGTGGGGGAAAAAAAAGAAAATTAAGAAAATATTTTTGTTCATTGACTCAGCTAGGCTGGGAGCTGTTTACAACACTGAGGTCGATGAACTAAGATAAGATAATCACATACTTTAATAGTTGCATAAAGTGAAATAAAGTTCAGAACTTAAATTCATAATTTAACTTTGGCAAAAGTGTTCATACATGCTCATAAAAAATGTTATATAAAACTTTTTAAACAAAAATTATCGGAGAATAAAAAAAAAATCTTTAAAATTGTGATGTAAAGTTGTGTTAATAAAATTGAAGGTTGTCTGCCCTTAGTGTAGGGATGGTCAGTTATCTGCCCACCCAAAATAGAGGTAGGCCTATCACTTTACCCCAACTGATGACTTATTTAAATTATGCCCAAAATAAATGTGCTAAGACAAGAAAACCCACAGGCTCTATATCTCATGGTGATTGTTGGTGATTTATAAACATTTTAATAAAATGTTTAATTATAGTGCTTTTTTTTTGGTCATTTAAAAACATATATTCAAGATACAATGTTTCATTTATGGTGATTTTTTGTTGTTGTGATTTTTAAAATATTTTGAAAAACCCTGTTCAGTTTATTGTGATTTTTTTTGGCAATTAAAAAAAAAATAAGCAAAAAAAAAAAAAGGAAGGTTTAATTTATTGTGACTTTTTTAATGATTAAAAATATATTTTAAAAAACCCTGTTCAGTTTATTGGACTTATTTCAAAAAAATAATTTGAGAAACATTTATATTATAATAATTTTGTTGATATAAAAAGTAATAATTGCAAAAACCTGTTCATATGGCTCTATCAATTAAGAAAATAGTTAATTAATAACGAGGAGATTTTTGTATAACAAAACAGAAGGAGTAGCACTTGGATGAATGTTGAAAGATATTTACAAAGCAATGTCAAACCAACATTGTGCTGATGAGGGTGTATGTACAAGTAAGGTGAGAGGCAGAAAACAGTCCTAGAAGACCAGACATTCAGGCACAGGCAGAAAACACAGTCCTAGTAGACCAGACATTCAGGCACAGTCAGAAAACACAGTCCTAGAAGACCAGACATTCAGGCACAGTTAGCTACACACAATGTAATACAACAATCATGGACTTACAGGCTCAGCTCTTCTTGCTATGTAGCATCATTTTTTTAAATTAAAATTTCAATAGCGTTTAAATGTTTAAGTGTTTAGTGACTGTAACGTGAGATGAATAATTTGATGATGCATGCTGCACAGAAATAAAGTATGACTTAGGTCCGCCATTTGAGCTGATCACATATTATAACAACAAAGTCATTGGCTCTATGCACATTAATTAAATAAAAAAATACAATAAGGTTCTATAAAATATTTTCAGAATCCATCCCATCTCAACAGTGCTACAGCCAAGAGGGGGCAATCAAATGGCCTATTACACCACAGTGGGCGTTGGAAGAATCCTATGGGCCCTACAGCCTCATGTGGGACATGCCCTGTATCTTATCATATCCAGGCTACTTATGAAATAAATTAAAAAATAACAATCAAATGACTAAGTGAATGGGATGAAATGAAACAGTGAGAAATCACATGAGAAAAAAAATCACAACCAGCATCTACTGTAAGTTCTTCGCACTCATCCTTCGACAAGACTTGTAAGTTCTTGGTTCTTATCTTCATTACATTGCAGTTTTTAAACACACAATCGTCTCAGAATTTTACAAAAAAATTATGTAAAAAATGTCCAACTTATCTAAATCCAGCAGCTGCAATAAAAAAAAAGTTGAGCAATTGTGAACTTGGTGAAATGCCAGCCCAAAGCAAAAGAGATTTGTTGACTTGATTTCAGTTGTAGTCCATGTCACAACATGAAGAGTGGCAGCTTGCTAAGTTAAGAAATGATGAAATAAAAGCACTCAAAACAGAATCACTGGCTTGATCAACAGCATCACAACAGCTGAAGCAGAAAACTAGAGAATCACAGAGAGAGAGAAAGGGAAACCAGCAAGGCCTACAACTGGAATCAAGGGAAGTTACTGTTGGATTCAACATTTTGTTTTGGGTTTTTTAGCAATCACATCAATCACAAAGAAATCAAAAGGACAATTCATTAAAAGACATGTTATAATTCACTGTGGCTTTTACAAGTTTGCAGGAATTGACATAACAAAGAAATAAGTTTAACAAGATTTTCCTAATTAGGATAATTACACTAATCTAAATCTGAATGAGGTGCAGCAACAAATTAAAACATGGATAAAAATTGTCTGAAAATTTGTGAGCTTCCACCGGTCCAATGCAACAGATGCCAGTTTTATGCATAGCCTCATTTCTTGTATAAAACAATAGCATAAAACTAAAGGAATTGGGGAGTTGTTCTAAGTAAACTGGGGAGTGGTGTAGTTCTGACCATCTGGGGATTGGGGAGTTGTTCTAAGTAAACTGGGGAATTGTGTAGTTCTGACCATCTGGGGAATTGTGTTGTTCTAACCTTCTGCAATCACAGGCTGGGATATCACTAGGGACATAACACACACATCTGTTGTACACTCAAACTGCTAGAACAACAGGGGGAGTAACAACATCAGGGGCAGTAACTGGAATGTTTACATACACTTTGGACAACTGGATTGAATTAATTGACTTGGTACAGCTCAACGAATGCTGCCCTATGGAGAACCCTAATAAAAGCACATTATAATACTTAAACATTCTAGAAAAACAGCAGGAATTTAGTGAATGAAAATGTTACTAATAAGTCCATAATTGACCACTTGTGGCTGCTAGCCTATCATCCTGTGGATTGAAAACTGTTGGAGCTTGTGGTCAAGCCGTTGGTCAGCAAGTGCTCCTCAATCTGCCAGCATGGTCTTAAGTGTCTTTGATGTTGAGACATCTTGTAAATGCTTGGTTGTGTACCTAATAAGGACATCAACACATTAGTACAATCATTTAGCACAATTAGAAACTGACAATAGAAGGTAAGAGTGGCCCTGTAATTTAGGGGACAGTGCAGTCAAATGGTACCTAATCTCTGTAATAAGTTGGTTTAAGTTTAAATCCTTAGTCTCAGCTATAATGTCTGAAAAAAGTCTGATGTATGTCTGACAAAGTCAAACAAGTCTGATGTATGTTTGATGGTAGTCAAAGAGAAGTCTGATGTATTTCTGATGTGTTTGATGAAGTCAAACAAAGGTCTGATGTATGGGTTGAAGTCAAAACAAAAGTCTGTTTTTACAGTTGAAGTCAAAACAAAAGTCTGTTTTTACAGTTGAAGTCAAAACAAAAGTCTGTTATTACAGTTGAAGTCAAAACAAAAGTCTGTTTTTACAGTTGAAGCAAGTGTGACCGGCCTAATCTGATAAGAAAAGTGTGACTGATTAAGTCAGTGACAGATTAAGCCAGTGACAGATTAAGCCAGTGACTGATTAAGTCAGTGACAGATTAAGTCAGTGACTGATTAAGTCAGTGACTGATTAAGCCAGTGACTGATTAAGTCAGTGACAGATTAAGCCAATACTGATTAAGTCAGTGACAGATTAAGTCAGTGACTGATTAAGTCAGTGACTGATTAAGCCAGTGACTGATTAAGTCAGTGACAGATTAAGCCAGTGACTGATTAAGTCAGTGACAGATTAAGCCAGTGACCGATTAAGTCAGTGACTAATTAAGTCTGTGACTAACAAAAAAGCCTTACAAATAAACAGAGCAACAAGAAGAGGCTGGGTTTTGTTTACCTTAATGCATTCAACAAAGCCTCCACTTTAGTCCTCTCCTGGTCTTTCAAAAGTTTAATTGAACTTTTCATCTAATAGACAAAAAATAAAGTAGCTATTAGTCTTTTGAATTACATGGTCAAATAACTCTAATTAATTTTTTTTTATGCCAATCTTTATACTAATGTACTAACTTATACTAAGGTACCAACCTCTATACTAAGGTACCAACCTCTATACTAAGTTACCAACCTCTATACTAATGTACCAACCTCTATACTAAGGTACCAACCTCTATACTAAGGTACCAACCTCTATACTAAGGTACCAACCTCTATACTAAGGTACCAACCTCTATACTAAGGTACCAACCTCTATACTAATGTACCAACCTATACTAATGTACCAACCTCTATACTAAGGTACCAACCTCTATACTAAGGTACCAACCTATACTAAGGTACCAACCTCTATACTAATGTACCAACCTATACTAATGTACCAACCTATACTAATGTACCAACCTCTATACTAAGGTACCAACCTATACTAAGGTACCAACCTCTATACTAAGGTACCAACCTCTATACTAAGGTACCAACCTCTATACTAAGGTACCAACCTCGATACTAATGTACCAACCTATACTAATGTACCAACCTCTATACTAATGTACCAACCTATACTAATGTACCAACCTCTATACTAAGGTACCAACCTATACTAAGGTACCAACCTCTATACTAATGTACCAACCTATACTAATGTACCAACCTCTATACTAATGTACCAACCTATACTAATGTACCAACCTCTATACTAAGGTACCAACCTATACTAAGGTACCAACCTCTATACTAAGGTACCAACCTCTATACTAAGGTACCAACCTATACTAAGGTACCAACCTATACTAATGTACCAACCTCTATACTAAGGTACCAACCTCTATACTAATGAACCAACCTCTATACTAATGTACCAACCTCTATACTAATGTACCAACCTCTATACCAAGGTACCAACCGATCTATCCTTATACTAAGGTACCAACCTCTATACTAATGTACCAACCTCTATACTAAGGTACCAACCTCTATACTAAGGTACCAACCTATACTAAGGTACCAACCTATACTAATGTACCAACCTCTATACTAAGGTACCAACCTCTATACTAAGGTACCAACCTCTATACTAAGGTACCAACCTGAATACTAAGGTACCAACCTCTATACTAAGGTACCAACCTCTATACTAATGTACCAACCTCTATACTAAGGTACCAACCTCTATACCAAGGTACCAACCTCTATACTAAGGTACCAACCTCTATACTAATGTACCAACCTCTATACTAATGTACCAACCTCTATACTAAGGTACTAACCTCTATACTAATGTACCAACCTCTATACTAAGGTACCAACCTCTATACTAAGGTACCAACCTCTATACTAAGGTACCAACCTCTATACTAATGTACCAACCTCTATACTAAGGTACCAACCTCTATACTAAGGTACCAACCTCTATACTAAGGTACCAACCTATACTAAGGTACCAACCTCTATATTAAGGTACCAACCTCTATACTAAGGTACCAACCTCTATACTAAGGTACCAACCTCTATACTAAGGTACCAACCTCTATACTAATGTACCAACCTCTATACTAAGGTACCAACCTATACTAAGGCACCAACCTCTATATTAAGGTACCAACCTCTATACTAAGGTATCAACCTCTATACTAAGGTACCAACCTCTATACTAAGGTACCAACCTCTATACTAAGGTACCCACCTCTATACTAAGGTACCAACCTCTATACTAATGTACCAACCTCTATACTAATGTACCAACCTCTATACTAAGGTACCAACCTATACTAAGGCACCAACCTCTATATTAAGGTACCAACCTCTATACTAAGGTACCAACCTCTATACTAAGGTACCAACCTCTATACTAATGTACCAACCTCTATACTAATGTACCAACCTCTATACTAAGGTATCAACCTATACTAAGGTACCCACCTCTATACTAATGTACCAACCTCTATACTAAGGTACCAACCTATACTAATGTACCAACCTCTATACTAATGTACCAACCTCTATACTAAGGTACCCACACCTATACTAAGGTACCCACCTCTATACTAATGTACCAACCTCTATACTAATGTACCAACCTCTATACTAAGGTACCAACCTATACTAATGTACCAACCTTTATACTAAGGTACCAACCTGAATACTAAGGTACCAACCTCTATACTAAGGTACCAACCTCTATACTAATGTACCAACCTCTATACTAAGGTACCAACCTCTATACTAATGTACCAACCTCTATACTAATGTACCAACCTCTATACTAATGTACCAACCTCTATACCAAGGTACCAACCGATCTATCCTTATACTAAGGTACCAACCTCTATACTAATGTACCAACCTCTATACTAAGGTACCAACCTCTATACTAAGGTACCAACCTCTATACTAAGGTACCAACCTATACTAAGGTACCAACCTATACTAATGTACCAACCTCTATACTAAGGTACCAACCTCTATACTAAGGTACCAACCTCTATACTAAGGTACCAACCTGAATACTAAGGTACCAACCTCTATACTAAGGTACCAACCTCTATACTAATGTACCAACCTCTATACTAAGGTACCAACCTCTATACCAAGGTACCAACCTCTATACTAAGGTACCAACCTCTATACTAATGTACCAACCTCTATACTAATGTACCAACCTCTATACTAAGGTACTAACCTCTATACCAATGTACCAACCTCTATACTAAGGTACCAACCTCTATACTAAGGTACCAACCTCTATACTAAGGTACCAACCTCTATACTAATGTACCAACCTCTATACTAAGGTACCAACCTCTATACTAAGGTACCAACCTCTATACTAAGGTACCAACCTATACTAAGGTACCAACCTCTATATTAAGGTACCAACCTCTATACTAAGGTACCAACCTCTATACTAAGGTACCAACCTCTATACTAAGGTACCAACCTCTATACTAATGTACCAACCTCTATACTAAGGTACCAACCTATACTAAGGCACCAACCTCTATATTAAGGTACCAACCTCTATACTAAGGTATCAACCTCTATACTAAGGTACCAACCTCTATACTAAGGTACCAACCTCTATACTAAGGTACCCACCTCTATACTAAGGTACCAACCTCTATACTAATGTACCAACCTCTATACTAATGTACCAACCTCTATACTAAGGTACCAACCTATACTAAGGCACCAACCTCTATATTAAGGTACCAACCTCTATACTAAGGTACCAACCTCTATACTAAGGTACCAACCTCTATACTAATGTACCAACCTCTATACTAATGTACCAACCTCTATACTAAGGTATCAACCTATACTAAGGTACCCACCTCTATACTAAGGTACCAACCTCTATACTAATGTACCAACCTCTATACCAAGGTACCAACCGATCTATCCTTATATTAATGTACTAACCTCTATACTGGATGTTTTAGTGAAGGCTCCCAATGGATGAACATGGTCATAAAGAATGATAACTCCTACCATCACCCTCAGACAAAACAACCTTGTCTCCTCCTTCATTCTTGACTTGTACTCACTGCAGATGATAGGGTAAAGACATTTATAGGGAATAGGTGAAGCTATTTGAGGGAAATATAGTTTAACATTTGTGGGGAATAGGTATAGAGGGAAATATTTATATACATACAAGATATATGTAAAGACATGTGGGAAATAAACTAGGGACAATCCTCTTTAATTCATCATTCAATTAATATTTTATCTCTTCTTATTCTTTATATCAGTAAATTAAAGCGCAACAGACATGCAACAAAAATTGTCCAAATAGAAAAATGTGCAAATACAAATCCTTTACACTAATGAGGTTTCATTTAATTATATTTTGTGGAAAGGTGTTTTATAATTCTACATTTTACATGTGGCCATTCTTTGCTGTCATCTTAAACAATCAATTTAAAAAAATATCCCCAAGAACATTTATTTCTTACACAAATTAAGTTGTGTATTTTTCTAGTCACCAAATCAACCAATGTAAACTTATGTTAACAGTTGAACTGCTGTAGAAACTTACTCATTCTCAATCATGACCCTACAAATGTTGGCCATCATACTCAAACAGTCTGTGGTTTGTTCCAGAGGTAGATCTTTGTGCTGAAATAACAGGTCTTTGTTGTAAACACAGCATTCTTTAATCAGGGTTAAACCATCCTTTAATCAGGGTTAAATCTTTAATCATGGCTACACCATTCTTTAATCAAGGTTAAACCATTCTTTAATCTTGGCTACACCAATCTTTAATGTTGGCTAAACCATTCTTTAATGATGGATAAACCATTCTTTAATGATGGATAAACCATTCTTTAATGATGGCTAAACCATTCTTTAATCTTGGCTAAACCAATCTTTAATCATGGATAAATCATTCTTTAATCAGGGTTAAACCATTCTTTAATCTTGGCTAAACCATTCTTTAATGATGGCTAAACCATTCTTTAATCAGGGTTAAACCATTCTTTAATGATGGATAAACCATTCTTTAATCAGGGTTAAATCATTCTTTAATCAGGGTTAAATCTTTCTTTAATCAATGTTAAACCATTCTTTAATTAAAGTTAAACCATTCTTTAATCTTGGCTAAACCAATCTTTAATGATGGATAAACCATTCTTTAATCTTGGCTAAACCAATCTTTAATGATGGATAAACCATTTTTTAATGATGGCTAAACCATTCTTTAATCTTGGCTAAACCATTCTTTAATGATGGCTAAACCATTCTTTAATCTTGGCTAAACCATTCTTTAATGATGGCTAAACCATTGTTTAATGATGGCTAAACCATTCTTTAATGTTGGCTAAACCATTCTTTAATGATGGATAAATACAGTCAAATTATATTTAAAAAAATCTACACTTGACAATCTAATTTAGCTGGTAATTAACACAGTAAAGCTGTTACAAAAAAAAAAGTACTTGAGGAAGAAATTAATCTGATAATTAAACACTGTAAAACTGTTGAAAGTGTAAAAAAATGAAGTACTTGAGAAACAAATTTGGCTGTGACATCACTGAGTGACTTCAGCATAGGAGTAGACTGAGCGTAGAATAAAGACATCCTGTTTGCTAACTCGTTGGATACATGTTCCTCTCCTTCTTGAATCTCATCCTGTTAATTGATTCAGGGAAAGAACATTACACTTCCTCATTTCTCTGATAACATTTAGCATAGAACAGAGCAATAGTTAGACACTAATGTAAGACTGTTTAAACAGTCGGTAGTAAAATACTAATATACTTTTGTCCCGAGCAGATTTTATGATCTATCAGCGTGAGAATTATATTTGAGCCCAACAAATGACTTAGTGGTCAATAGAAAGACAGGGAACACAGTCAACACTTGAATCTTTCACACCCATTTGTACATTTTACTTCCTTTTCTGTTGTTCTACAGCCTCAAGTTTGACACTTCAGTGGCTGCCTTGAGGGGACAAACTTATCAGATGGGACATATTTAGTTACATATACAACTACAGGGGACACATTCAGTTACATATACAACTACAGGGGACACATTCAGTTACATATACAACTACAGGGGACACATTCAGTTACATATACAACTACAGGGGACACATTCAGTTACATATACAACTACAGGGGACACATTCAGTTACATATACAACTACAGGGGACACATTCAGTTACATATGCAACTACAGGGGACACATTCAGTTACATATGCAACTACAGGGGACACATTCAGTTACATATACAACTACAGGGGACACATTCAGTTACATATACTACTACAGGGGACACATTCAGTTACATATGCAACTACAGGGGACACATTCAGTTACATATACAACTACAGGGGACACATTCAGTTACATATACAACTACAGGGGACACATTCAGTTACATATACAACTACAGGGGACAAATTTAGTTCTATATAGGACTACGTGGGACTAATTCAGTTCTATATAGGACTACAGCAGACAAATTCAGTTGGATTTAGAACTACAGGATACAAATTCAGTTCTATCTAGAACTACAGGGGACAAACTTATCAGAAGGGACATATTCAGTTACAAATAAGACTCACTTGAAATGTGTTCAATTTAATTAAACTCTTGGCCTGTTAAAGTTTGCAATAAAGATTTTTTTTTTTACCTCATTTGCCATTTTTCTTCTATTTAAAGTTCTTCTGTAATAGCTGAAATCATTCTGCATTGCTGGGGTAGTCATCTAAGAGAGAGGAGATAATGGATCATTGACTTCTACTTAGCACACTTCATTGTGATTATAAATACACATTCAAAATACATTCATTGAAAACTTTCAGTTACATTAATAAAATAATATGATGATCCACATTATACCGTTACACAAATCCCCCCCCCCCCCCCCATTACAATTTTTACAATGAGAACCATTTGGCAGTCAATTAAAATTCGCGTTTTTTAAAATTAGAAAAAAAAAATGACCATTTTGTTGTTTTACAATTTTTTTTCTGTTGGATTTAAAACTTTTATCAGTACAACAAAATCTACATGTGCTCACCTTAATGTCATCAAATCAGTTCAACTCACCTTAATGTCATCAAATCAGTACAACAACTCACCTTAATGTCATCAAATCAGTACAACAACTCACCTTAATGTCATCAAATCAGTACAACAACTCACCTTAATGGCATCAAATCAGTACAACAACTCACCTTAATGTCATTAAATCAGTACAACAACTCACCTTAATGTCATCAAATCAGTACAACAACTCACCTTAATGTCATCAAATCAGTACAACAACTCACCTTAATGTCATTAAATCAGTACAACAACTCACCTTAATGTCATCAAATCAGTACAACAACTCACCTTAATGTCATTAAATCAGTACAACAACTCACCTTAATGGCATCAAATCAGTACAACAACTCACCTTAATGTCATTAAATCAGTACAACAACTCACCTTAATGTCATCAAATCAGTACAACAACTCACCTTAATGTCATCAAATCAGTACAACAACTCACCTTAATGTCATTAAATCAGTACAACAACTCACCTTAATGTCATCAAATCAGTACAACAACTCACCTTAATGTCATTAAATCAGTACAACAACTCACCTTAATGTCATTAAATCAGTACAACAACTCACCTTAATGTCATTAAATCAGTACAACAACTCACCTTAATGGCATCAAATCAGTACAACAACTCACCTTAATGTCATCAAATCAGTACAACAACTCACCTTAATGGCATCAAATCAGTACAACAACTCACCTTAATGTCATTAAATCAGTACAACAACTCACCTTAATGGCATCAAATCAGTACAACAACTCACCTTAATGTCATCAAATCAGTACAACAACTCACCTTAATGTCATCAAATCAGTACAACAACTCACCTTAATGGCATCAAATCAGTACAACAACTCACCTTAATGGCATCAAATCAGTACAACTCACCTTAATGTCATTAAATCAGTACAACAACTCACCTTAATGTCATCAAATCAGTACAACAACTCACCTTAATGTCATCAAATCAGTTCAACTCACCTTAATGTCATTAAATCAGTACAACAACTCACCTTAATGTCATCAAATCAGTACAACAACTCACCTTAATGGCATCAAATCAGTACAACAACTCACCTTAATGGCATCAAATCAGTACAACAACTCAACTCACCTTAATGTCATTAAATCAGTACAACTCACCTTAATGTCGTCAAATTTCAAGACAAAGTCCAGAATTTCAGCAAACTGTTTAAAGAGTGACTGCTGCTGTTCTAGATGTTCCCTGGGAGTGAGGTCCTCGGAGCACAGTTCACCTAACAGTTCTGGTATAACTCTCTCTATCATGTACAAACAAATTGATCACTTTAGGGAGTTTTATAATATTAGGGCTACAAGACAGTAGCATTATAGTCTACATGGTAACAATGAGTGAGATGAAATACATTGTGACTAATCCTACAGGACAATTATTTATACAACTAATGACACAAAGTTTGGTACAACTGTTGGTTAAACTATTGGCTTAAATTTTTGTACAACTATAGAAAGAATAACTGGTGAGGCTATTAGTAAAACTACTGACAAACTTATTTGTACAATTACTGTTCGAACTATTTGTACAACTACTGTTTCAACTAATTGTACAACTACTGTTACAATTATTTGTACAACTACTGTTTCAACTAATTGTACAACTACTGTTACAACAATTTGTACAACTACTGTTACAACTCACCCAACTCAAGGGAAAATTCAAAAAACTTTTTAAGTTTAGAAACCAGTGGAGTCACAGACTGCCAGGCTTTGTCCTGTAGGTCCTCTATTTTAGGGTTGGATATGGCCTGCAAAACAAGGGGTCATTCAGCATCACTCACTCTACATCTTTATTCAACATCACTCACTCTACATCTTTATTCAACATCACTCACTCTACATCTTTATTCAACCTCACTCCACATCTTTATTCAACATCACTCACTCTACATCTTTATTCAACATCACTCCACATCTTTATTCAACATCACTCACTCTACATCTTTATTCAACATCACTCCACATCTTTATTCAACATCACTAACTCTACATCTTTATTCAACATCACTCACTCTACATCTTTATTCAACATCACTCACTCTACATCTTTATTCAACATCACTCACACCTTCATAAAACCTCAGTCTCTCTATTTGTTCACTCAACAAAATACTGACCATCCTAATTTCCTCTGTGGCCCCACTGTATCTCTGTATCTCCAGCAGAACCTCCTGGGCCATATCAAGGACTTTCTTGACCATCAGCCAAACACGTTCTTCTGATGGCGATGGCTGAGCATCTAAGGAAATTAAAATAAAATGACCAGCCTGTACCAGTGGAGCAATAACTTCACTTATTTTACCATTTAAAATACTCACTTTCAAAATCAACAAAAATATTGTCTGAATGTTTAGATGGAGGGTCATTGTTCAGCAGGATGCGTAATAAGTTTCCCATCTTATCTGAAAAATTGTAAAAATAAATTGAAATTATCGAGGTCTCACATGTGATTCAGTTTAGTCATCTATTGTAGTAGCCCAACCTATCCTTAGTGTAAATTGGTCTTTTAACTATAAAACCAATATAGTAGCCATAGTGCTTATAAGGGTCATCTATAAATGGTGTCATGCTTTTGGATTATTTTTACCCCCCCCCCCCCCCGTCGCACATCATCACAAAAAGCCAGACCCCCCAAAATGACATCTTATAATGCAAAAGTGTGACGTCACACCATCTGAACCCCCCTCCCCCACAAAACTCCCCTCCTCCTATGAGTGTGCCATCATTTATGGAAGACCCCACAGAGAAGCCCAGGGTGCAGTTTGACCAATGATTCTAGTATCCCTGACCATCTGCACAGTAAACCCAATCAGCAAACTCCAGGTGCTAGGATAGCCACAGAAATTTAAAAAACTAAATTACAGTAACAAAAAGTATAAGAAAGTGGCTATTCAGACCCGGGTCCTAATAGCCCCAGCCGCTACTGGGAACTGGGTCCATATAGCCATGGCTGCTATTTGAACCTGGCATTAAGTTTGGTCTATATAGCTACACACTCTTATAACCTGTATTAAAATAATACTTCTTATGTTTATTTGATTTATCTTGTGGATTTGCTAGTATTTTGTTGTTTTATTGTGTTTTTTAAATATTTTTGTGGATTTGCTAGTGTTAGGTCCTTCTATTTTTTAAATACCATATATTCAGCTCTATAAACAAAAAAAATAAATATTGAATAATTAATAAATAATATTGTGGCCGAGTTGAGAAAGTCGAGCCTCCCAAATCTATGAAGTTGCAAACAAGTATTTCCCATTGCTTGTTCAGAACAGGCCACAACAGACTAAAACAGCACATGCATAAAAAAACTAAAAATTGGGTGTGGCGAAATATGCCCTTGTGGCAAGGCCCCATAGAATACGGAGCACGTCCTTCAAGTCGAGATCCAAACACTGGCCCCTACACACCCCACTCAAGGAAAAACTATATGGGGCACCCGCTCATCTGGAGACCACAATCTAGTTCATACACGAAGTTGGGCTTGTTGTTTAACTCCTCCATCATATACTTAATTAAGAACGAAGAAGAAGAAGAAAGAAGAAGCAAACGAGTATTTCCCATTGGCTGTTCTGTCTCGATAATGGCTTTGAATTGCTGTTATTCTTTTTTTAAATTGCTTGTTTTAGTTTTATAGATTCTATATCTTTTCTAGATTTAGATTTTTAAAAACATGCCAATTCTAAATGCTGTTTCTCATATGATTGCCCACTCACGTTTTCTTGTCAGTGCGAGAAAAATATTGACATGGTCTAGCTAGGGACACTGTGCGTTCACATTGGTTTAAAATATGAATAGTGTATACGTATAACATACGTCATTGCAATACCATTGCTATCTTAATCTACCCTGCAAGATGAAAAACATTTTTGGGGTCATCTTGAGTTCAAATTCAAATTTATTCAAACAACGGTTACAATTGTAGGCACAAAGGCCTTTTTTCACATTGGCCGTTTAAACAAATAAAGCAGTAACATAGCACTAAAAATGTGGAATAAAGAAACAATGTTACATAGTTATCATACATAATGAGATAAAAAAGAGAATATAATAGATGAATGAGAAATGTTACAATGAGTCAGTTAGGTCATTAAATAATTTTAGTTTTAGTTTAGATTTTAATATATTTTCAGATCTAGATAGCTTTATTTTATTAGGAAGATTGTTCCACAAATTAGAACCAGAGTAGACGAAGCTATGTTTTTGGAAAAAAGTTGAATATGGGAATGGTAAATTAAGACGACGATTTAATTTTATGTTAAAAGAAAATAGATCTGATAAGTAAGAGGGGGCTGTTTCGTGGAATATTTTATATAAGAAAATTGATTTAGTATATATTATCTTTTTATTTAATGGAAGTACTTTAGTTGTAAGAAAAGAATCCAGACTACTAGACAAGCCAGTAACCAGTTTTATAGCCCTTTTTTGTAAAGAAAGAAGAGGACGCTGCTTAGTTATAAAGCTGCCGCTCCACACTACAGAAGCATAATCCAACCTAGATTGAATAAAAGCTTCATAAAAAACCAGCCTGCTCCTATAGTCGAGAAAGTTTTTTATCCTTGCTAATTGAAAGGTTGTCTTTAATAAGGACATTTTTTAAAATGAATATGGTCGGACCAAGTGAGGTTGTGATCTATAAACAATCCTAGACATTTGTAACTATCTACCTGTTCAATGTTTGAATTGGTTATATATTGCTTCAATTACAGCGTACTACCACACATGCGAGATATTAGTGTTCAAATCAAGAAAACGGGCCTAATTTTAGCTATTTTATACAATTAATATTTTTTTAAAATTTTCACTGATAGGCCTATAAAATCAAATTCATTTGAAAAAAAAAATAAAGCACATTTTTACATATGGACTCAACATTCACTCAGTCAGAGAAGTTTATATCATAGACCATATATAATAGACCTATTGACTCCCGTTTGCCATGACATTTGTCAGGAATGATATCGGGTATTTAAAGCAAGATCTCAAGATATCATTTAGAATTACAAGAAAAAAAATCACAACAACAGAAAAGGTATATTCTGCATCTTAAAAGAATTATTGTTTAACTAAATCTTAATAATTTTATTGGCTGGTCCGAATAGCGGCGGAGGCTATAAGGAAGGACACTGGTCCCAATAGGGGCTGTTTCGGACCAGGGTCAGAATAGATGCAGCCAAAATATAAGGCCTAACATCCACTAATTGAATTATTAGATTTTAGAATGCATAACTGGTAATTACTAATAATTATAATAATTGCTTAGGCCTAAGCCTGACATTTATTTTACAATTGTATTAGAATTATTTACACTAGCTAGGTCATAGGCATGATTTTATCATAGAGTGATAGATATATTACATCCAGGGTTAGGCCTCAGGACAGGTAATAGTTTAAAATACTTAATCAAGATTCTAAACTAATCTAAACCCTAACTAAAAATACAGAGGTTTGAAGGTATCGATAATAGCTACTAGCTAGACTCTTCCAAAAATAGATGTGTTAGGTTGTTAGGCTAGTGGAATTGTAATCTCGAATTGTGACGAATAGTTTTATGGTTAGAAATAAGGGTTAGGCATATGGTAAGACTAGGGTTGGGGTTAGCAATGACAAAAAATTGACATTAGCAAGCCATGTGTGTATTTTTAATTATAAATTATGGCATATTCTAGCCGGAAAAAGATATGCATGCGCAATGAAGAGAAACTACTGTCTTCATTGGCGGCAATGTTTTCAATGGTACTCCGCATACGTGTGTTTATAAAATACAAACCGCAGAACCCTAACCCTTACCATAACACCAGCTATTAATTAAAGTCACTGCGCATGCGCAGAAGTATGATTGACTTTAGTAATTTCTGCCAAAAAAATCTTTTTCCGAGTAGGCCTAGTCACTTCGATCAATTATTAGTATTAATTAGATCTATTGTATTAAAATTATTAAATTAAGATTAGAACTTCAGAAGACCTAAAAAAATTAATTATAATTAAATTAAAATGAACAAGGAAGCTTTATTTACTATATTAAATTCATCTTGATAATAAACCACATGAAATGATTTCTATAAAGTATATGTTTTACTTTTACCAGCTTAAATTACAAAGCATGCATCTTAAAAATAGATGTCGATTATTTTACCATAAAGACTGATTTACTCCTTATAATGTGGGACGACTTCCTACTGTAAATTAGTTGACAGCCATAAGCCTGGCTAGTGGTCCTCTATTAGTATTACATATATACTTCCGGGTTATATCTTCCAAATTAGGACATTTAAAACATATTTTTAACTCTGAATAAGAAAAAAAATATTACATTAGTCGTAATTTGATGCAATAAAATTATAAATTTAAATATTGATTCAAATTATATAAAAATTGTAAAAATAATTATTAACATCCTAAAAATAGATTGTCACGTGCTGCTGCAGGTCACAACAAATCGTCGTCTGCTAACCGTAAATAGAGATTTAGAAGCTAATCTAGATCTAGATCTTGATTCTAGATCTATAACTATAGAATCTACTCAAATATTGATCGGGTACTTTTTTCTTATAAGAAACAGATGTGTAAGCAGTTATTGCTTTAATTTATAGACACTACCAAGTCTAATTAATCTAATTATTAATTAATTAAGGCAACGGCTTTTGGAGATGTCTTAGTCTAGGGGACTCTAGTCTTGTCTTATTTAATTCTATTTAATTTATTATTTATAATCTAGAAGTTCTAGATCTAGATTCTAGAACTAGAAAATTTAAATCTAGATCTAGCTAGATTCTAGCTAGATCAGATAGATCTAGAGTAGACCCTACCTTTGTATTACTTTGTAATAAGTAATAATAATTTATATTATTAGTACCATAGATAGTATAGTATATATAGTCATAGATCTAGATCTAGGACTTATTTTTAAAGATTAGTGTACTAGTCAAGTACTAGTGTTAGGCCTATTAATTATGAATAATTAATAATTATATACTAGATCTATATTTTATGAATTGATGATAAAAATTATGATTGATAATTAATTAAAGTACAAATGAGAATCTAGATTCCAGGCATCTCTTCGGGCAGAGCCCCCCCCCCCACAAAGAAAGTTTACTGCCCCCACCTCCCCCTAACAAAATGGAATTTATATAGAAAATATATACAATTAACAGTGTCATCCCGTTTCCCCCCCCCCCCCCCCGAAAAAAGTCTACCGCCCCCCCCCCCCAAATTTTAAGTCCCCCCCCCCCAAAGTCTGGAAGAAACACTGGTTGGGGGATGGAGGGAATTGCTTTTACTTTTTGTGACAATATGGGTAGGGTTTTGGGGATCACCATTGATTGTTGAACTAAGCTTGTTTCCCCAACACCCTTCCCATTGTTATTTCTCGTCTGTGTAGTGTAGTCCCTATGGCTACTAAGTAGTACTAAGCCAACAGGACTTGATATTAAAAAAAAAATCAATACTAGACTATATTAAATTTTACTACATACATACCTTTAGTCAGAAAGAGTGCTGACATATCAATTTCCAGGTGCCTATATATATATATATATATATATATATATATATATATATATATATATATATATATATATATATATAGTCTATATAATGTATGTATAAATAATTTTGTTTAAAAATCCATATATATCCAGAAACTGTAAGATTATTATATATAGGCCTACATAGATAAGAGGTTTTGTTTAGTGTGTGGGGCTGAAGTCAGAGTTTTTTGAGTTACATTATGAAGATTATTACTTATTTTTTTACTAGAACTTACTTTATGTTTATTCTTCATTTTATTGTCTAGAAAATAAACCATCACATCCTTCATATTTGAGAAATGAAAACTTAACTGCAAATTATTCAGTTAAAAAGGGTCCCCACAAGAATGGAAGCTATAAACACAAAAGAAAGTACACAGGAGACATTTATTTTTATGAACCATCACCTTCATCTCAGTGGGCCTTGCATGCTTTCAGATTCTGGTTCATCTGATGTGAAAATATTTGCTGATGCAGTGGGAACACTGGATGATAAAGCTCATCAATGTGTTAGTAAAGTTGATCATCATTTGAGCATTGATAATTTACAACCATCACATCATTGTTTGCCTTTGAGGAAAAGACTGAAACTGTCTTACAGCTTGTTTAAAAGGCAACAAAAAAGGGGACTAGTAAAGTTATTTGAAACATTTAAATCAGAAAATAGGTTATTTGATTTATTAGCCTCCCCTTTGTTGATTTTGAAAGAGGACTACACTTTTCCAATAGTCCATCACCACCAGATTCTTCACTTTTCAATGAAGTTTACATCAGCTCTCAATACCTATTCTCAAGCAAAGATTATTGGTACCCAGTGGAATGCAGCATCTGCTAAAGAAGCTGGCTTTCCATTAATGTCTCCAGAATTTCAACCAAATGAGTCATTTTTCAAATACGCTCAACATTTCAAAAAATCTCATAGGAAATATGGTGTCACTTTTGTGAATAAGACTCAAGAAAATCACAGTCTAGAAAATAAAAGACAATACCCTACTGTAGCAAACTTTGGTCCTTCTACTGCAAACAAAACTTTGAAATCAGAAGAAAATGATACTTTAATGAACAGACCTACCACAGAGTCTGACCTCTTTGAAAACATGCTAAACCACAAGGTCCCTTTTCAAATTATGTCAGTTACAAGCCAGTTTTCTTCACCCACAACTTTAGATGAAAAGAAATCCCATTCAATCAAGCAGCCCTATTTATTCACAGAAAAATCACTTGCCAAAATCTCTGCCTCTTCCAAAATAGTATTCCCAGAAACATCACCCACAAGCATATTTTCCAAGCATTTTTGTAAATTTCCACTAGATCACCCAGAATCATTTCTGGATGACAGTGTCTCTATAAGTTCACTGATCCCAGTTAACAAGCTTAGTTCAAAATGTAACAGTGAAGAAACTACTATAATGTTTGAACAGTTTGAGCATACTGAAAAACACATATCAGAGTTAGATGTTTCAACTCATCAGAATTGTGTAGCTTCACTTAAAAACTTTAGCTACATACAAAACATGAAGGATGCATTTGTTGTATGCCGTGAGAGTGAAGATACAGATGAAGCCAAGTATACACATCCTAACTCTTTGTCTGCCAGTAATACCCTGAGTGTTTCAGAAGTAAAGCCAGTTGACAACAGTTTGCAGCCACCTGTGAGAGGAGATGATGAACAACAGGTACCAGATAACTCTGTGTTACAAGAAAACAAAACAGCAGATGTTTCTATGTATGAAGAATCAAACAATGATTTACACAATAAAAGTAAGTTACCCTTATTTTAAAGTAGTTTAAATCTGACATATCTAAATGTGCATTTCTCCCTATATTAACAATTATGAATGTGCCAATTTTATCACCTTATTAGCTTAAATAGCAGCTGTTTATTTAATCAGCTCATTGTTAAAAATTGGTGCAGTTTTAGTACTAAAAAAATTATGAATTAAATGGCACTTAGATTAATGTAGAATCTCAAAATAAGAATCTTTTTTTTTTTAAAGAATTAGTTACCAACAACCTTTTTGTGAAGTCTGCTTTCAAATTTACTGCATTACCTCAGGAAAATCCAAATACCTCAATTTTAAATTCAGGTAATGATATATTTCTACAAATAATTTAAGACAATGAAATTAAAATAACTATTATTCTTGTAATTCATAATTTCATTCTTACACAGTAAAAAAATATTTGTTGACAGTATATAACTAAACTCATTAGTCAAAAAATTTTTGAAAATTAATTTTAGATTCTGACGCAGGACCAGATGCTTTAAAATCTGTTCTACCATTAGCAACATGTAATCGTCCACGGCGCGTGGGTTTGTCGAAGAAGCAACATGTTCAACATCTCCATAAAAAGTAGGTGTTTTTTGATGATTTGTATTTAAAAACAGCCTCTGATGGAATGTTCCAGCCTGGAAGATTGTCTCTATATTTTAGGTCATTTTATGGATTTTGTTAACACAGGGACAAATTACACTGCTATTTCAACACCAGCCACAAAACAGGCTGTGGTACAAAGTACTAAATAAGATTACAGATGAGTGAATCTGAGCAAACTGTTACGCTGAAGTTCACTTGCAAGTATAGTTGTATCAGAACGATGGCCCTGACTATAGACACCAGTCTATAGTGATTTATCTCTACAACCCTTTTACACCTGCTACATGTAGCCTACTGTATAGAAAGAACTTTACAATGCCATGAAGCAAAATGTTTATTACAAAAAGTATTGCACTTGTTTGTTTACTTTGCCAAATTGTATTTGCACAATTTTGCTGGAACGTTTTTATAGTGAAGCTTGTAAAAAGCGTTGTTTATTTTTCAAGAGCTCTTTAATTTTTTGAAATTAGAACAAATGTTTTAAGAAATAAGTATTTATGCCTAGCACATGGATGTAGAGTTGTTCTTGTGCCTAATCAGTATACTGTATTATTGTTTGAGTTTCACTGTTTTCATATAATTCTGTTACTAAGGTTTTGTTTTATAATGGTTTGTTCATTCTTGTGTATTCATTGACTGGTCACTTAAGCTGCCTGGGGCTAATCTGTGATAATCTGTATTATATGTTATTATTTGATTTCAGTTGTTAGCTAAATTGATCTACTTACATTTGCTTTAACTAAACTGGAACAACACATAGCATACCTCTTAGATTTATTAACAACAAAACTTAAAGGTAAATTAGTATTCCTTGTGCAAGCACTGACAGAAATGTGTAGATTACACTTGGTGTACTGGCTATGCTTATGACTTTCTGATAATTTCTTTCTTCAAATTCATATAAATTCAATTTTAACAATTCAGTTTTGTAGTTCAAACTTTCCATCAATTTAGTTATTTTGTTGTATTTGTGAGCCCTTTCAATAAATTGAACACAAAAATATTTGTGAGTGGTGATTTATTTTTGTTATTTTCATGTAAAAAATTATTTAATTCAAATGTATATATTTATAAACATATATAAATTGTTTTATACTTTTTAGAATTTGCTACATTTTCAAATCCTTTTATTTTGTTTAAACAGAGTAGTATGACTGATGTTAAAACATACACTTATTTCCCTCTCCTTCAATTTTACCGATGTGAAATGAACAACTGGCGATTAGGATAGCTTGATTCATCAGTTTATTCTTATAACACTGTAAATTCTGGGCATTATTCAAATGCAATTACAATGAAAGCTAAGAAATACAAACTGCACAAAATAAACATAACTAGCATATCATCTTAAAAGAAATGTTACTAATTTTCATTTCAATGAAACAATTTGCAACTTTGATTGTAATGCAAGCACAAAATATATTAAGTAGGGTCTTATATTAGCAATATTAGAAGCTCTGGTTTTAATATAACGTAATTCATTACGGAACACTAAAATTAATTAATGTTTTATGTTTACTTCTGGAACTTTTCAATTGTTGACTCCTTTTAAAAAAATAATTGCATAATCTTTATTTGGCTTGCACTTTTATTTTTATTTAACAAAAAGTTTTAATTAAATAAATTAACTTTATAACTTAACAACATTGAATATACCAACTATACTAGCTAAATTGGCCCCTGTTTTATATAACAATAAGATTCACTAAGAATACTTAAATCCTACAGACAAATACAATAAATGGGTTATGGATATCCATTGATTACAATGAAAAGATTTGATTATTATAAAACAAACTATGTACAATGATTATTTAAAAAAAGCTTCTCACAAACTGATCAAATGGCAATTATAATAATGAAAGACATATCAAACTTTTTTGAGAAATTTATATTGCATTCAAAAACCAAATTTAAAATGCATATGAAGATGTTTGCATGTACAAAACAGTATGAGAAATATTACATGATTACAAATGAAATCATGATATTTATCAAGTAAGTTACTCAAACCTTCATTTGGCACAAAATACAATCATTTGCTAAACACATCAAGAACAGAACACTAGTTATAAATTATAACTAACAAAAAAAACAACTTTACATTGAAAGAAACATTCTTGTTAAGCTAATATAACATTCCAGATTACCATATGTTTTCCCTTAAATAATTACCCATATAACTTTTTTCCTTTTACAAGATTAATTAACCAAAACTAGTTTTAAAAAGTATGACAGTGAGCCCTAATTTTCAACACCCAATAGATTTTTTTTGTATTTATATATTTTTACTCTATACCATTGAGCAAAATCTAGGGATACTGCTGCATTATTTATTTCCTTTGTTTGCTTTAGCTTTCTATAGCTTCCTAGTTAACATAGACATCAGATATTTAATGAATGTTTTGTGAATTCACTAAATAAGCTATAGATACTATTTTGTGTTATCTAGATATGACTAAACATGTGCTTGGACAGCAGGTTTTTTAATAAACAGGAATAAGCAACATAAGAATACAAATAGTTCATTTTCTATTCCGAGGTGATGTTCCAAGACAAACTGATGGCAGTAGTTAAAAATAATTAGACTATCCAGTCAATAGTGATTAGATCTATAGATTTCAGAGGTTAGTAAATAATATGAAATTAAATCTCTTTACATCTTGTGTAGGCTCGACCTTTAAAACATAAACCATATAGAAAACACAACACAGAAATCCAATTTTCTATTTTAAATAAATACAATTGTTTGTTTTCCCCAAAAGTTGTATACAACTGAGATAACTAACATAACAACTGACATTTCAAGGACAGTACTGCAGCATTAATTTAATTATAAATGTAAACATTTAAATAGAGATCACTAAGAGAACTATCACAATAAAAAACTTGAGCTAATAAAAGCTTCACTGGTCCACAGATATGGCATTCTGTATAATATACAGACTACTAAAAATCTAAATGCAGTGGTAAAATACAGCATTATAGAATATAGGTCTAATTGATCAAGTCTAGCATAAGTATTCTCCTTTGTATACTGATTGATAGAATATTCAAAATTTCATGAAGAATAATTAGCTCTTTTATTTAGAGTATGAAGGTATGAAAACTGCTGATTCAGCTCTTTATTCATGCTGATGTATTAAAAAATTTAATTTATTAACACAAGTAATGCCTATGGAAGATCTGTAGTACAACACTAAAGAAATTCTATAGACTAATGCTTTCTATAATGTCTGTATAAACAATTTACAAACTAATGCTTATAACATATATATATATATATAAACAAGTGAGATAAAATTATATTAAAATGACTTTCAACTCATTTTCACAGAAATGTAAAAGAATCATTTTAAGGCTAGAATTAAACTATCTATTTTTAAATACTCTCCAGTATTGATTGTTGCAGTAGCTGCACATTTCAAATAAAAGGTAGAAACTCCAACAGAGTGTGGTTATAAGGAATGAAAGTTGTAAACAAGTATCAGCTGATCAGGGCAGAAAGAGGCAATAAACTGATTGCTTTAGCAAAGATAGGCACGTTTTCACACAAAGACAATTATAAAATAGTACACACGTTTCTTCTTTTAAATATAACTAAACAGAAAGAAAATCTAACTAGTAATATTAATAAATTTTTGTCATCATCTAGTTAATATTTTAAAAAATCTTGATTGAATAAAGACATGAATAAATCCTATTCTAATAAATATACATTTGTGCAACAGTCAGTTTTTTTTTACATGTGCTTTCCCTAAGGAGAAAAGGGGCTGAATACTACTTTTACTATAAAATATTAACTAGGTATTTGGACATAGATACAAATAGTCAATTCTTTTTACAAGAATAATTTAGAGAAAACCTAAAATTAGGCTAGAATTGGATGTGTTATGTTTGATACTTAATTTATATCACTATCTAATTCTAAAATATTTTTGTCTGAATATCTTTAAAAAGTTATTTTACATGAAAAGGTAATCCAGTATTTAACTTATCAGTGTAAAAATGTATTTCCTCCTAAAAACATTTTTCTTTGAAGTTGAAAATGCAAAAGCTGGTAACGTTTGTGGAGATGGAAAAGAAAACAAATGGATACTGTATGCTACATCGATAATACAGATTGAGAAATTTGTCTTTTTAAAACAAATATCGGAATACAATGAAAATTAAATAAGTCAGTAAAAAAAATTGGTCATTACTGCATAAACCATTGTTAGGCTGCCAAAATATTGTTCCCTTAAGGATGCTTGGTAATGTATTTCAAAAAAGCTCCTGGTTCTTAAAACCTTTTAATTATACATATATTAGGCACTATTTATATCCAAATGAGAGTAACAGAAGTTAGCATATAACCAATGGTCATCAATCTGACAAAACAGTGTTACTTATCACAATATTGTACATAAACAAGAAGCTCTTTATAAGGTGAACAAGACATGTCATGAAATGCTCAAGTTAATCATTTTAGAATCCCATTATAAAATGTGCACCTGAATGCATTAAGAAGTATTAAATCTTTGGTATGTTTAATCCTTACTAGCAGAACTATCAGCTTTCTGGGCAGGATTCTTTGCCTTCCTGACATTACATAGCCACTTGATGATTCTGGCATTCCTCTCTATAATAGAGGTCTGCTGATGACTGCGCTCCATGGACTGTGTTTCACTCCACTCCTGATCACTCCTGGAATACGTGCTACAGATGCTAGCTGCATCATGGGAATCTAACGAACTCATGCTGTCAAACACCTCGCTGGTCTGGAGCTCCTTCAGTCTACTGATGGGCTCAAGAAGGCCCTTCTCCAGGCCCATCTGGTTAAAGAAGTTCTCCAGATCTGCCCCAGCACTGGCCCTGGAAAGTCTGCTGTGGCTTGAAACAATTGAGCTGTCCCGTGAGTGCTGGCCTTCCAGCCTGCAGCTAATGTCTGAGTGGGAGCGAGGTACAGAGGAGCAATAGGGGGTGGGGGAGAGAGACAGTGGGGACAAGTCCTGCGGATCCATCAACCCACTCAAAGACGAGGTGGCTCTGGTGATTTCTCTGGCTTCCTCCTCTTCCCCTGGCACCAGCTCAGCTTCCATGGATGCGGATGGGCAAGCGTTGATCTCTGAGTTGTACACAGCTTGATCAGCGCTCTCAATGGACATTTCTGATTTACAAACTGGTGAACTGCTTTTTGTTTCAGACTCTATACTATCTTTTTTAGTTAAAGTTAAGCCCTCTTTCTTTGCACTTTTAAAAGAATCTGTAAAATCTGAACATTGTTGCCTTCCTTTAAAAAGCAAGCCTTCAGAAGAGGACTCTAGCTGGCTGCTATTTTTGAGGCATATACCTGACTGTGAAATGAAAACTGGCCTGGCCTCAAAACTTTGAGGGAGGTTAGACTTGATGAAGACTGGTGTGGCTGTGTAAGTGCACTTGTCAGACAGCTGTACTGGTGTCTTTGGTCTGGATATTTTCTCCTCAGCCACAACTGTGCTGGGCTCTGAGAGAGTGGCAAACCTCTGGGTGAGGGTCTCTACTCGGGACAGTTTTTTGTTAACAGTTGCATCAGTTACTGGTAGCTTGTTTTTTAACTTTGGTGTGTCAGTAATTAAACCATTGCTAACTTCTGGTGAATTGTTGCCCCAGGTGCACGAAGATGGTTCTGAAAAAACTTGCCTTTGAATGAAAGTGTTATCATTAGGGGCTTCAGCCTCAGGTGTTTTAGGTAAGCGTGGTCGGGGAGGAGGAATTGGTTTTTCTCTAGCTTTCCTGGGTAACGGAACTGGCTTTTTCCCGACAGGTTCAGGTGTGTTTTTGACCTGAGTACTTCTGCCTTCAGACTCAAGAGAAACGGTTAGTTTCTCAGCAAACACAGGGAGGGTTGTTTCCTGCACAGAGGGGCTTGGGTGAGCATCACTAGGCACAGATGACTCTTGTTTCACAAGGCTGAGTGGCACCTCTTTGCTCAAACTGTCTCTATGAGCTTGAGTAGGCTGGCCATTGTTCCCTGCAGCAAGTCTGTCCCCCGGGTGTGGACTGGTGTCTACAGACTCAGTGAGGACAATGGAGTCTGTGCTAGTGTCATTGTTGTTCTCATCACTCTCCTCCTCAGTCTTGTACAGCTGGATTTTACTCAGGTCAAACTCAGACTTGGAGCGTGAGGGCTCTCTCTGTTTACCTTTGATGCTGAACCTGGAGGAGAGGAAACCAGAAGAAATTAAAACATTAACCAACACACTTCAACTCTTCCATTTTCCTTAGCAATGAACAATGGATAAGATATGTACAATTCACAATACCCAATGGGCAGTTAGATGTAACAGCCGTTTTGTAGTTCTCTCAAATAGGTTGTAAATCTTAAAACTTAGTAGTGAAATCGTCAGCGGCTGCTGGCATACTTTTAATGGTGAGATTAAGAAAAACCTTGACCCCAGCAATACAATGGGCACCAACCACGTTATCAGAATGAGTACATGAGCATCGAGAGAACGATAAAAAAAAAAGTTATTGATTGGCTGCCAGCTCTCCCCCCCCCCCCCCCCACCCCCCTCGTGAAACACTCAAGCCAGTGAGCACAACCTCTGCCGGGTCACGCGCATTTCTCATGTGCCAGCATTTTCTAGGTACACGATCACTGTAACTACCAGTAACTGGGTTCAAATAGCCGTAGAAGGTTAAGTCCTCGAGTGGTGCATAGATAACCCCGGCACTACTAGCCTGGGCAGCTAGCTATTATATTGATCATATTCGGGGTTGGTAGGATCGGGTTACACCACAGATAAACACGTTCGTTTTTCTACTCGTGTTTCTCTGAAGATATGGGTCTTAGTAGTGCCACAGCTAGCCATAATGGGCGTGTGGTTTATGAGATCTGGCTGCCACAGCTAGACACAATGAGCGAGTGGTGTATGAGTTCTGGCTGCCACAGCTAGCCATAATGGCGGGTGGTGTATGAGTTCTGGCTGCCACAGCTAGCCATAATGGGCTGGTGGTGTATGAGATCTGGCTGCCACAGCTAGCCATAATGGGCTGGTGGAGTATGAGATCTGGCTGCCACAGCTAGCCATAATGGGCTGGTGGTGTATGAGATCTGGCTGCCACAGCTAGCCATAATGGGCTGGTGGAGTATGAGATCTGGCTGCCACAGCTAGCCATAATGGGCCGGTGGAGTATGAGGTCTGGGTCTTAGTGACAAAGCAAGCCATAATGGACGAGTAGTGTATAAGTATAATAATGTTTCTCGACGATACAGCCAAAGCAATAATAGGCGAGAGATGTATAAAGGAAAAACTACTAATGGCCCCGAGTGCCGCACGTAACTAGTCATTACGCCAGGTCTACATACCAAAGTTAAAGCCTACACACTCCACGTGAGATGTATACTGTAAAGATACTTTTTATACACGTGGCTTGGCTAAACATGTCTATTTGAAACTAATAAATAATACAATCAATCATGTTCACAGTTTTTCTATTGTAAAAAAGGTGTCATATGTCATCATTCAATCGCCACAGAGTGTCATATGTCATAATTAAATCACCGTCCAGTGTCATAGGTCATTCAATCACCACTCAGCGTCATATGTCATCATTGAATCACCACCCAGTGTCATATGTCATCATCGAATCACCACCCAGTGTCATATGTCATTCAATCACCACCCAGTGTCATATGTCATCATTGAATCACCACCCAGTGTCATATGTCAACATTGAATCACTACCCAGTGTCATATGTCATCATTGAATCACCACCCAGTGTCATGTGTCATCATTGAATCACCACTCAGTGTCATATGTCATCATTGAATCACCACCTAGTGTCATATGACATATGTCATCATTCAATATGGACCAAAAAGTCACATCTGATATTGAATCACAAATTAGATCTGCCATCTTTTCATCGTTTTAAACTATTAAAAATAAAAAGAACGACATGAATGGCCCTAGTGTAATTAAGTTTCCATATTGGTGATTACCACAAGTAAAAACCTAATTAACGTCCGCCCCTTCACTCGACGTCGCCAGCCAATCAATGGGAGAAAGGATGCTTCAAATGCTGAATCAGTCGCAGAATTCTGCTGGGGAATGGGATAAACGCCATCTTAATATGCTAGGGAATGGGGTAAACGTCATATTAATAATCTGCTAGGGAATGGGGTAAACGCCATCTTTATAATCTGCAAGGGAATGGGGTAAATGCCATATTTACAATCTTCTAGGGAATGGGGTAAATGCCATATTTACAATTTGCTTGGGAATGGGGTAAATGCCATATTTACAATTTGCTTGGGAATGGGGTAAATGCCATCTTCACAAATCACAATCTACAGGGGAATGGGGTTAACGTGATCTTTGTGTTCGCCATTGTGCAACATCATTTGTACATATTAAAGTATCACCGTTTCTATTTATGACCCTCATTTATTGAAAGGTAAATGATCAATTTAGATGATATTGTCAGCATAGATTACGCATGCCAATTTCGATCAAATCGGCCTATAGATATCTCAAGCCAGAATAAAATGGGCCGATAGATAATTGTATCCAGTGTTTCTTCCAGACTTTTTTCTCCGGGGGGGGGGGGGAGGCACTTGAAATTTTCGGAAGGGGGGGGGAGGGGGGGCGGTAGACTTTCTTGGGGGGGGGGGCGGACACTGTTAAAAGTATATATTTTCTATATAAATTATATAAATTTCATTTCGTTCGGGGGGGGGGGGGCGAACTGGAAGAAGTTCTGATTGTATCAAGCCAACGCATGCTGAACATACTTGCTTTATGTCGTTTTACACTTTTGGTGAGATGTCATAAAACCAAGTCTGAGCTTATCTTCGCCAAGTAGTTCAAGCAGTCTAAATTCTACACCAACAGCGTATTGAAAAATCATTTAACTTCCAGTCATAGTCTGTGAGTCATCCAAATATTTAATAGTCACCCCACAAGGTCGACGTGGTCCACAGCGTGATCATGGAGTCTAGGTGGTCCAACATTTATACACTTGACTACTTTGACCTGTACCCAACAAAACCTTTATAAACTTGACCAGTACTCAATAAGCTCATTTTAGCTGCTATTTTGAATTATACATATAGAAAATATATGGGGGAGAAGGGGGGGGGGGGGCGCCAAATTGAAAGTTTGTCCCCAGGCGCCGGGAGGGGTCGCTACGTCTCTGCTAGTACTAGGACGTTGGAGCACGTGATTTACAAACTGTTAGGGTCTTTACCCAGTCCAACTAGTTGCTTTATAACTTGATAAAATTTACATTTATTGGAGTTACCCCTGGGCTGGGACCGTCAAATGACGGGGAGGGGGTAGGATACTAGGACATGCATGTCTCATCCATCAGGGGCTCCACTGAACAGATACTGCAATAAAAAAAAGGCAGATACTTCTTTTTTTCCCTCCCGGCATGAAATATGCATGTGAGGACGCCATTGTAGATCAAGGAAAACTGCTGCAAGAACGTCTCGGTCTGATTGATTTTACATTACGTGCCTCACAAACCTGACTCCCCCCCCCCCCCCCCATACACACACACACACACGAGACAAGACCATGTAAGAGTCAAGTAGCCATCACGTGCTGCCCGAGTTGATGGCCGTGGCTTGAACACAGCAGCCATTACAACCATTCCTTGTGAGCAGCTATACGTTCTATTCGAGTGGAAACAGTCAACTCTTCACATTTATATTTGACATATATTTGTATAATACGTATTTATAATTCATCTATTGTATATACGGACACGGTACACTGAGATAATAAAGAGAAAACGGCTTACCCGATGAGAGAGACAACAACACGGAGGCGGCACCAGCCACGGGTGTGTAAAGACGGGATGTCTGAGAGAGATCAATGGACACGCCTTAATCAATGGCTGACACACCAGTCTAGCTGAGCACTGGTGACACGCCCAGCAACTAGACTGCTATGCTAGGACACACGGGTGCTAGATGTGTCGTACAGCCACTGGCCGGCACGTCTCAGACCGGCAGCAGGAGGGGACGGGAGATAATTTGACACACACAGACCAGGGGAACAAAAAAATCAATCGGCCGTGCCTGCCTGTTGCTGTGTGCCGGCGGCCATTTGGGCGGCGTGGAATACTTGGGTAGAGGATGGTGAGTGGACGATGGGGATGGGTGGTGGTGAGTGGGGGATGGGTGGTGGTGAGTAGGTGATGGGGGATGGGTGGTGGTGAGTAGGTGATGGGTGGTGGTGAGTAGGTGATGGGGGATGGGTGGTGGTGAGTAGGTGATGGGGGATGGGTGGTGGTGAGTGGACGATGGGGATGGGTGGTGGTGAGTGGACGATGGGGGATGGGTGGTGGTGAGTGGACGATGGGTGGTGGTGAGTGGACGATGGGTGGTGGTGAGTAGACGATGGGGATGGGTGGTGGTGAGTAGACGATGGGGGATGGTGAGTAGGGGATGGGGGATGATGAGTGGGCGATGGGTGATGGTGAGTAGGGGATGGTGAGTAGGGAATGTGTGGTGGTGAGTACTCGATGGGTGGTGTTGAGTAGGGGTTGGGGGGGGGAGTGGCGAGTACGATGTGGGGATGGGGAGTACAATGTGGAGAATGGGGAGTACAATGTGGGGGGGGGGGGATGGGGAGTACAATGTGGGGAATAGTGATGTGCTTGCTTCAGTTATTCCCACTTTATTCAATACCAGAGCCCAGCCCAGGATAAACGAACAAGAGAACACAATGTGAACACCAAACGGTTGACTCAGCTAAAATCAATCAGATTGACTGAAACCTAATTATATTCCAGTTAAAACTGCAATCTTCAATTGATTTTTCTTGTTAAGAATAGCGAAGTGCTTCTACGTGTCTAAATCACGGGCAGTATTAAAGCGGTACTGGGCCATCACGGGCAGTACTAGAGCGGCACTGGGCCATCACAGGCAGTACTATAGTGGCACTTGGCCATCACAGGCAGTACTAGATCGGCACTGGGCCATCACAGGCAGTACTAGAGCGGTACTAGGCCATCACAGGCAGTACTAGAGGGGCACTGGGCCATCATACTAGAGCGGCACTGGGCCATCAAGGGCAGTACTAGAGGGGCACTGGGCCATCACAGGCAGTACTAGAGGGGCACTGGGCCACCACGGGCAGTACTAGAGGGGCACTGGGCCATCATACTAGAGCGGCACTGGGCCATCAAGGGCAGTACTAGAGGGGCACTGGGCCATCACAGGCAGTACTAGAGGGGCACTGGGCCATCATACTAGAGCGGCACTGGGCCATCAAGGGCAGTACTAGAGGGGCACTGGGCCATCACAGGCAGTACTAGAGGGGCACTGGGCCACCACGGGCAGTACTAGAGGGGCACTGGGCCATCATACTAGAGCGGCACTGGGCCATCAAGGGCAGTACTAGAGGGGCACTGGGCCATCACAGGCAGTACTAGAGGGGCACTGGGCCACCAAGGGCAGTACTAGAGGGGCACTGGGCCATCACAGGCAGTACTAGAGGGGCACTGGGCCACCACGGGCAGTACTAGAGGGGCACTGGGCCATCATACAAGAGCGGCACTGGGCCATCACGGGCAGTACTAGAGCGGCACTGGGCCATCACGGGCAGTACTAGAGCGGCACTGGGCCATCACGGGCAGTACTAGAGCGGCACTGGGCCATCACGGGCAGTACTAGAGCGGTATTGCATCACCACAGAGAGTGCTACAGCATGGAGATGTCACTATTGTGACATGCAGACATGACGTATGGAACTGATACAAATGGACCAAGTATGTCGCTTATGCCATAAAGAACAATAACTTGACCAGTGTACTAAAGATGTGACATTTGACATGAAGAACAGTAGCTGGCATGGGATTAATAGCACTGCATCTCCCCCTTCCCCCCCCCCCCCCCCCTGATTGTACTTGATTGTATTAGAAAGACTGATCTTTGTTTAACCCTACCTCCGACTGTAGATATTAGATCAGCCCCCTTCCCTACCCTTGACTGTCGAGACTGACCTTTCCACCCCCCCCCGTAATTAGTTCAGCCCCCCCCTCCCCCTTGACTGTAAAGACTGACCTTTGGTTCTGTCCGTGAGTGACCGCCAGGTCCTGGTGCTTGTCCAGCGGGACTGAGCCCTTGATGGTGTAGAACTGGGACTTGCTGGCTGCCAGCAGCTCTACGGCGCTCTTACGGTTCTGGGCTGGGGAGAGACAGGAGACATAGTAGGGGTCACAGGGGGGTCATAGAGGTTCTGGGCTGGGGAGAGACAGGAGACATAGTAGGGGTCATAGGGGGGTCAGAGAGGTTCTGGGCTGGGGAGAGACAGGAGACATAGTAGGGGTCATAGGGGGGTCAGAGAGGTTCTGGGCTGGGGAGAGACAGGAGACATAGTAGGGGTCATAGGGGGGTCAGAGAGGTTCTGGGCTGGGGAGAGACAGGAGACATAGTAGGGGTCAGAGGGGGGGTCATAGAGGTTCTGGGCTGGGGAGAGGCAGGAGACATAGTAGGGGTCACAGGGGGGTCAGAGAGGTTCTGGGCTGGAGAGAGACAGGAGACATAGTAGGGGTCATAGGGGGGTTAGAGAGGGTCTGGGCTGGGGAGAGACAGGAGACATAGTAGGGGTCATAGGGGGGTCAGAGAGGTTCTGGGCTGGGGAGGGGCAGAAGACAGTCGTGTGGAGGACTCGGTCATAGTACCGGTCACGGAAGTTTAGGGCTGGGGAAGTGGGGGGATAATTGGGTCGCATTTGGGAATATGTAACGACCAAATTACCCTGACACGACTATCTATAAAAAGAAAAGGTAAAATTAGACCATTAAAAAAGGTAACCCTTGATGCCAGCAGCACATGACCGAACACCTGCTCATGTTTGTGACGTGGACCTATTATAGTCTGTATTGAGGCAAGAGGAAACACCGCTAGCTATTTTACTTCCGCTACCACACACATGCAGAAATACCGGCTAATTTCCTATTTCAGAGATAAGACCTCACGTACCCCTCCACACCCCATCGCATGTTAAAAGAAAAATTAACAGAGCTTAGATCAACCTCTTCCGTCTTTGCTACTAGCTTCTTCAACAGTGCTGTTGGGATCACACTAACTTTAGTGTACTGTTACGTTTGGTTCTTACAACTATACTGTTTACTTTTCGTCATCGGAATATAATGTCTGTTTTGTAATTGGTCGTCTACATTTAACTGTAATGTTTATTTTATGATCAGATGGGTGCGTGGCAAGTCTTCAGTTACGTCCCTTCATGTACAGTGTTTCTTCCAGACTTTTTTCTCCGGGGGGGGGGGGGGGGGGCACTTGAAATTTTCGGGGGGAGGGGGGCGGTATAGATGCCTGGAAGAAACTCTGTTCATGTAGGCTTTAACTAGCGGGTTTTACTCAATCAATATGGGTGCTGCACTAGGAAGGCAATGCTGGCGTTCAAAAGGTGGTGTGTACCACATGTGTAGGTCTATATAGTGGACAGTGGTGTGTACCGTGTATACCACATGTGTATGTCCATATAGTGGACAGTGGTGTGTACCACATGTGTAGGTCCATATAGTGGACTGGTGTGTACCACATGTGTAGGTCCATATAGTGGACAGTGGTGTGTACCACATGTGTAGGTACATATAGTAGACAGTGGTGTGTACCACATGTGTAGGTCCATATAGTGGACAGTGGTGTGTACCACATGTGTAGGTCATATAGTGGACAGTGGTGTGTACCACATGTGTAGGTCCATATAGTGGACAGTGGTGTGTACCACATGTGTAGGTCCATATAGTGGACAGTGGTGTGTACCACATGTGTAGGTCCATATAGTGGACAGTGGTGTGTACCACACGTGTAGTTCCATATAGTGGACAGTGGTGTGTACCACATGTGTAGGTCCATATAGTCTATAGACAGCGGATTTAGGACATGACCAGTCGATTCCAACCCCCCTTCTCCCCCCCCCCCGGGGCAATTACAACTCCCTCCTGATACATTTGTAACAGTTTACCACAAACAAAACCTACACTGGTTACAAAGCGACCAATAAGGTAATAAAATGTACAAACGTTAATCGAGTAATACGGTCATAAAATAGCAGCACACTGACACAATGCTATAATAATAATAATAATAAGAGATAGCGACACAATAGGAGGATTCTACCAGCAATGGATTAACTTGTAAATCACACCAGCCGATGGATTAGATTTATAAATAGATGTTTGGGTAAATACGGGCAGCCTTGGGTGGGATCAGTTGGCTTCATGCCAGGCTAAAGTCACATCAGTCATATCCACACTAAAGTCACATCAGTCATGTTCTGGCTAAAGTCACACCAGTCATGTCCAGGCTAAAGTCACATCAGTCATATCCAGGCTAAAGTCATATCAGTCATGTCCAGGCTAAAGTCACATCAGTCATGTCCTGTCTAAAGTCACATCAGTCATGCCAGGCTAAAGTCACATCAGTCATGTCCAGACTAAAGTCACATCAGTCATGTCCAGGCTAAAGTCACATCAGTCATGCCCAGGCTAAAGTCACATCAGTCATGCCAGGCTAAAGTCACATCAGTCATATCCAGGCTAAAGTCATATCAGTCATGTCCAGGCTAAAGTCACATCAGTCATGTCCTGTCTAAAGTCACATCAGTCATGCCAGGCTAAAGTCACATCAGTCATGTCCAGGCTAAAGTCACATCAGTCATGTTCTGGCTAAAGTCACATCAGTCATGTTCTGGCTAGTCACATCAGTCATGTCCAGGCTAAAGTCACATCAGTCATGCCCAGGCTAAAGTCACATCAGTCATGTCAAGGCTAAAGTCACATCAGTCATGTTCTGGCTAAAGTCACATCAGTCATGCCAGGCTAAAGTCACATCAGTCATGCCAGGCTAAAGTCACATCAGTCATGTCAAGGCTAAAGTCACATCAGTCATGTTCTGGCTAAAGTCACATCAGTCATGTCAAGGCTAAAGTCACATCAGTCATGTTCTGGCTAAAGTCACATCAGTCATGCCCAGGCTAAAGTCACATCAGTCATGTTCTGGCTAAAGTCACATCAGTCATGTTCTGGCTAGTCACATCAGTCATGTCCAGGCTAAAGTCACATCAGTCATGCCCAGACTAAAGTCACATCAGTCATGCCCAGGCTAAAGTCACATCAGTCATGTTCTGGCTAAAGTCACATCAGTCATGTCAAGGCTAAAGTCACATCAGTCATGTTCTGGCTAAAGTCACATCAGTCATGTTCTGGCTAGTCACATCAGTCATGTCCAGGCTAAAGTCACATCAGTCATGCCCAGACTAAAGTCACATCAGTCATGCCCAGGCTAAAGTCACATCAGTCATGTTCTGGCTAAAGTCACATCAGTCATGTTCTGGCTAGTCACATCAGTCATGTCCTGTCTAAAGTCACATCAGTCATGCCCAGGCTAAAGTCACATCAGTCATGTCAAGGCTAAAGTCACATCAGTCATGTCCAGGCTAAAGTCACATCAGTCATGCCCAGGCTAAAGTCACATCAGTCATGCCAGGCTAAAGTCACATCAGTCATATCCAGGCTAAAGTCATATCAGTCATGTCCAGGCTAAAGTCACATCAGTCATGTCCTGTCTAAAGTCACATCAGTCATGCCAGGCTAAAGTCACATCAGTCATGTCCAGGCTAAAGTCACATCAGTCATGCCCAGGCTAAAGTCACATCAGTCATGTCAAGGCTAAAGTCACATCAGTCATGTTCTGGCTAAAGTCACATCAGTCATGCCAGGCTAAAGTCACATCAGTCATGCCAGGCTAAAGTCACATCAGTCATGTCAAGGCTAAAGTCACATCAGTCATGTTCTGGCTAAAGTCACATCAGTCATGTCAAGGCTAAAGTCACATCAGTCATGTTCTGGCTAAAGTCACATCAGTCATGTCCAGGCTAAAGTCACATCAGTCATGTTCTGTCTAAAGTCACATCAGTCATGTTCTGGCTAGTCACATCAGTCATGCTCAGGCTAAAGTCACATCAGTCATGTCAAGGCTAAAGTCACATCAGTCATGTTCTGGCTAAAGTCACATTAGTCATGTTCTGGGTAGTCACATCAGTCATGTCCCGGCTAAAGTCACATCCGTCATGTCCAATCTCAAGTCATATCAGTCATATTCTGGCTAAAGTCACATCAGTCATGTCCAGGTTCAAGTCATTTCAGTGATGTTCAGACTAAAATTACGTAATTCATGTCCTGGCTAAAGTCACATAAGTCATGTCCAGGCTAAAGTCACATCAGTCATGCCCAGACTAAAGTCACATCAGTCATGCCCAGGCTAAAGTCACATCAGTCATGTTCTGGCTAAAGTCACATCAGTCATGTCAAGGCTAAAGTCACATCAGTCATGTTCTGGCTAAAGTCACATCAGTCATGTTCTGGCTAGTCACATCAGTCATGTCCAGGCTAAAGTCACATCAGTCATGCCCAGACTAAAGTCACATCAGTCATGCCCAGGCTAAAGTCACATCAGTCATGTTCTGGCTAAAGTCACATCAGTCATGTTCTGGCTAGTCACATCAGTCATGTCCTGTCTAAAGTCACATCAGTCATGCCCAGGCTAAAGTCACATCAGTCATGTCAAGGCTAAAGTCACATCAGTCATGTCCAGGCTAAAGTCACATCAGTCATGCCCAGGCTAAAGTCACATCAGTCATGCCAGGCTAAAGTCACATCAGTCATATCCAGGCTAAAGTCATATCAGTCATGTCCAGGCTAAAGTCACATCAGTCATGTCCTGTCTAAAGTCACATCAGTCATGCCAGGCTAAAGTCACATCAGTCATGTCCAGGCTAAAGTCACATCAGTCATGTTCTGGCTAAAGTCACATCAGTCATGTTCTGGCTAGTCACATCAGTCATGTCCAGGCTAAAGTCACATCAGTCATGCCCAGGCTAAAGTCACATCAGTCATGTCAAGGCTAAAGTCACATCAGTCATGTTCTGGCTAAAGTCACATCAGTCATGCCAGGCTAAAGTCACATCAGTCATGCCAGGCTAAAGTCACATCAGTCATGTCAAGGCTAAAGTCACATCAGTCATGTTCTGGCTAAAGTCACATCAGTCATGTCAAGGCTAAAGTCACATCAGTCATGTTCTGGCTAAAGTCACATCAGTCATGTCCAGGCTAAAGTCACATCAGTCATGTTCTGTCTAAAGTCACATCAGTCATGCCCAGGCTAAAGTCATATCAGTCATGTCCAGGCTAAAGTCACATCAGTCATGCCCAGGCTAAAGTCACATCAGTCATGCCCAGGCTAAAGTCACATCAGTCATGCCAGGCTAAAGTCACATCAGTCATGCCAGGCTAAAGTCACATCAGTCATGTTCTGGCTAAAGTCACATCAGTCATGTTCTGGCTAGTCACATCAGTCATGTCCAGGCTAAAGTCACATCAGTCATGCTCAGGCTAAAGTCACATCAGTCATGTCAAGGCTAAAGTCACATCAGTCATGTTCTGGCTAAAGTCACATTAGTCATGTTCTGGGTAGTCACATCAGTCATGTCCCGGCTAAAGTCACATCCGTCATGTCCAATCTCAAGTCATATCAGTCATATTCTGTCTAAAGTCACATCAGTCATGTCCAGGTTCAAGTCATTTCAGTGATGTTCAGACTAAAATTACGTAATTCATGTCCTGGCTAAAGTCACATAAGTCATGTCCAGGCTAAAGTCACATCAGTCATGACCAGGCTTAAGTCATGCCTGGTCCCTAGTCCTTACTGATTTAACACTGTGCCAACGATCGTGAACCTTACCTCCACCCCCCCCCCCCCCCCCCCCCCCATAAAACATTTCACAACTTGGGTGTAGTAAAATTGTGCAATAGTAAAACAAAATTCCCTGACAAGTTTCAAATTGATTTATAAAGGTGAATGTCGAGATCACATTTTAAAGGGTGAAAAATTGTATACATGTAAGGGAAGTAATCCAATATTCCCTACCTTATAAATACAATTGTTATAGTATCCCCTGTCATAAACATTTACGCTAATTTGTTTAGGACTATTACCTCCCCATGTCCACTTTGTCACAAAAAACTCCCTCCCCCCTCCCTCTTAAAAAGACATCACACCTCAGACTCTAAAATATTTAAAGAGGCTGGTCAACGAAGAGTATATTAATCGATTTCTTTTTTAATTTAATTTTTTTTCTTTCAAAAACGTTCTTTTTTAAAATGCAAAATAACAGTTAAAATTCAGTTCACAACATAACTTTTTCAAATGGAAAACAAACATGCCCACGATAGAGAATTGTAAACTACTCACCAAACATTGTGAACTACTCACCAAACATTGTGAACTACTCACCAAACATTGTGAACTACTCACCAAACATTCCGAACTACTCATCAAACATGCTATGTTAGAGAATTGTGAACTACTCACCAAACATTGTGAACTACTCACCAAACATTGTAAACTACTCACCAAACATTGTGAACTACTCACCAAACATTGTGAACTACTCACCAAACATTGTGAACTACTCACCAAACATTGTGAACTACTCACCAAACATTGTGAACTACTCACCAAACATTGTGAACTACTCACCAAACATTGTAAACTACTCACCAAACATGCTATGTTAGAGAATTGTGAACTACTCACCAAACATGCCATGTTAGAGAATTGTGAACTACTCACCAAACATTGTGAACTACTCACCAAACATGCTATGTTAGAGAATTGTATATTACTCACCAAACATGCTATGTTAGAGAATTGTATATTACTCACCAAACATGCCCATGTTGGTCCGAGTTCTGAGGTATCCAGGTCCCTTGTTGAGCAGCCTGTCGGGCTGCTTGCCCATGGTGCATGAGGTCAGCAGCAGAGACATGGTCCCCTGTGGTGCCCGTTAGTTCTGGGAGCTGATCAAACAGCCACTAGCGTGGGAGTGGGAGAACCATCAAACGTCTGGGGTGTCTTTTCTGGGCGCCCCACCGCCACTATAGTCATTAGACGTCGCTTAACTTATTAGGGGACAGAAATGTTTCTCGTCAGTCAGCGAACATGACTGTCATCAGCAGGTAGATCAGGCCACAGGTATGTTAACACCGACACCAGCAGGCTCTTCCAGCTGTCAGCACGTCATTAGCAGGTCACTCTATCGCTACTCCCTCCCTGATGAGATGATATGAAATGAAGGTTGTAAAAGAATACGATTATGAAACCAGCTTACATAAAATGAAGGTTGTAAAAGAATACGATCATGAAACCAGCTTACATGAAATAAAGGTTGTCGTAGAGTACGCACACAACACTAAAATGACAGTAGCCACTCTAAAGGACCGCGCCGTGGTTCAATGTTGGCTCTAAACGTGAGTGTCACGTGATCTAACAAGCAGATGTACCTAGACTTCCCAGGTGTAAACTACATGAATATGCTCTAGACACTATGGGTTTCAATACTATAAGAAACTACATTTGATGATCAAATTCACAAAGCAAATACTTTTAAAAAACTAACGAATGTCTTTCCCAATTAAAGACAGCTGATTCCCAACTAATGACAGCTGATTCCCAACTAAAGACAGCTGATTCCCAACTAAAGACAGCTGATTACGAAATGCTAGGACATCAACACTCTACACTACACCACACAGAGAGGTGGGGAGTCGGCCTTCACACAATCAAAAGGATGGGAGATTAGGTAAAAGCTTTGGGTGCAAATCGTATTGCTCTTATCGTAGGTGACTACAGCCAAACATGCAGGTGTTTACAACATCATACCACTCACCTGCACAGCAAGCCCGGGATTCAAACAATACAAAATAAAAAATATTTAAAAAGCGTTGTTTAAAAACGTAATATTGAACCAAGAAGTGGCACAAAAATGTTGCTATTAGAGTAAAGGCAAGTCAAATCAACCAACACAAAAACAAACAGCGCCTTGTGATAAATACCGCGCCATGTCACATTTATGTAGGACTACTTCAGGACACGTATAACACTGTCAAATACGTGACTACGTGCATCATCAAAACAAGACTATCAACAATATGAAACCTACATAGGTCAAACTCCTGACTACGTGCATCATCAATACAAAACTATCGACAATATGAAACCTACATAGATCTGTACAACGCTGGCAACAATATGAAATTGAAATCTATGTACATCTGTACAACGCTAGCGACAAATAGAAAGTATTGATTAGATTGGGTATCCCCGTGACAAATGCAGTCTAAAAATAGGCTGGTTTTTCTGACACTATAACCGCTCCGAATCTCGTTTATTGTGATTGATCACAATGACTCATCTGATGTTACATGACATGTAAAGGAGGGTCCAATCAATACATTGTTTACAGAAGTCGGCCTGGTGTAGAGCCATAGAGCCATACACGGGTCAAATTAGCCTGATGGCGTTGTGATACTCGAATGTTGAGTAGCCTGGAGGTTAACTGGAGGTTTGTTTAGATTGGAAGTCACGTGACGATGTGTACTCCCTCCCAGCCGGCAGGAAATTGGTGACTGTCACCTAAAAACGACCAGAAGCTAACAGTGCAGGTAACTGGCATACCATGCCGCTCAGGTACAACCTACAGCTACCTGCGCTGACACCTGTCAATCTCCTTACACGAAAAACCAATCAAGCTTGAAGACGATTACAGGCAGTTAACCGTTAACAACAATCTTACATAAACGAAAGGCCTTGATATCGCATATATATTTCATAACTCGCTAAACTCTAAACACACATATAAATAACTAACCTATCAACACACCCCTCACACATACACAGTCCAAGTGCTACTTACGAAAGTCAAAGCTCAAAGTGACATGGACACCCCCCCCCCATACAGATAACACCCCATCCCTCCCATACATTGGTCCAAATGAAGGGGTACAGATAGCGAGGTCAGAGCGATGACTTAAGGCTAAGGCTGGCTATTTGACTGACTATCCAGGGGCAAACAACCCATGTTTGCATCTCCATCTCGTGCTCCTAGTTCAGTGTACACAAAGTTCATTAGCACGAACAAACTGGTTAGTGGTAACTCAAGTCAGTGGACACAAGACAACCCCAGTCAGACAACCCCAGTCACAGGAACACAAGACAACCCCTCAGTCAGTGAACACAAGACAACCCCAGTCAGACAACCCCACAGTCAGGGGACACAAGACAACCCCAGTCAGGGGACACAAGACAACCCCAGTCAGACAACCCCAGAGTCAGGGGACACAAGACAACCCCACAGTCAGGGGACACAAGACAACCCCAGTCAGACAACCCCACACTCAGGGGACACAAGACAACCCCAGTCAGACAACCCCACAGTCAGGGGACACAAGACAACCCCAGTCAGGGGACACAAGACAACCCCAGTCAGACAACCCCAGAGTCAGGGGACACAAGACAACCCCACAGTCAGGGGACACAAGACAACCCCAGTCAGACAACCCTACAGTCAGTGGACACAAGACAACCCCAGTCAGACAACCCCACAGTCAGGGGACACAAGACAACTCTACAGTCAGTGGATACAAGACAACCCCAGTAAGACAAACCCAGTCAGAGAATACAAAACCACCCCAGTCATGGGACATAAGACAACTCACAGGAACAAAAGACATTTCAACCCCAATCATGGAAACACAAGACAACCCCAGTCACAGGTACATAGGGCAACCCCAGTCAGGGGATTTAAGACACCCCCAGTCAAGGAAACACAAGACAACCCCAGTCATGGAAACACAAGACAACCCCAGTCACAGGAACACAAGACAACCCCAGTCAGGGGATTTAAGACACCCCCAGTCAAGGAAACACAAGACAACCCCAGTCATGGAAACACAAGACAACCCCAGTCACAGGAACACAAGACAACCCCAGTCATGGAATAGTACACAAGACAACACCATCAAAAGTATAAAACTATATACAGAAGTTAAACAGTAGAATAAATGTGTCTAAATATAAACCTGCATAATATGACTCAATATTAGGTTAAAATTTCAAATAATGCTAGATCAAGATTATTAACTCTATAAATTGGTTTAATTATTAAATTTGTCATAACACTTCTTTTTCTTCTTCCTTGTTTTTAATTTTGGTGTTGGAAGAGATTCCCTCCAACACAATTAAGTATTGTGTGTCAACTTGTTATGTGCAATATAAGCCATTGACTCCAATTTCAGCTAGCTTTTCTTTTTGGATTTGCTTCCATAGCCTTTGTCCAACCAAGAACAAACTACAAGGCAGCAGTTGTTTGATTTTGGAGTTGTCTCTCCTAGATGAGTGGCTGTCCCCAGCTATCCAGCCTCATCTGCCTGGGGTATGAACTCCACACTTTTCGGTTCAGCAACCGACCCAACCACCCTACCTCCTGTTATAACACAACATTTCATTACTAACATGGAGAAAGTGAAGTGCAGAGTTTCTTTCAGGCATTACTTCTTCCCCGAACAAAATAAAATGTATGTACCAGAATCCATGCCCACCCCTGAAAAATTGTGTCTGCCCCCCTCCCAGAGAAAAAAGGCCTATTAATATGTTTTAAGTAGCCAATAAATTAGTCCATGATCCTACTTTACAATAGACAGCCCAATTGTCTCACAAAGCAAAGAAGAGCAATATTGTATCTACATGTTATATACTGCCCTAAGTCTAGTGCTAAGCTATTGAGTACAAGATCTAGATATAGTAATAGTAGTAGACTTAGTAGCAATGTTTCTTTCAAGCATCTTTTCAGGTGGGGGCACACCCACCTATTAATAACAACACACACATCCCCCCCCCCAGTGTTTCTTCCAGACTTTTTTCTCCGGGGGGGGGGGGGGGGGCACTTGAAATTTTCAGAGGGGGGGGGGGGAGACACTGTTAAATGTATATATTTTCTATATAAATTATATAAATTTCATTTTGTTCGGGGGGGGGGGGGGGGCGGTAAAAATTCCCCCCCCCGAAGAGATGCCTGGAAGAAACTCTGATCCCCCCCCCCCCCACTGCTGGATCTAACCAGTGTTTCTTCCAGACTTTTATCTTCAGGGGTGCTCTTGACATTTTCAGGGGGGGTGGGGGGGGGCAGAAACTGCTAAAAGTATGTTTTCTATATAATAAATTCCTTTTTGTTCGGGGGGTGGGGGTAGATTTTCTTCGGGGGGGGGGGGGGGGCTCTGCCTGAGGTGCCTGGAAGATTACTGTAAGAAACTCTGAATCTAACTTTACTTTAGTCAGTAGTGTTGGCCCTAATAATTTATTAATTTAGAATTTAGGTCTAGTCTTTTCAAATATTTTAATTTTTAAGCCTACTACTAGATTTTAGATCTAGATCTAGATCTAGATTCTAGATCTACTTTAAACTTTAAACAGTTAAACTTTATAACAAAATCAAAACTGCTTCTCTCTTCAATATTAAATAAATATTATAGGCCTAATCTAATTAATGCCCGTTAAATTCTTAAAAGTGACTTAAAGTGGCGTTACACTTGTCTCAAACTAACTAAACTTAAATATTTTAAATAATACTTTATAAAACTTTTTTTCAGTTTAAGACAAGTTAAAAGTTAAAATCTAAAAATAAGAGTACGACGTTGAGCTAGGATCTATCTAGACTACTATTTAATAAATCAAATAAAACCGTTACCAGACTAACTAGATCCAGATTAAAGTATTTTTAAGTAAGTAAGAATAACGTACACTAAATGGGCGTAATAGTATTATAATTGTTTTTAAGCCAAAAACGCTTGTTTACCTTTTGGATTTGAGTCCTTACTTTTGGTCAGCAATCTTGTAGCCAGATAGCCAGATAAAAGTGTTGTAAGACTGCCAGATAACTTTTGTAGCATATTTAGATGTCCCAGATCTATTTAATGTTCAATTTTGTTTCAGTTTAAAATGCTATTCGGTTTTAAGTTTAATAATCGTAAAACGACACTATAACCTCAATCGATAACTCATCACCAGAAAAGAGATCAATCGTTGTTCGTAATATGTCGTTTCGTAATATTTAATAGTCTAGGCCTAGTAGCAGTTAGAGGAACAGGTGATTTCATTTCCGGACTCAAGGAAACAAACAAAGTGAAAGACAGGTGTTGCTCGACAAGGTTACCAGATTGGCAAACGTTATGCCGAAAAAAAGTTAAAACAGACAAAAATTTACTTTCTAAATAGAAACATGTAGGCTATAGTGTCATAAAATAAATGTTTGTTTTGTTTTATTTTTTAACCTACTTTTTTTTTACAATTTATGGGAAGCCGTCGTCTGCGGGTAGAATTCATCTGGTTATTCAATCAAAAGTCTCAAGTTCAGAACCCAGGCGCGAGCGATAAAAACTTAGGGTTAGGTTAACCGTTAACCATACTAACCATATGCCGTGGTGAAAAGAGGTGAACTCTATCTCCTCTATAGCCTGCCAGGTCCGAAATGGTATTTACTTTTTACTTTCTCGTATACAGATTATTGAGAAAGTATTGTAATCGTGCATAAAATATTAAATAGGCCCTACAATTTTGACAGTTTTTGCCGCACACCTCCCTTCTTTATGGTATATGGAATTCAAAGGATGTATTGTAATCGAGCGAAAATCTAAACTTTAATTTTGAGAAATCTTTACTACTCTACCGGAAAAACTTATTTTTGCAATTCTGTCCGTCTGTATGTGTCTCTAAACACGATAACTTGATTACAGTTTCTGTTATGTTGACCAAAATTCATATGAAAGTATTATATAAAATGTGTAACTTTAAACTTTTAAGCGATTTCCGGTATCCGGAAGTGGTATTTAAGTTGGTCTATTAAAAACCGATAAATTAAGTACCATTAAAGTATTAGATTGCCTGCGCTGTTTTCTATCAACTTTTGAACGATTTCCGGTAATTGGAAATGGTACTTTACTCTATTTCCGTCGGAACATGATAACTCGGTGGTTGACCGAATTGTTGCTTGGGGGTCATCCATAAATGACGCCACGCTTTTTTTGACGATTTTACCTCCCCCCTCCCCTCCGTCACACGTCGTCACAAAAAGCCAGACCCCCCCCCCCTAAAATGACGTCACATCTCAGCCTACAACCCCCCCCCCCCCCCCCCTCAAAAATGCTTTTGAATTTATTTTTTTTAAACATCGATATTTTTCCAAAATCTTGTCTGAACTCCGTCAAAATAGAGTATTTTAATCAGGTCCTATTACAATTTATTAAAACAGTTTTCTAAAACGCAAATTAACGTCTAAAATTAGTTTTCTAACATTGCTTTTATTTAATGTAAAAGTGTGATGTCGCACTATCTGACCCCCCCCCCCCCCTCATCACACACCGTCACAAAATTACGGACCCCCCTCCACCCTACGAGTGTGACGTTATTTATGGACGACCCCTTGACTAAGGAGGAGTAGATAATTATCTTTTGGAGATTGCAGTCAACTGATCGGGTTTAAAGCAGATATGTTTAGGAAATTTCACGAGCGACCAATCCTTTTTATTAAATAAAGCAAGTTACTTTATTTTCTCATTTTGAGTGCATTTAAACGCGTATTATTATGAATATTTTATTTTATATTTGTTTTATTTACTCCTTTCCACTTCTGACTATCTAAATTGTTATCTTCAAGTCTATATTTAATTTTGTAAAGTGTATTTTTGTTTTGATGAAACATACTTTTTTACTTTCTAATCATCACTTTTTTGTTTAATTTTGACTCTCAGAAGACGGTCAGACAGAGGCGTAGCGACCCTTCCCGGCGCCCGGGGACAAACTTTCGATTTCCACCCCCCACCCCCTCAAACTTTCAATTTGTTTTTCCAACCCTTAATGGCGCTCCCTTAGGTCGGCGCCCGAGGGCATATGCCCCCCCCCCCCTCGCTACGCCTACGCGGTCAGAAAATCTCTTAAAGTTACTACATCCACACAGAGACAGGGGTTGCGGTCATAATAGATTAAAAATTTGCAAGAGAAAGAAAAGTACGAATATGTATGTGATAGATTTTAGACATAATGTGGCTGATTAAGCCTAGCGAAATTGTATGGACCTGCATCTTGACGGTCATATGTGAACCTTGACGGCCGTGTATCTGGGGGACGTGTGGGCCAATTTTGGAAGAAATCTATTCTGCGGGTATTTACCCAAATTTCATCTAAAAATTATGTTATTCTTTTACACAAGTAAACAAAACGTGGATGATTTTAAATTTATTAAAAAAAAAAACAATTTTTATTAAATTGTGTGATACATTAAAACATTAAGAATGTCAATGTACTTGAACAGAACTCAATGCTGTGTTAACTATTGTTCTTATCCAGCTTAGACCCATGTTCTAGAAATCAATGGTGATTAATGATTGTTCCTATCCAGCTTAGATCTATGTTCTAGAAATCAATGGTGAGTAAATAATTGTTCCTCTCCAGCTATGTTCTAGAAATCAACGGCGAGTAAATGGTTGTTTCTATCCAGCTTAGATCCATGTTCTATCCACAGCTCCACAAAATTTGTCATCTTTTCCCGTGGTAGGACGGGCATGCTGTAGCTTTTTGAAAGGCCGTTCTGTAGATTGTCATGGAACGTTGCCTCTTGGCTCATCTATAGACACATACATAAGTTATAAGCATATATTATACAGCCATATATATATATATATATATATATATATATATATATATATATATATATATATATATATATATATATATATGTATATATATATATGTATGTATATATATATATATATGTATATGTATATATATATATATATATATATATATATATATATATATATATATATATATATATATATATATATATATATATATATATATATATATATATATATATATATATATATATATATATATATATCGTGCGGCGTCAAAACGGCCAATGACAAAACGACCCCGTCAAAAGAGCAGTGACATATGGACCCATATGTCAGGAGCCAATGTCATGAGCCCATTTATCGGGAGCCTAAACCTCGGGGGCGCATTTGTCGGGAGCCTATATATCGCAAGTCAACATGACGGGAGCCCATTTGACAGGAGCCAATAAGTCGGGCCTATTTTGACGGGGTCGCTTTGACGGGGTCATAATAACGGGGCCGTTTTGACGGGGCCGTTTTGTCCCGGGCCGTTTTAGATCATGTTCCAACCTATTCAGTTTGTTTTCATCACGTTTTTTTTTAAAAAAAAAAACTTAAACCAAACCTGTTGACTCAGGTTATCGCACAAGACATCTGATCGGGTGAAATTTGGGTTTTTGAAAAACCCAACATGTCCGCCATGGCACGTGGTTGAGAAGACCAAGTTCCGGTCATATGACTGCTGCAGGTGCTGGTGCCAGGGTAAGTTGGTCCCCACGTGGTCTCGTCTGACCAATGGGCAGTGGCTAATTCTGAAAATGACGACATAAATTTAAGGGCAAGTATTTAGCTGTCCGTAGATGCAGTTTACGCCCACCCCCACCCAGTGGCGTAGCGAGGTCGGGTGTCACCCGGTACGGCACTTAATGGTGTCACCCCCCCCCCCCCCCCCCCAAAAGCGTAACGACCCTTCCCGGGGACAAACTTTCTCAAGTTTTCGAACTTTCGATTTGCCCCCCCCCCCCCCCCTCAAGTTTTTCTCTATATATTTTGCTATTTTTCGCCTTGGTGTCTCCCCCCTAAATGGTGTCACCCGGTGCGGTCCGAACCCCCCCCCCTCGCTACGCCTCTGCCCCCACCCCATCCCACAATAAAAAAAATATTCCAACGCTTCAACTGTTACAAGTTGCGCCATTCTTATTTTCAACTGACACTAATTGCCTTCACGATTGTGAAAAATTGATATCTTCGACATTAGATATTCACGACAGTACATCCAATTAACCTAACAAAAAGGTGTATGTGTGTGTGGGGGGGGGGGGGGAGGTTAAGGCAGTCTTCTGTTTAGAAGTTGCGTGAAATCACCAACCCAGCCATCACTCACCCATAAAAACACGTGATACTACATCCAGCCAGTGGACCTACAGGACCTAAATCAACCAGTGGACCTACAGGACCTAAATCAACCAGTGGATCTACAGGATCTAAATCAACCAGTGGACCTACAAGACCTAAAGCAACCAGTGGACCTACAGGACCTAAAGCAACCAGTGGACCTACAGGACCTTGTCTAGCCAGTGGACCTACAGGACCTAAAGCAACCAGTGGACCTACAGGACCTTGTCTAGCCAGTGGACCTACAGGACCTAAATCAACCAGTGGACCTACAAGACCTAATCCAACAAGTGGACCTACAGGATCTAAATCAACCAGTGGACCTACAAGACCTTGTCCAACCAGTGGACCTACAGGACCTTGTCTAGCCAGTGGACCTACAGGACCTAAATCAAGCCAGTGGACCTACAGGACCTAAATCAACCAGTGGACCTACAGGACCTTGTCTAGCCAGTGGACCTACAAGACCTAAATCAACCAGTGGACCTACAAGACCTTGTCCAACCAGTGGACCTACAGGACCTTGTCTAGCCAGTGGACCTACAAGACCTAATCCAACCAGTGGACCTACAGGACCTAAATCAACCAGTGGACCTACAAGACCTTGTCCAACCAGTGGACCTACAGGACCTTGTCTAGCCAGTGGACCTACAAGACCTTGTCCAACCAGTGGACCTACAGGACCTTGTCTAGCCAGTGGACCTACAAGACCTAAATCAACCAGTGGACCTACAAGACCTTGTCCAACCAGTGGACCTACAGGACCTTGTCTAGCCAGTGGACCTACAAGACCTAATCCAACCAGTGGACCTACAGGACCTAAATCAACCAGTGGACCTACAAGACCTTGTCCAACCAGTGGACCTACAGGACCTTGTCTAGCCAGTGGACCTACAAGACCTTGTCCAACCAGTGGACCTACAGGACCTTGTCTAGCCAGTGGACCTACAAGACCTTGTCCAATGATTTTCTAACGATTTTCAGATTTTGTTCCTGCTTGTATTGCCTGATAAACTCGCTATATTTATTTGACAGAAGAATTTTAAAACCTAGCAGTAAATTTGGAACTTATGTTGCATATAAAAGCAATAAACCTTTCTGTTTTGTTTTGCTCGAAAAACTTTAGTAACGCTATAAAATTGCTACATTCGAAACAGTCTGTCATTAGTCAAGCTACTTTAGGTATTGGCCAGATATCATATATCGCCCTAAAGTAGGCCAAACCAGGAAGCTGATTAGGTCTAGTGTGTTTGGCTTGATGGCGTAAGTGAGTGCTATAGAAAGGTTATAAACGCAATGATCTAGCAATGAATAAACACTTAGCTGCCGTATACACGATGTCAGTAAATAAATCAATGTGTTGTTTGGTAACTGTGTCAACAATAACACCCAGTGTTTTGTGGCATATCACGTGACAGGTCGATAAGGGAAATAACTCACCGGGATTAACAACATCCAGAAAAACAATGGGCGGATTCGATTTCACTTAATCATGCCATACGGTTTCCTTTTCAAGTAAAAATAAAAATCGCACGCCTAGCAATTTGCATTCAACTAGCTCTTTGATTGCTGCAACAACACAGTATCGATATTATGGAATACTTTGATTGCGTAAAAATGTATTGATCGATGATTAAATAAACTTTCCAGCGTCAACTTCAGAGTTTCTTCCAGGCATCTCTTCTGGAGGGGGGGGGGGGGCAAAGCCCCCCTCCCATTTATATAATTTATATAGAAAGTATATACTTTTAACAGTGTCCGCCCCCCCCCCCCGAAGAAAGTCTACCGCCCCCCAGAAAATTTCAAGTGCCCCCCCCCCCCCCGGAGAAAAAAAGTCTGGAAGAAACACTGGTCAACTTATAGAATTAATAGTTCAGTCAGTGTAGCGAGTCACATTGTCTAATTGTCAAGTCATCAACAAAATTTCACATAGCCATCAAAAGATTACGCATTTAGGTAACCTTATGAAGCTGTGCCTTTAGTTAATCGTCATCTTCAACTCCATCGTCATCATTACTGGTCAGCTAATCAGTTTATCATCACCATTTTAAGTGATAATGTATAAACACAATTTATCGTCTCCCATGGGAATTCACTGCTCGCGTGAGATGAAACACCCGCGATAAGTGAGGTACCGCTGTGTGTAGCTCCGGCTAGGTAGTGTCAGTCATCCCGTCTTATCTGTATATAAGTATTATAAGTCCGGAGATCGTCGGCGTGAGTGAAGCGGGGATTTCACAGGAAAAAGGGAACACTACGGCGCTCCCGTGTCGAGCAAGGGGAAATCTCGGTTAATGTCAGTGAGTGCAATACAGCACTTTTAACAAACCAATGGGAGATTTCTGTCTCGTACACCGGGTAACTGCGACGGCTAGTATTTATATAAATAGTTAGAGTGTGGATCCATTCTACGCTCGGATGGGGAGAAATATTCTCAAGGCGTCCGCTGAGCTAATATATATATATATATATATATATATATATATATATATATATATATATATATATATATATATATATATATATATATATATATATATATATATATATACAGCATATGCGTTAAATATTAGACAGTATTTCCAGAAAGTGTATGAGGCACCTGACAAAGTCGTCCGATATGTTGCAGGGGCTGGCCTCTGACTTGCTCCTGCTGGGCACGGACCTGCACCGGAGGGGTTTGGGCGTGGGGTAGACGCCAGCCGGACGTTTGGACGCGCTGTCCGGCAGTAACTGTAGGGTGACGGTTGCCGGCTGTCGCGACAACAAACGTGCATCAAAAAGAAAACTCAAGTTGTTCCCAGACATGGCGCTTGCTTTATGTGCTGAAATAAAGCGGTTTCAAGTTGAGTCACGCGTGCTATGGTTTTTTAATGTGCTCGGGTGACTGTGTCTGTCAGTGGTGTCTGTCAGCGGTGACTGTCAGTGGTGACTCTGTCTGTCAGTTGTGGCTGTGTCTGATAGTGGTGTCTCTGTGTATGCCAGTGGTGATTTTATGTCAGTGGTGACTGTGTCTGCTAGTGGTGTCTTTCAGTGGTGACTATTTATCCGTGCTGACTATGCAGCTGACACATTTAAAACACCAGCCTCACACACCAAAACACCAGCCTCACACACCAAAACACCAGCCTCACACACCAAAACGCCAGCCTCACACACCAAAACACCAGCCTCACACACCAAAACACCAGCCTCACACACCAAAACACCAGCCTCACACACCAAAACACCAGCCTCACACACCAGCCTCACACACCAAAACACCAGCCTCACACACCAAAACACCAGCCTCACACACCAAAACACCAGCCTCACACACCAAAACACCAGCCTCACACACCAGCCTCACACACCAAAACACCAGCCTCACACACCAGCCTCACACACCAAAACACCAGCCTCACACACCAAAACACCAGCCTCACACACGAGCCTCACACACCAAAACACCAGCCTCACACACCAAAACACCAGCCTCACACACCAAAACACCAGCCTCACACACCAACCTCACACACCAAAACACCAGCCTCACACACCAAAACACCAGCCTCACACACCAACCTCACACACTAAAACACCAGCCTCACACACCAAAACACCAGCCTCACACACCAAAACACCAGCCTCACACACCAAAACACCAGCCTCACACACCAAAACACCAGCCTCACACACCAAAACACCAGCCTCACACACCAAAACACCAGCCTCACACACTAAAACACCAGCCTCACACACCAAAACACCAGCCTCACACACGAGCCTCACACACCAAAACACCAGCCTCTCACACCAAAACACCAGCCTCACACACCAAAACACCAGCCTCACACACCAAAACACCAGCCTCACACACCAACCTCACACACTAAAACACCAGCCTCATACACCAAAACACCAGCCTCTCACACCAAAACACCAGCCTCATACACCAAAACACCAGCCTCACACACCAAAACACCAGTCTCACACACCAAAACACCAGCCTCACACACCAAAACACCAGCCTCACACACCAACCTCACACACTAAAACACCAGCCTCACACACCAAAACACCAGCCTCACACACCAAAACACCAGCCTCACACACCAAAACACCAGCCTCACACACCAAAACACCAGCCTCACACACCAAAACACCAGCCTCACACACCAAAACACCAGCCTCACACATTAAAACACCAGCCTCACACACCAAAACACCAGCCTCACACACGAGCGTCACACACCAAAACACCAGCCTCTCACACCAAAACACCAGCCTCACACACCAAAACACCAGCCTCACACACCAAAACACCAGCCTCACACACCAGCCTCACACACCAAAACACCAGCCTCACACACCAAAACACCAGCCTCACACACCAGCCTCACACACCAAAACACCAGCCTCACACACCAAAACACCAGCCTCACACACCAGCCTCACACACCAAAGCACCAGCCTCATACACCAAAACACCAGCCTCTCACACCAAAACACCAGCCTCACACACCAAAACACCAGCCTCACACACCAGCCTCACACACCAAAACACCAGCCTCATACACCAAAACACCAGCCTCTCACACCAAAACACCAGCCTCACACACCAGCCTCACACACCAAAACACCAGCCTCATACACCAAAACACCAGCCTCACACACAAAAACACCAGCCTCACACACCAAAACACCAGCCTCACACACCAAAACACCAGCCTCACACACCAAAACAACAGCCTCACACACCAAAACACCAGCCTCGCACGCCAAAACACCAGCCTCACACACCAGCCTCACACACCAAAACACCAGCCTCACACACCAGCCTCACACACCAAAACACCAGCCTCACACACCAAAACACCAGCCTCACACACCAAAACACCAGCCTCATACACCAAAACACCAGCCTCACACACTAAAACACCAGCCTCACACACCAAAACACCAGCCTCACACACCAAAACACGAGCCTCACACACCAAAACACCAGCCTCACACACCAGCCTCACACACCAAAACACCAGCCTCACACACCAAAACACCAGCCTCACACACCAAAACACCAGCCTCATACACCAAAACACCAGCCTCACACACTAAAACACCAGCCTCACACACCAAAACACCAGCCTCACACACCAAAACACGAGCCTCACACACCAAAACACCAGCCTCACACACCAGCCTCACACACCAAAACACCAGCCTCACACACCAAAACACCAGCCTCACACACCAAAACACCAGCCTCATACACCAAAACACCAGCCTCACACACTAAAACACCAGCCTCACACACCAAAACACCAGCCTCACACACCAAAACACCAGCCTCACACACCAAAACACCAGCCTCACACACCAAAACACCAGCCTCACACACCAAAACACCAGCCTCACACACGAGCCTCACACACCAAAACACCAGCCTCACACACCAAAACACCAGCCTCTCACACCAAAACACCAGCCTCACACACCAAAACACCAGCCTCACACACCAAAACACCAGCCTCACACACCAAAACACCAGCCTCACACACCAAAACACCAGCCTCTCACACCAAAACACCAGCCTCACACACCAAAACACCAGCCTCACACACCAAAACACCAGCCTCACACACCAGCCTCACACACCAAAACACCAGCCTCATACACCAAAACACCAGCCTCTCACACCAAAACACCAGCCTCACACACCAAAACACCAGCCTCACACACCAGCCTCACACACCAAAACACCAGCCTCATACACCAAAACACCAGCCTCTCACACCAAAACACCAGCCTCACACACCAGCCTCACACACCAAAACACCAGCCTCATACACCAAAACACCAGCCTCACACACCAAAACACCAGCCTCACACACCAAAACACCAGCCTCACACACCAAAACACCAGCCCCACACACCAAAACACCAGCCCCACACACCAAAACACCAGCCTCGCACGCCAAAACACCAGCCTCACACACAAGCCTCACACACCAAAACACCAGCCTCACACACCAAAACACCAGCCTCTCACACCAAAACACCAGCCTCACACACCAGCACACCAGCCTCACACAACAAAACACCAGCCTCACACACTAAAACACCAGCCTCACACACCAAAACACCAGCCTCACACACCAAAACACCAGCCTCACACACCAAAACACCAGCCTCACACACCAACCTCACACACCAAAACAACAGCCTCACACACCAAAACACCAGCCTCACACACCAAAACACCAGCCTCACACACCAAAACACCAGCCTCACACACCAAAACACCAGCCTCACACACCAAAACACCAGCCTCACACACCAAAACACCAGCCTCGCACGCCAAAACACCAGCCTCACACACCAGCCTCACACACCAAAACACCAGCCTCACACACCAAAACACCAGCCACACACACCAAAACACCAGCCTCACACACCAAAACACCAGCCTCACACACTAAAACACCAGCCTCACACACCAAAACACCAGCCTCACACACCAAAACACCAGCCTCATACACCAAAACACCAGCCTCACACACCAAAACACCAGCCTCACACACCAAAACACCAGCCTCACACACCAGCCTCACACACCAAAACACCAGCCTCGCACGCCAAAACACCAGCCTCACACACTAAAACACCAGCCTCACACACCAAAACACCAGCCTCACACACCAGCCTCACACACCAAAACAACAGCCTCACACACCAAAACACCAGCCTCACACACCAAAACATCAGCCTCACACACCAAAACACCAGCCTCGCACGCCAAAACACCAGCCTCACACACCAGCCTCACACACCAAAACACCAGCCTCACACACCAGCCTCACACACCAAAACACCAGCCTCACACACCAAAACACCAGCCTCACACACGAGCCTCACACACCAAAACAACAGCCTCACACACCAAAACACCAGCCTCACACACCAAAACACCAGCTTCACACACCAAAACACCAGCCTCACACACCAAAACACCAGCCTCACACAACAAAACACCAGCCTCACACACTAAAACACCAGCCTCACACACCAAAACACCAGCCTCACACACCAAAACACCAGCCTCACACACCAAAACACCAGCCTCACACACCAACCTCACACACCAAAACAACAGCCTCACACACCAAAACACCAGCCTCACACACCAAAACACCAGCCTCACACACCAAAACACCAGCCACACACACCAAAACACCAGCCTCACACACCAAAACACCAGCCTCACACACCAAAACACCAGCCTCACACACCAAAACACCAGCCTCGCACGCCAAAACACCAGCCTCACACACCAGCCTCACACACCAAAACACCAGCCTCACACACCAAAACACCAGCCACACACACCAAAACACCAGCCTCACACACCAAAACACCAGCCTCACACACTAAAACACCAGCCTCACACACCAAAACACCAGCCTCACACACCAAAACACCAGCCTCATACACCAAAACACCAGCCTCACACACCAAAACACCAGCCTCACACACCAAAACACCAGCCTCACACACCAGCCTCACACACCAAAACACCAGCCTCGCACGCCAAAACACCAGCCTCACACACTAAAACACCAGCCTCACACACCAAAACACCAGCCTCACACACCAGCCTCACACACCAAAACAACAGCCTCACACACCAAAACACCAGCCTCACAAACCAAAACACCAGCCTCACACACCAAAACACCAGCCTCGCACGCCAAAACACCAGCCTCACACACCAGCCTCACACACCAAAACACCAGCCTCACACACCAAAACACCAGCCACACACACCAAAACACCAGCCTCACACACCAAAACACCAGCCTCACACACCAAAACACCAGCCTCACACACCAGCTTCACACACCAAAACACCAGCCACACACACCAAAACACTAGCCTCACACACCAAAACACCAGCCTCACACACCAAAACACCAGCCTCACACACCAGCTTCACACACCAAAACACCAGCCACACACACCAAAACACCAGCCTCACACACCAAAACACCAGCCTCACACACCAAAACACCAGCCTCACACACCAAAACACCAGCCTCACACACCAGCTTTACACACCAAAACACCAGCCACACACACCAAAACACCAGCCTCACACACCAAAACACCAGCCTCACACACCAAAACAGCAGTGACCCAAACAGTCATCACTGACCATTCTCATGGTACTTGACTAGATCTATGTTTTAGTCTGTGAATTCTGAACATATCATTAATATCAGCTATATTTTTAAAAAAAAATAGACAAAATTGTAAATTTTTTAAAGATATGCATTTTAAAAATTAAGAGACCCAGTTCAACTGATAATAAAACGTGCTTACCATAAATCCATCAACCCAACTTGCCAACGGTCAGAATAGTCAGAGAATAACTTTATGAAACTATTGTTCCCTAGCACTTATCTTTCTTAGTATTTCTAGTATTGTTCCCTAACACTTATCTCAGTATTTCTAGTATTGTTCCCTAACACTTATCTCTCTTTGTATCTCTAGTATTGTTCTCTAGCACTTATCTTTCTTAGTAATATCTATATCTTTCCTGGGCACTTTTTTCTTAGCACCTATCCTTAATTAGTTAACTTTGCTTAGCACATATCTTTCTTTAGTTAACTTTGCTTAGCACATCTTTCTTTAGTTAACTTTGCTTAGCACATATCTTTCTTTAGTACGTATCTGTCTATAGCACAAATTGTTCATTAGCACTTATCTTTCTTAGCAAATAACTGTCCTCAGCACATTTCTCTTCTGGACATAATTATCATCAGACGACTACTTTACCATCAAACAGAAATACGAAGAGAACCACGTTCGAAGTTCTGGATGTTGTCAATGACTTGCAGCGTCGGACCTATTGATTGGCGCCATAAGTTCACGTGACAATTATTGCGTTATACAATACTTAGCCCGCTGTTCCATTCATTCCCTTTGAATAAAACATGCCTGATTGGACTAACACAATCCAAGTGAGAAGAAATTACTGCGCGTGCTCACACGAATATCAAGAGCAGAGAGTGCAGCCTAGGCACTCCTGTAGGGTCAAGCCTAGGCACTCCTCACCTGTAGTGGCAAGCCTAGGCACTCCTCACCTGTAGTCGCAAGGTTAGGCACTCCTCACCTGTAGTCGCAAGCTTAGGCACTCCTCACCTGTAGTCGCAAGCTTAGGCACTCCTCACCTGTAGTCGCAAGCTTAGGCACTCCTCACCTGTAGTCGCAAGCTTAGGCACTCCTGTAGTGGCAAGCCTAGGCACTCCTCACCTGTAGTCGCAAGCTTAGAGAGTAGCGAAGGCACTTCTCACCTGTACCCGGAAGCCAAGGCATTACTCACCTGTTGTCGCATGTCTAGAGAATAGCCTTAGCACTCCTCGCCTGTAGCGAAAAGCCTAGAGAGTAGCTTAGGCACTCCTCGCCTATGGTCCTCACCTATACTCGGAAGCCAAGGCATTACTCACCTGCCTAGAGAGTAGCCTAAGCACTCCTCGCCTGTAGCGAAAAGCCTAGAGAGTAGCTTAGGCACTCCTCGCCTATGGTCCTCACCTATACTCGGAAGCCAAGGCATTACTCACCTGCCTAGAGAGTAGCTTAGGCACTCCTCACCTATGGTCCTCACCTATACTCGGAAGCCAAGGCATTACTCACCTGCCTAGAGAGTAGCTTAGGCACTCCTCACCTATGGTCCTCACCTATACTCGGAAGCCAAGGCATTACTCACCTGCCTAGAGAGTAGCTTAGGCACTCCTCACCTATGGTCCTCACCTATACTCGGAAGCCAAGGCATTACTCACCTGCCTAGAGAGTAGCTTAGGCACTCCTCACCTATGGTCCTCACCTATACTCGGAAGCCAAGGCATTACTCACCTGCCTAGAGAGTAGCTTAGGCACTCCTCACCTATGGTCCTCACCTATACTCGGAAGCCAAGGCATTACTCACCTGCCTAGAGAGTAGCCTAAGCACTCCTCGCCTGTAGCGAAAAGCCTAGAGAGTAGCTTAGGCACTCCTCGCCTATGGTCCTCACCTATACTCGGAAGCCAAGGCATTACTCACCTGCCTAGAGAGTAGCTTAGGCACTCCTCACCTATGGTCCTCACCTATACTCGGAAGCCAAGGCATTACTCACCTGCCTAGAGAGTAGCTTAGGCACTCCTCACCTATGGTCCTCACCTATACTCGGAAGCCAAGGCATTACTCACCTGCCTAGAGAGTAGCTTAGGCACTCCTCACCTATGGTCCTCACCTATACTCGGAAGCCAAGGCATTACTCACCTGCCTAGAGAGTAGCTTAGGCACTCCTCACCTATGGTCCTCACCTATACTCGGAAGCCAAGGCATTACTCACCTGCCTAGAGAGTAGCTTAGGCACTCCTCACCTATGGTCCTCACCTATACTCGGAAGCCAAGGCATTACTCACCTGCCTAGAGAGTAGCCTAAGCACTCCTCGCCTGTAGCGAAAAGCCTAGAGAGTAGCTTAGGCACTCCTCGCCTATGGTCCTCACCTATACTCGGAAGCCAAGGCATTACTCACCTGCCTAGAGAGTAGCTTAGGCACTCCTCACCTATGGTCCTCACCTATACTCGGAAGCCAAGGCATTACTCACCTGCCTAGAGAGTAGCTTAGGCACTCCTCACCTATGGTCCTCACCTATACTCGGAAGCCAAGGCATTACTCACCTGCCTAGAGAGTAGCTTAGGCACTCCTCACCTATGGTCCTCACCTATACTCGGAAGCCAAGGCATTACTCACCTGCCTAGAGAGTAGCTTAGGCACTCCTCACCTATGGTCCTCACCTATACTCGGAAGCCAAGGCATTACTCACCTGCCTAGAGAGTAGCTTAGGCACTCCTCACCTATGGTCCTCACCTATACTCGGAAGCCAAGGCATTACTCACCTGCCTAGAGAGTAGCCTAAGCACTCCTCGCCTGTAGCGAAAAGCCTAGAGAGTAGCTTAGGCACTCCTCGCCTATGGTCCTCACCTATACTCGGAAGCCAAGGCATTACTCACCTGCCTAGAGAGTAGCTTAGGCACTCCTCACCTATGGTCCTCACCTATACTCGGAAGCCAAGGCATTACTCACCTGCCTAGAGAGTAGCTTAGGCACTCCTCACCTATGGTCCTCACCTATACTCGGAAGCCAAGGCATTACTCACCTGCCTAGAGAGTAGCTTAGGCACTCCTCACCTATGGTCCTCACCTATACTCGGAAGCCAAGGCATTACTCACCTGCCTAGAGAGTAGCTTAGGCACTCCTCACCTGTGGTCCTGGTTGCTGGCGAGCAATTTAATGTAAGTCTTGGTATAAATTTTGAACCCATTAACGTAAGTCTATCAATGCATGTTTTTTTTAAATAAATTAATGTATTGTAAGTCTTGGTATTAATTCTTGGTAAACTAATTCAAGCCTTGTTGTTCTAATTAAGCTCAAGTTTGTGAAACATACGAAATCCTCATATTACACATAAAAGAAAGCATTCTATTGTTGGATTACCTCCCTTATTTTTAAAAAATGATTCTATGGCAAGATTTCCTCCATTTTCTTCTTCTACTAAACAAAAAACGACAAGATCAGAAAGTTTGTGTCTTTAATTGTCTACTCCCTGCTTAATTAGTTTGTAGATAGATGCTATATATTGGTTTAATGATTAAGTTAATATTAGTGCTAATATAAAATTACATGTAAAACAATTATTATAATCAACATATAGATAATTTAAAAACCCACAATATTTGTGAACGAGCACTGAATATTCTTAACCTCATTAGCTTAAGTACTTAAGTTATACCAGTATTAATTTAAAACTATGACGTTCAATAACAACACAATAATTTGCTAGACTTTACAAACAATGAAATAAGCAACATAAGAATCCTTTATTTTCCAGATTTTAATTGCAGCAAAAAATCTTTTAACATCATGATAGCCTTTGACCTATGGGATATTCCATTTTTAATTTTCTTGTCCATCTCAGCATAGGTTTCTTTATAGCCGTCAGGCTGGAATATGGGATCCCAGCCAAATTCAGTTGAGCCCCTGGGCTCCACAATTGTCCCGTTGCAGCGCCCGTCAAAGATGTGAACTTTTGACCCTTTCTCCCCCGAACTGTAAGCAAACACACACTGTGCGTAGCCTGACTTGTCATCATAACTTTTGAGCATTCTGTGCAGACCTGTGGAAGAGATGGGCAATAACGTCCATAATAAACTTGGTACACTTTATGGCAAAATGGGCAATAATCTCAATGATAAAATTTGTACACATTTAGTAAAATACTTTGTTAACCGTTATCATTAAAAAGAGAAAAATAATAATTAATGATGTATTAAAACATTTATAATTTTTTGTTTCTTTTCAAATAAAAAAAAATGGCTACAATGAGTGTACCTGATGGACCCATCTTTGCTAGGAACCATTTAATGTATAAAAAAAAAGGCTACAATGAGTGTACCTGATGGACCCATCTTTGCTAGGAACCATTTAATGTATAAAAAAAATGGCTACAATGAGTGTACCTGATGGACCCATCTTTGCTAGGAACCATTTAATGTATAAAAAAAATGGCTACAATGAGTGTACCTGATGGACCCATCTTTGCTAGGAACCATTTGATGTATGGTCCTGGCATGCCGTTCAAGGCATTGAAGCAAAGACTCACATCCTCTACAATAACAGGACCCTTAACTCTTTCTGCTGCAAGCTCACATTTTGCCGTTGCTATTTCTTCGGGTTCTCCTTGATATTCTGGCAAATCAATGTCTTGATTTTCAATCTGAAGTAGAAATTAGAAATTATCATATCATTTTTAATGAAAATATGAGGCGTATTAATAGTATTATTAATAAAATATTATAATTGATATTTTGCATTTTAATTCATATTTGAATGCAATTGATTTTTGTAAATACATTTAGGCTTAGTCTTACTCTCACCCTCCCAGGTTACACACAAGATCCACCTCATGATCATTACTAACCTATGTAATACTATAGATCATCATCTTTTCCCATAAATGCCCAAGATACATGGGCCAGATGAAGTAGAGTTAACCTGTTTCAATGACCTCGGCATAGAAAGGGATAGTGGGGTCAGCACTATGCCCAGCAGCCTAATTTTCCTAACCTGAACTTTTATAAAATTATTATAAAAATGATTAATTATGATACCTTGTAGGGAAAGTCTTTGCCAAGTATTTCAATAATCTCTTTTAGCTTATTTTTGTTTCCTGTACAAAGAACAATTGGTTTTGACATTCTTTTCTGAAAAAAAAATCAATATTTTTATTAAACTATTTGCAAATCATTTTAAAAATCAAAATTTTAAAGGCTTTTATTTAGCTAGCCCATGAGGTGTGTGAATGTATGTGTCTGTGGCAACACTGGTAAACCAATATATTTTCTAAATAAATTCTATCGCGTTTGGGGGGCTTAGACGTTCTATTAGTGGGGGAGTGGGAAAGAAACTCTGTACGCAAACCACTTAAATGCGTTATTGTCAGTGTCTTTATTATTGAGTATCGATGACATCATTATTATTAAGTATTTATTACGGGCAATGGCTTTTTAATTCTGCTTACTCTAGAATCAATGATGTCATATTATTGCGTGTACTTTTCCGGCTTTAGACTATTTCCTACTATATGTTCCATGTGACGCCACGTTTCGTTTGACTGTGAACGTTTTTACTTTGCTTGCGTTTTCTTTATAGCATTCCCAACAGACAGATAGATAGACAGAGTGACAGATAGTAAAACTATTATTATATATATAAATATAATTTTGGGGGGGGGGGGGGGGGGTTGGTGACATCATGAGGAGCTGCATTGGGTGACACCCAACCTGGAGACGCCACTGCTTTAACTAACAGGCTTGGTAATAAAAATAAAATGGCATAAAAAACACAACTTTGACCAGAATTTAGGACTATATAGAGCTATATTTAATAATTTATTATTAAAGTATAATCTAATCTTTCATAATTAGATCAACTTTATATAGAGTTTGAATTTTATTTATAATAATTAATATACTTTAATATAGGCCTAGTAGGCCCTATAGTGGCCTAGAGGCCTACATAAAAAAAAATATTTTTCTAGGCACATAGGCCTACTGAGTAGGCTATATTAATTAATTAGTATTACCAGTTCAGTAGTAATTAGTAATAGTAGGGCCTAACACGCCTACACAGTAACAGTAAAAACAGTAATAAAGTAATATTACTAATGTTACTTTATAGTTTGTTAAATAAAGGCGCATTAGGCCTAAACTAAACAAATTGAAATTTATTAAATATTAAGCAAACATTTTACCTAATAAAAAGTAAGCTGGGTGATTAAACCTTTAGTTTTGGCCTAAATATTTAGTGTTATTTTAGTAACTATTTACTCTTATATTCTTATATTCTCCCTAGCAACAACTAAACAAACAAGACAGTCGGCTGAATAGAAAAACTTGAAACTGAAATAGTCACGTCGTGTAGTCCTAAGCTCCGCCGGTCTCTAGGCTAGAGTCATTCCACTTTCAACTAGATTTTCAATAATCACATTTAACTGTATTGAATGGCATATGTGAGGACTGATATAGAGTATACAAATAAAAAGAACAATACATTTTTAAGTGCAGTAAAAAATAAGTAATAAACCCACAATCATTAGGTAACTAACATTAGATATGAGACACTTCTTGTATTTTAAAAAAATATTTGAATCGTTGAATGTATGTTTAGCCGTGTGCCAACTTTTACATTTACAATGGAGATTTTAGTTTTATGAAAGAAATATTGCCAGGTACTAAAAGCATCTTTGAGCCCAAAAAGACTATAAAAGACTTGACTATAAAACTAAATTTTTTATTGAAAAGTTAATAATCAGAATATTTTCCATGCAATTATATTTATTTTGATTACACGTACTAAAATTTTATTGTATTAGGACATTATTTCTAAAATAATATTACTGCAATTAAGTCTTTTGCTAACATCCGAACAAACATGTTCTCAAACTAATTGCCATATTCCATCTTCGTGTAACTTCCTGTTTACACTGCAGAGTGAAAAATGACAACTGTTTATTTTCCCCGTAAAATCTAACATCATGCAGCCGCAACCTTAGTCTTTTAACATTTTATTATTTAGCCATTTTTAAACTAGACAAAATGGCGCGACATCGGATTGTTAGGACAATGAATTATGAGGACGGTAAGCCAAAAATTAAAAATCATTGGGATCTCTGAAATTAATCCGAGGACTGTCAGTCACTGGTCAGTGTCACTGCCTGGGTTACAAACTGGGGTAATCTATCGTTTTAGCCTTAGGTACGTACAATCGCCCGCGACTAGTAATGGGAAAAACAGGTGACTCCTTAAATTTTAATAATTTCACATTTTGAGGAGGATTTATGTTTTGAAAAATACAAACATGTTTCCTTGTTTCATTTATGTAGGCCCCTACCTGACCTGTATTTTAAACAATTGAATTAAAACTTTTCAGTAATAATTGAAGACTAGCGATGTTTCCAACAGAAGCCATCTTGTTTAATTTTTTTTTGTAAACTTATAGCGCAAGATTCAGGGGAAGCCACTCTATTTTACAAATGGCTGCAGTTTACATAGCAAATCTTGCTCGCAAACAATGCTATTTATAGTTAATTTATGGCCTATATTGATATATTTAGCCATTGATTTAGGTTTATTATTCATATATCTATAGGGTAAAGGAGGGCGTTAAGAGCCGTGTGGTATTAAGCCCCAATCAACACCCCACCCCCACAAAACCCCCAATAACACTGCTAATCTACTTCTGAGGTAACAACCACTGCTGTTCTTTGATAACAGAGAAACAGAGGATTCATTTTATGTAATTTATGACCCACTTTGTCCAATAGGGAGAGGATGAGATAGGATTTAATCCCACTGCTCTTTCCCTAAAATTTCTCAACTCCATAAAACCATTTTGTGAACTTTTTTTCCAAATAGACATATCTTGGGAAACTTCACTTTGTAATAAACCAAATAAGTTTTTCAAGCCCATTGTTTGTTCCTATATTAGAGCATTGGTTGTTGTACATTTTAACACTATTTTTATAGCTATGGCTAGAATAGTTTTATTTTGGTGAATTTTTTTTGCACAGTGATTATTGGTGCCAAAACAAAATGGCCGACATTTGTCCCATTTTTCCATGCTATAAAGTTTTTATCATTATCAGAGTAAAACTTGACTGATCATTACCATAATGGTTTTATTTGTTAGATAATAATTAAATCTTCATGAATACATTAATTTTGTTCACTAGCTTGCCTGTTTAGAAAAGTTATTACAGATACTGTTATGTGGCTCTTGAAACCCTATGTGCGAGTTTCTCATTTATTAGACCACTGAATATGACACTGGTATAGGAATAGTTAACACAAAATGTATTAATTGTTAAACAGACTTGTGTCTAAAGGATAGAAATACAATTCTAACCTGCTAAAAAGTAAAAATTCAGCCATCTGATGTTAGCAATGTAATTTTTAAAATGGTACACATACTTATTACCCCTAAGGGGCAATACAGCCGACTCAGCCCCCACCTGTTTCTAACCAACCATAAAACTTCAAATCTCTTTGTAGGTAACAGGAATAAATGTTCTTAGGTCTCAGCCAATCTGGGGTGGTATGTTATGTAATTTATGACCCTCATGGTCCAGCAGGGAAGTAAACAGACACATTAATACCACTGCTCCCCCCTTACAATTTCTTACCCCCATGATACCCAGCCCCCACCAGTTTCTGGCCCACCATTAAACTTCATCTCTTTGTAGGTAACATGGATTACAGTTACAGATCACAGACAATCTGGTGTGGCATGTTATGTAATATATGACCTTCATGGTCTAGCAGGGTGGAGACCAAAGAGGAATGAGTACCACTACTCTCCCCTCACAATTTCTCACCTCCATGATAGCCAGACCCCACCTGTATCAAACCCACCATAAAACTTCATCTCTTTGTAGGTAACATGGACTAAGTTCTTAGATCTCAGCCAACCAGAGATAGCATATCCTTATGTAATGTATGGCCCTCAGGGTCCAGCAAGGAGAAAAAAGGGGAAACCAGTACCACTGCTCTCCCCTCACAATTTCTCACCCCCATGATACCCAGCCCCCACCTGTATCTAACCCACCATAAAACTTATCTCTTTGTAGGTAGCATGGACTTAGTTCTTAGATCTCAGCCAACCAGAGATAGCATCTCCTTATGTAATTTATGGCCCTCAGGGTCCAGAAAGGAGAACAAAGGGAAACCAGTACCACTGCTCTCCCCTCAACATTTCTCACCTCCATGTCATGTTATGTAATGTATAGCACACATGGCTTATCAGGGGAAAGCATTAAGGCAGATTAGTTAGTACCACCCCTTTTTACATTCAAGAATGTTAACTCTGGACAGCTACACACTAGTATACTAGCTACACACTAGGCATACTAATGTGCCTACTGTAAACTACTAGACTTTAGGCCCTATGTACACCTGCAATTGTATCAATTGTAGACTGGGCCCATTGGGGCCTAGTGATAGCTAGTATCAGTTAAAGTGTGTGTACACAGCATTAACTATTTTGGGGTTAGAAATTAATTATTTTTATTGTGGAGTTAGTCTAAACTAGGAGATATACTTATTGCCCCACTGCCTGGCTCCTTTCACCCCAAATGCTGATTTTGGGGGTATGACAATAAATGTTCAATTAAACCCATTTAAAGTATATTTAATAGACTTTGTTATTATTTTTATATTGTGTAAGATATGTTAGAATAATTTTGCCATATTTTCAATACTAAAAAATTCTTAGATTAGTAGAAATCTTTAAAAATATACAGGTGCTAAAAAGTGTGGCTCTTAACGCCCTCCTTTACCCTATTATTTGACACATAGGCCTATATCACAATATAGGGCCTACTTCTATTAAAGCACTTTACCATGAGGTAAATTTTTCGTACATTACTAGCCGCAGGCTATTTTACGTACCTAAAATGATAGATTTCCCAAAATGGATAGGCCGCTTTTGACTTTCTTGTATATGAAGTATAGAATCTAGAGAAAGTATTGTAATCATGCAAAAAAAGAAATCCCTGAGTTGGAAAAACATAGTTTTGCATTCTTGTCTGTGTGTGTGTGTCTGTAAACACGATAGTTATAGCTAGGTTGATGAAATTTCATATTATACAGGGTTCGTGCGGCCTCCTGAAATTCCAGGAGGTCCTGGAAAACTCCTGGAATCTTAAAAAACGTAAAAATCTCCTGGAATTTGAAAAAATATAAAAACCTCCTGGAATTCTCCTGAAATTTTAAAAATTCTCCTGAAATCTCAGGAAATTTTATTAACCAGCGGCGTAAAACCCGACCGAAATTATTTGATTTTGTTCCGCCAATAATTCCCCCTTCACTTTGTGGAGTTGGTGTTACTAATCCTTGGGCGTAGATCAAGAAATCTTGCCAGACTTTTGTCTCTGAAATTACATAATATTCGTCTGACACGTTCATCGGGTTGGCCGACTAGCCTAGCATCATTGGATTTGGCATCCAAAAATATCACGAAATGATATTAATTGGTGAAGTCTGCTTGCATTTATACCTCATTTATAGTGAACAACTCTTTAAAATTTGGTCCATACCCTCCCAGTATTTTTCCTCTTTCAGGGTCTATCTCGGTAGTCTAAAAAATCTGTTTTTTTTTAATGACAAAAAAAATCATAACTTTTTTGTTTATGGTCAGATTTTGAAAATTCAAACTGGTCTGTAGTCAGATTGATAGCCTCTATCCTAATATGTAACTAATATATTGTTTTACTTTTACTGAAATTAAATTTTTGCATTGGCTTAGCTAATTAAATGTATTATTAAGTACGCTTTTTTTTTTAAATGTACAAATTGGGTTTCTTTTTTGTTTTTAAAATCTCCTTGAATTTTTTTTTAAACTCCTGGAAAAGTCCTGGAAAACTCCTGGAATTTTATTTGAACTTTTGAGCATGAACCCTGATTATATAAGTATAATCTCAAATTAGTAGTTCTGTTTCAACTTTTCAGCAATTACCGGTAACCGGATGTGGAACTTATTCTACTAAATATACTTTCAATTTTTCCTTTCAGTTTTTCAAAAGCCTATAACTTGAGTGCTGATTCAAATAAATGAAATTTCACATATAGTACCTAAGTGAAAGATCTACTTTTCTGCCTTCTTTCAAATTTTGAGTAATTTCCATTGACCGGAAGTAATAATTTACGCTATTTCTGATTTCTCACAAAACGCATGTGAATTTATAAAGTACTAATAATATTGCGCACCATTATATACATATTGTTTGGAGTTCACTTGGTGCGCAATTCCTTTTTTACGAGATTCTATTTTAAAAAGTTTAAGTAATTAAAAATGAAAATTATTGTCTATATCCCAAGTTGACATCCCCTGTAGTTTTATATAAGAATATTCGAGAAAGTTTAGGGGAGATCACTCCCGGTTTATTTACTTTTACACTATGTGGTGACTATTTGAAGAACTCTGGCACTCTTTTTGAAATGAGTGTTATTACTAGATTATAATAGTTAGTTCTAAACAGCGCTATCTAAAAGTGATATATATATATATATATATATATATATATATATATATATATATATATATATATATATATATATATATATATATATATATATAAGCTTAGTAGGCACAGAATGGATAAAAATGTTAGTTTTTGTTATAAATATATAAGAAAAAAAAAGCACTGTTTTCAAAATCTACCCAGTCATGTTTTTTAGCTGTTGAAACGCTGGTTAAAAATTAAATAGATTTTAGAATAATTAAATATTAACGCTTATTTTAAACTTGAAACCATTTTAGAGTACTATGATGAAGAAGATGATTTATCAAGGTCGGTTGAGGATAATTACTGCATCTCACCATCTACAGGTACTTCTGGCTAATCAAATATCTGGGTCTAGTCATTGATGCTCTCTGCTCTTATCATCTTGTCTACCTACTACCTCTGTCTTATCAAATATCTTAGTTCAATATGTGATACTCTCTGCTCTTATCATCTTATCTACCTACAACCACTGGCTTATCAAATTTCTTAGTTCAACATGTAATCTGTTCTTATCATCATACCTATCTAGTTTATCAAATATCTTAGTTCAATATGATCTTATCATCTGTCCTAAATTTGATCTATCAATATGTTTCTTGTTGGCAATTTTAATCTTTAAATGTATAAAAGTCATTCTTTACAAATTAAATCTTATTTAGTATTCTGTTTCCCATCTGTACAACTGTATCATAAAAATTGTAAACATAACTTGTTTAAATAACTTATTCATTGAATATCTTTTCTTGTGATGTGTGTCCAATACAACTTTAGACCCTGTAATAAATTATATTGTTATTCTTGAGTTAACCATATATTGTACACCAAGTAAAATAATAATGAAATATTTTAGCTGCACAGTTTACTTGGAACAGAGAAAAAAGTCATGTGTTTGCTGCTTATATGGAAAAAGGGGTGATAAATGAAGAGGAAGAAACAGAGGATAGCTCTGTACATGAGGACAGCCTTCAGGATACAAGTTTACAACTGTCAGAGCTGGATCAAGGTGAGCACTTAGTTTACACCTGCCAGAGCTGGATCAAGGTGAGCACTTAGTTTACACCTGGATCAAGGTGAGCACTTAGTTTACACCTGGATCAATGTGAGCACTTAGTTTACACCTGGATCAAGGTGAGCACTTAGTTTACACCTGGATCAATGTGAGCACTTAGTTTACACCTGGATCAAGGTGAGCATTTAGTTTACACCTGGATCAAGGTGAGCACTTAGTTTACACCTGGATCAAGGTGAGCACTTAGTTTACACCTGGATCAAGGTGAGCACTTAGTTTACAACTGTCAGAGCTGGATCAAGGTGAGCACTTAGTTTACACCTGGATCAAGGTGAGCACTTAGTTTACAACTGGATCAAGGTGAGCACTTAGTTTACACCTGGATCAAGGTGAGCACTTAGTTTACACCTGGATCAATGTGAGCACTTAGTTTACACCTGGATCAAGGTGAGCACTTAGTTTACAACTGGATCAAGGTGAGCACTTAGTTTACACCTGGATCAATGTGAGCACTTAGTTTACACCTGGATCAAGGTGAGCACTTAGTTTACACCTGGATCAAGGTGAGCATTTAGTTTACACCTGGATCAAGGTGAGCACTTAGTTTACACCTGGATCAAGGTGAGCACTTAGTTTACACCTGGATCAAGGTGAGCACTTAGTTTACAACTGGATCAAGGTGAGCACTTAGTTTACACCTGGATCAAGGTGAGCACTTAGTTTACACCTGGATCAAGGTGAGCACTTAGTTTACAACTGGATCAAGGTGAGCACTTAGTTTACACCTGGATCAAGGTGAGCACTTAGTTTACACCTATGACTACTGTGAGTGTAAACTCTTTAGATAAATATTGTATATTAAACATGACAAATGATGCACAGTGCTGGAGTTGATACCAAGTAATTTGTGCCTTGATGTTACCAGCCAGGTTAAACAGCTGTCTGGAGGAGGCCAGAAGCATTATAGGAGATTCCATACCTGAATCTGTCGTCAGAGATGTTGTAGTCAAAAATAATTTCAACCTCGAGGCCTCCATTAATGAACTTTTGACACAGCAGGGTACGTTGCATTCTTCTTTTTATTTCAATTCAAACAAAATCTTAACCCTTTACAGGCCTATGCGCTCTCTGTTGCTGAGAATTTTTATGTATGGTACAGTCCAGTGCACCTGCGGTCGCCCTACTGTGTATAGTATATGTATTTACGCGTAATAGCAGAAGTCTCATTAGTAACGAGATTTTAAAGATACCAGCCGAAGCAGGAGATAGTTTTGTTTACGTTGTTTTCTCGTTCTATCACTAGTGGTTCATTTTCTATGATTTTTCTAAAGTTGATGATTTTTTCTCACAATTATGGGCAATATAATTAGTTAAATTAAATCTAATTAAAATACTTCTGCTGTTGAAAAGGGCTTTATTAATGATGTAATTATTGAAAAAAAAATTAGCTCCAGTGACTACATTGAATTTTTTTAGCATTTAAAATAAAAATTTTATAGCAATAATATTAGAAGTAATGTTTAAGTTTTTCTGGGATTAGTGTTACTTTTAATAATTAGTATTATTGATTAATTAATAAACTACGAAACTATTTAACCTCATGCATAATAAACGTGGACCAGTTTTTTGTATAATGCTTTTTATTTAATTTTTTAACATGTTTTTTTTTTTAATTAAAAAAAAGGTTGAAAATTGTGTCATCTTTTTTCTCGGCCATAGTGGAAATAAAATAGTTTTGATGTCACCATATTTTTAAAATGGAAAATTGTTACAAAGTTGATTATTTAGCAATTGAATGATATTTACCAAATTTGCTTATCTTCTTTCCAAAGATGCACCAAAGCCACAACGAGAGCCCAGACAAAGGAAAACACGTTCCCAAGGTAATGGACAAGATACGTTTACCTTATTCATTATTAAATTTTTGTAACATTTTCTCTTAATCTCAACAAGCTTAGTTTTATATCTAAAGTTTGATGATTAAGCTTTTTTGTCTAATGTGTTGCCATTTTTTTTCTTCTCTCCATTCCACCTGGCCACTCCACACCTGTCCCTGGCCACTCCACACCTGTACCTGGACACTGCATAATGCTGCTGGCTGTTGTAAGGTAAGATGTTGTAGATCTAGACAGATTCTTTTTTGAAATTGAAGCCGATGACAAGCATAGTTTTACAAAAAACTCAACCCAAGAGTTGAATACACATTTAAAACCAAATGATAAAATGGCAGCTGCGATAGGGAAAGATTTTAATTTAACAAATGTGGATAAACTTGCCAGAAAAGATGTTTCTAATTTTTCTGGTAATTTGTATAATGGGCGAGTAAATCTCTCAACTTCACCACAAAGTGTAATATCATTGTCTGATTTGGTAAAACAGTCTCGCCCCACTGAATCATCAAATATAAATTCCCAGAATAGCCAGATAAAATTGTCATCAGTTGGGCCATCATTGTCTGATTTAGTAAAACAGTCTCGCCCCACTGAATCATCAAATATAAATTCTCAAAGTAACCAGATAAAATTGTCATCAGTTGGGCCATCATTGTCTGATTTAGTAAAACAGTCTCGCCCCACTGAATCATCAAGTATAAATTCTCAAAGTAACCAGATAAAATTGTCATCGGTTGGGCCATCATTGTCCGATTTGGTAAAACAGTCTCGCCCCACTGAATCATCAAATATAAATTCTCAAAGTAGCCAAATAAAATTGTCATCAGTTGGGCCATCATTGTCCGATTTGGTAAAACAGTCTCGCCCCACTGAATCATCAAATATAAATTCTCAAAATAGCCAGATAAAAATGCCACCACTCAAACCATCCTCCTCTGAGGTAGGTATACCATTCAGATCACTCAAATCTTGCAATTTAAAGGAAAATACTGACGATAAGTACAAACTTGCTGAAGATTTAGAAAATCTAGAGCTGAGTCATAAAGAAAAAAACATGCTCAGCAAACCTGCTGGAAAAAGCCTTTCTCTCTCCTCCTGTCTGAAGGCGAAGAGGGTGGAGGAACCACCAGACAAACATCTTGCCTTGAAAGCTAATCAAAAGCCTCAACACAAAGTCCCATCCGTTGACGCTGCTGCTTGTCCTAATGAGGAACCGCTCCGGCTTAAAGCAGCTGACCCATCACTGTCTGATCTCCTGTCACCAGCCTCCTACCCGGGGCTAGTTCTGTGTGGCCTCTTGCGCAGAAGGAAAGTCTGTGATGAGTACTCAGCCCCAGGTAGATGTGCCAAGTACCCCAAGTTTACCTGCAGGTTTCAGCTGGCCAACAAACCCCTTTACGTGGAAGAGGTGTACAAGGTCATTCACCCCTTTGATTTTACCAGCCCTTCCCCTGATGATATTGTCAAACAGAAACAGAAACTGGCCTTCACTCGGTCGGATAAGGAATTTGTTGTTTAACGCATTAGGTCAGACAAAATTTGTTGTTTAATGCATTAGGTCAGACAAAATTTGTTGTTTAATGCATTAGGTCAGACAAAATTTGTTGTTTAATGCATTAGGTCAGACAAAATTTGTTGTTTAAAACATTAGGTCAGACAAAATTTGTTGTTGACACTTGATATTCAAACCTTAGATTGACCAGATGACTTGTATAAAAGGAATGTGCTATTTGAATCCAGTTGTAGTCAAAACATGAGCTCAAGTTTAAACCATAAACTTGTATATTTTTGTGCTGCAGACAATACCTAATGTGAAAGTCATCACATGAGAATTTTATAATTCCAGCCAACCTAGTATGACTAACAAAGCTTATAATCAAATATACAGTTCTGAAATATCAAAAGTGTCTGGTTCTTCTGTGAATCTGTGGGCTAACTTCATGTTTTTTTTATCTATAGTTCTAGAACAGTTTAGTCTTTGTAGTTCACACATCTCCTGTTGGCCACTTGTTTGATGGCCACTTCAAGTTTAATGTGTGACCTGATGGCCACTTGATGTGAGACCTGATGGCCAGTTGTTTGATGGCCACTTGAAGCCATGAAAGTATGCCAGAGAAACTTGCCCCCAGCAGGTAGGCAGTGAGTCTTGTATCACTGAGGCCCCTAGGTTAACATGCTCCCAGTGTTTGCCTTGAGAGGACATATCAGTGAGTGGAACACAGAACTCACTCGCTGCTCAACTTATACCTTCATTCAATCAAAAAGAGTGTACCCTTGACAAGTTAGAGATTTAATAGTTTCTCAAAAATTCATGACCACTTAAAATGGAGTTTATGAACTATCTGAACTAAAAATGTAAATATTTTTTATCACCAGATTTTATTCCTGAGAATGGATGATTAGTTTAATGAACTTTTGTTTTTATGTTTCTCAATTTCAATGAATTTTTAAGGCTTACCTCCCTAGATTTTCATATGTATATATGGTTTATATTTTATTTTTTACTCTGCCTGCATCCATTGTTTTTTTTTCACTTTTTAAAATGTAATTGGTGATAATTTTTATATTTTTTTCTCTATCATCATTGGCAACTATTAAACATTTGAAAATAAAAAGAAGTACTTATACAAGTCTTGACTTTGTTTTGTTCCTACTCCATTTCCATCTGATGATCTGAATGTTTTACTGTCCTATTGATGCTTGTTGACTGGTTTTACTGTCCTATTGTTGACTGGTTTTACTGTCCTATTGTTGACTGGTTTTACTGTCCTATTGTTGACTGGTTTTACTGTCCTATTGACTGATTTTACTGTCCTATTGTTGACTGGTTTTACTGTCCTATTGTTGACTGGTTTTACTGTCCTATTGTTGACTGGTTTTACTGTCCTCTTGTTGACTGGTTTTACTGTCCTATTGTTGACTGGTTTTACTGTCCTATTGTTGACTGGTTTTACTGTCCTCTTGTTAACTGGTTTTACTGTCCTATTGTTGACTGTTTTTACTGTCCTCTTGTTGACTGGTTTTACTGTCCAATTGTTGACTGGTTTTACCGTCCTGCCCTCTAGCCACAGTTTCAGACCACCAAGACTCCACATTGTCTGCTGCAGTGCCGACCGTCAAAACAGTAGCTCCCCCTGTCACCCCAGCAGTGGTCAAGCCGTCTGAATCCTCCACTAAAGTCACAGTGGGGTTTTTGCAGACAGACACCCACCAGGGGACGCCACCAGGATCTCCTGCTGCCAGTAAAAAACCTGGGCTCAAACTTAAAGTCAGGAAAGATGCATCCCCAGCACCCCCCACAGGTAAAGCTTCAGTGAGATCAGAGGAATCTGAAGACAGCCTGTCAGGAGCTGGTCAAGGCACTCTCAACTCTAACTTAAGGAATGCTGTAGAGTTCATGGGGCTGGAAGGGGATCAAGAGACTATTCAGACTTCAGTTGATTCCATGAAACCTGTTCCAGCCACACCCAAATCTAAGTGAGTTGTTTCAGTCACACCTACAGCTGTTTCAGTCACACCCACAGCTGTTTCAGTCACACCCACAGCTGTTTCAGTCACACCCACAGCTGTTTCAGTCACACCAACAGTTGTTTAAGTCACACCAAGTCACACCCACAGCTGTTTCAGTCACACCTACAGCTGTTTTAGTTACCCACAGCTGTTTCAGTCACACCCACAGCTGTTTCAGCCACAACAACAGCTGTTTCAGTCACCCACAGCTGTTTCAGTCACAACAACAGCTGTTTTATCACACCAACAGTTGTTTCAGTCACACCCACAGCTGTTTCAGTCACAACAAGTCACACCAACAGTTGTTTCAGTCACACCTAGTCACACCCACAGCTGTTTCAGTCACACCAACAGCTGTTTCAGTCACACCAACAGCTGTTTTATCACACCAACAGCTGTTTCAGTCACAACTACAGTGTTTCAGTCATACCAAAATGTACATCTAACAATGCTCTAGAAAAAGTCTAGTTAACTCTGCCGCCACTTCCTCTCCAAATCTAGACTATGCTATTTCACCTGTCTGCTCTCTCTATACTTTTAACTCTAAGTTCTCTACTTTAGATGTCTCCTTAGCCTTAATCATCTTGCTACATTGTATTACCTCTGCTATAAAAGGATGTTGTGATTGCCTTTGTGATTCAGATAAATGGAATAGTTTAGCTAATAAAATATGTTAGTTTAACAGACACTCACCAAACTTATCAGACCGTCTATACATGATTAAGCTGGATACATGTCAAACTGGTAATGTTGTTCTATTTACCCCATAAAACCTACGTAATCCTGAATCAGGACAACAGCTGTGGACTACAAACCATATCAATTGCCACGTTACTTCTGTAAATATTATTAAAGTGAAGCTAATCCCTATTACATGCCAGCCATTCAGTGTGCACCTAATCCTACATGTCCATAATAAAAAAATCTAATTATATTTTATTATTACATATAGAAAACATTATTGATATTAAAAGAGAGTAACCATAATACAGATAAGAAAAACAAGTTTCGAAGAAACACAATTCTGCAAACAATACCATGTGAACCAACTACATTTTCAATGCTGTAGTGTGACAGCAGTAGAAAATGTTTCAAACTACTTACTTTCTGTTCTGTATAAGGTTCTATGGGTCTGCTATTGTGTAAGGTTTCATGTGTTGTTTTGTTCTAGCAATCCTTGTTTTGTTGTACATGGCTTTTACCTTGAAGACAAAACTTTTATAATTGAAAGTATTAATTATGATACATGTCAATACAGATCTACTTACTACTTTTCACATAAATATATATTTGATTTTAGAATGTTTTTATACTCTTTGTTATTCATATATTTGTAGCTACAGTATATTATTGAATTAGAAAGCAATACATTTTTGTATATCATTTTGATGGTTAACATGTGTAAAGGATTGACTTTAAACAGATACCTTGATACTTGATCAGTGATTGATTACAATTTCTTAAGTAGCTTGAACTTCCTTTTTTTCTAGATCCAAAAATAGCAAAGTTGATATTCAGGCAGAATATGTGAAGCGTCATGGCAACAAAGATCTTCTAAACCTGGTGGTCATAGGTCAGTGAACCTTTTGTACACAGTGCAGTTTGTGTTCTTTTCTCTGTGCAGTGCACATCTCAGCTGACATTTCTAAACTAACCCCTTCCTGTATGTATGTATGTGTGTAAAGCATCTGTAGAGAGCCCTAATTTCTCCATCAGGTCATGTAGATGCTGGTAAAAGCACCCTGATGGGTCACTTGCTCTACCAGCTGGGCAACGTCAACAAGAAAACCATGCACAAGTTTGAGCAGGAGTCTAAGAAGATTGGCAAGAGCTCGTTTGTGTTTGCCTGGGTGCTGGATGAGACTGATGAGGAGAGGTAGGTCCAGTTTTGTCTGACCACGTGAGAGCACTAGGGTGTCAGTGTAGTCGGGGTGTCACTGTGGATGTTGTTTGTATGTCTGTTTGTTGTCTGTTTGTATATTCCCATCAAACATTCATCTCTTTCAGAGAGCGGGGCGTCACCATGGATGTAGCTCAAACAAGGTTTGAAACTGATAAAAAAATAATTACCTTGCTTGACGCACCTGGCCACAAGGATTTTATACCCAACATGATAACAGGTAATGCTCTAGTCAAAACTGGGCTGTAATGGTCAAGTAATATAATGATTGACGTCTTCTTAAACACTGAGTTTAAGTTGTTGTTTTTTTATTGGACGAAATAATTTTAACAATGATTGATGTTGTATATTACTGAGATTATGTTTAAGAAATGTTTAAAGTTGTATACATTTATTTCAGGAGCGTCACAGGCTGATGTTGCCATTCTAGTCATTAATGCAACAAGAGGAGAATTTGAGACTGGCTTTGATGCCGGCGGTCAGACCAGGGAACACGCCCTTCTTGCCAGATCTCTGGGTGGGTACACAGTTCCTCAGGCAGATCTGTGGGTGGGTGGGTACAGCCTTTCATACCTGGACTGACACAGGTGTTTATTGCAGGTGTTGGCCAGATCATTGTGGCTGTCAACAAGATGGACACGGTGGACTGGAGCCAGGAGAGGTATCAGACCATAACCAAAAAGATTGGCCAGTTTTTGAGCAAGCAGGCAGGGTTCAAGGAGTCTGACATTTCCTTTGTCCCGTGTAGTGGGCTGAGTGGGGAAAACCTGACCAAGCCTTCCAGTGAGCCCAAGCTGACCCAGTGGTACACGCCCCCTACAACCTTGATACAACAGATAGGTGAGGGTCAAGGTTACTTTTGTTTATATTGATAAAGAGGATAGGGAAAGGTCAAGGCTACATGTTAATAATTTTTTGATACAGCGGATAGGGAAAGGTCAAGGCTACATGTTAATAATTCTTTGATTCAGCAGATTATCAACCAGAGTTTTTTACCAACAGAAAAAGTTGTAATTGAAGCTGATTAAAATATTTTTTTCAACGCCAGAAAACCTGCGTCCACCTGTCCGACCTATTGACAAGTCCTTCCGCCTAATGGTCTCTGACGTCTTCAAGGGTGTTGGCACCGGCTTCAATGTAGCTGGACGGGTGGGGTCAGGGTGTGTCCAGCCTGGGGACAAGATCCTCATTGTGCCCCTGGGATCTACTGCAACCATCAAAAGTATGTCTAGTTTTGGCATTGACTGAAGGGTAGCAAGATAGCTCTAAAAAAATAGTGGGCGGAGTCATAAAATAAATAATTACAAAAACAAAGCCATATGTTCTGCAACCATCAAGTCAGACTTTTATGTTTGTTGATGACCTGTGGCTGCCTACCTGAATGCTTAATAGCCTATCAGCTTCAGGTGCATACCTGGCTACATATTTTTCTTTTGATTAAATTTATTCATCAATTATTAAGTATTAGATGAGATTTTGATGAAAATGTATTGCGCAATACATTATCAAATTCTATTTCTGTAACATTTGTAATAAAGCTGTTGCCTTAAAATGAACTGTTGTACAGTCATGACTAGCTAGTGTTACAAAAATAAGGTAACATAGCTAAGCTGATTGTTTTGTTTGTTTCATTACAAAAATAAGGTAATATTGCTAAGCTGATTGTTTTATTTGTTTCAGATGTTTACATTGACGACGTCCCTGTCAACTTGGCATTTGCTGGTGATCATGTGAACTTGACTCTCAGTGGTGTGGACATGTCGAGTGTAAACATAGGTGATTGTCTCCTGGTTCAGTCTTAGTAGGCCTCAGTAGAGCTGGTCACACTAGGCCTACATCAGTACAGCTGGTCTCACTAGGCCTACATCAGTACAGCTGGTCTCAGTAGGCCTACATCAGTACAGCTGGTCACACTAGGCATACATCAGTACAGCTGGTCATACTAGGCATACATCAGTACAGCTGGTCTCACTAGGCCTACATCAGTACAGCTGGTCTCAGTAGGCCTACATCAGTACAGCTGGTCACACTAGGCATACATCAGTACAGCTGGTCATACTAGGCATACATCAGTACAGCTGGTCTCACTAGGCCTACATCAGTAGAGCTGGTCACACTAGGCCTACATCAGTAGAGCTGGTCTCAGTAGGCCTACATCAGTACAGCTGGTCTCACTAGGCCTACATCACTAGAGCTGAGTTGGAACTAGCAACTAAAAAGTCAGATCTGTACAACTAAACAAATAATTCCAAATGTCTTTGTTGCAGGCAACTGTTTGTGTGATCCCAATAATCCAGCCAAAAGTGCCACAAGAATCCGAGCAAAAATTGCCATCTTCAACATTGATGTACCTCTCACTAAAGGATTCCCTGTGGGTTATTGTATAATATAAAGATATCTAGTCATTATGGCTATCTGGTAGTAATAAAAACCTATAAAATGACATTAGGGCATGTGCGTAAATTGTAATTAATTATATAGAGATAAATTTATATCATGTTGCTGCTTGAGATTTTTAAACGTACTTTTCACTACATGCAGGTTGTGGTCCATTATCAAGCAATAAATGAGCCTGCCGTGATTAAAAGACTTTTAAGTCAGTTGAACAGAAGCACAGGTGAAGTTGTCAAGAGAAAGCCAAGGTGAGTCAGTAAATCTTCACAACTGGCTAGGTTAATTCAGTGCTTTTGGGTGGAAATGTAGAATCTTATTTTACTGTTCATAAAAAACATTTGTACAATTAGTAAAATAAGATTTTAAATTTCATTTTTGGATTTGGTAGTTGTGAGCTGGTGAAATGTTTACTTGTTATAAATGAGATGAGTCACTGTTCTTAACTAGTAATAACAATCAATAAGTCTCTAATATTCAAGCCCTCTCCTCTATACTTCATATAGCTATCAGTTTAGCTTGGTGCACTATAATAAATCTCATTATTTATTTTTTATTGCTTGATTGTGAGGGCATATTGCACTAATTTATTACATTACCCACATCAATTGTGCTTTACTGGAATATATTTTCTTTAATTTCACAAATAAAACCAATATGATGACTTATCTGTTCTAATCTAAATATCCCAGCATGAAATGTGTATTTTCAGATGTCTAGTAAAAAATACCAGTGCTGTGGTAGAAATTGAAATGGAGCGTCCCATGTGTCTGGAGCTGTACACAGAGTTCAAAGATTTGGGAAGGTTTATGTTGAGGAGTGGGGGGCACACAATAGCTGCAGGCCTGGTGGAGGAGGTCAGTCAAATCTGTTTGATTAGATTCAACTTTATAAGCTACTAGTTTTCTCAGTACAACTTTTGATACATGGAAATGAAATTTAGACCTCACTTCTTTATCTTATAGAAAGACCCTTTTAGGTTTAAAGCTTAAATGAAATAAGGGTTACACTCATTCCATTTTTCTCTCCTCAGTTGATTCAAACCAAAGCTGCACAAAATGGAGTCAGTCAGAGCTAATTAGAATCTAGGCAAATTACCTGTGCATTTAATAAGAGCTTACTTGGATTATAAAACGAGGTGAACTTTGAGTTTCTGGCTGTGAAACTGAAAGCTGTTCATATTTTCACTGTCTGGTCAACTCCTCTAGACTCCTATCAAACTAAGTCGTAAAAAAAAACCCAAAGTAGTTGGGTTTTAAAAACAAACATAAGTATTTTTGGCTTACATTAGGTCATTTGTGTGGCTTATCTCTTTATCAATCTAAACATACTACTATCCCAATGGATTTTTAACCCAACTCCCACTGGCAGTTCTCTGGGCTTATACATTTGAAGAAGAGTAAAATGCTTACAAAATAAGCATGTATTTTAATGCTGTTGTTTTATTGACTGTAAAGGGTGCATGAATGTCCTACCTGGAGACATTTGGTCCTGAAAGTGTTGTTTGCTATTGTTTTAATTGTTTGTGTGACTTGAGGAAATAAAACATTTCCAACCTTATGTTTGGTATTTATTTGGAGATCAATGGAAGGTGACTGAGAGAAAAGAAAATATAAAACATCATTATTATGTGGTTCATGTTTATTTCATATCTACAGACAAAAATATGGATCATAAAATAATTTTAAGAATCTTTAATTTGAATGATACATGAGAATTTCTTTGTGGTAATGATAAGGGGGAAACAATTGCATTGCACAATCACAACATGCACAAGGTTAATAGACATGGCAAAATGTAGACATGAAATAGTTCAAACCAGCTTAGCATTAAACTTCATTCATTCAAACTTCAAAATTTGAAATAAAATGACCTACACCAAAAACAGCCATCACCCTGCTATGCTAAAATAAAACACTATCACATCAAAAATATCCCCACACATGACATATGAACAGCATTTAAAATCATGGCAATGCAATAAATCCTCACAACTAACATTTTAAAAATGTGTATAACATTGAATGTTCCTGATCTTGCTTTCTAATAAAAATGCATAAGCCTTAAATCAGCTCTAAGTGGTCAGTGAAAGACTTCTATCCTTACATAAACTTATCTACAATAGACAATAGGATACATTACTCATTTAAAACTTCCATTAATCAACTTCAGAAAAATACAATGTGGTTACAAAAAATCTCAACTTTTGACAATAAGTTATGTAAATCAAAGACTCTTGCCATATTAACATAAAATCAGCATGACCATATTTAAAAGAAAAAGTTATACCCATCACCAAACATTGCTAAAATTGTCAGAAAAATATCTGGAAATATAAAATTGCTCTTGCAGCAAGAAGGTGCTGGGGTTGAATAAGTAGTTGTAGGTCATTAGGGTTAGAAGGGGGAGGACTAAGTGTAATGGTCAAGAAACATGAAAAAAGTTTATTATGAATGGGATATATTCAACTACCTCAAGTTGCGGCAGAGCTACTACCTTATGATTGAAAAAAAAAAACCATGAGCTCTGGTACACATCAGTTTTTTCTCATGAAATCAAATTATTTGTCCACACTTTAATCATGTGGGAATATTAACTCGAAAAAACAAGTTAGTTTAATAAAAATGTGACACTTTTGATATGAAACTATTGTTATGGACAAAGACATCACAAAGTCATTCATCATTTGCCCTATATATGGTCACAACCACCATGTTAAACAGTATACAAGTACCTGCTTTAAATTTTACTGTTATTTCAATACCAATATTTTAAAACACAAAACAAATGCGTCAACTACTAATTGAATAGTTATTACAAGAAGACCATTTTTTCCCCCTGAAACCATTGAGAGATGTAGCTTCAGCTACCAACAATAAAATATACAATTATTTCAATATAAAAATTTCAGGCATCTTTCATCTAATCTCATCCCATGATTATGTAATCAAATCTATTTAAGACTTTTTTTGAAATAGTCCAAGTCATTGTTTTTGACATCCATTCACAACAAATTTATGAAAAACTTAAAATTATTTCCCATCATTTAAGTGTCGAGCAATTAAATAGTATATGTTAATTTAAACATTGGAAGACAGGATAATATTTCTGTGCAACTATTTTTTCAAATGAAATCATGTTTGGAAGACTAACCTGGCAAGATTAGACTATCTAAAAAGATATTTCATGAAAATGTTCAGAAACCCTGCTGGGTTGGTCATCCATTGGTCCATCAATCAGGTCATGTGTCAATTGTCAAGTGCAAAAAATACTGCATAAAACAGAAGCCTAGGTACCATAAATCATGGGTCATTATGTGGGTCATGATCAACACGTTTTCAGCAGATACAGTCTCTCTACTGTTGTGACAATGGTGTGTCAGATTTCATAGCACAATAATAGTTAACTTGGTCAACAAATGTGCACCTTACATATAGTGGTCTAAAGCAAGACATGGATGCACACCAAATACTTACACTTACAGCTAGTATCTGCCAACCACCAACACACATCAAATACTAACAGTAAATAGTATCTGCCAACCACCAACACACATCAAATACTAACAGTAAATAGTATCTGCCAACCACCAACACACATCAAATACTAACAGTAAATAGTATCTGCCAACCACCAACACACATCAAATACTAACAGTAAATAGTATCTGCTAATCACCAACACACATCAGCAAACTGGTTCATGTCAAAGCATAAAAATGTTAAGTTAATTAGCATTTTTCCCATCAAAAATATGATTATTCCAAAACAGCTTAAAAATAATTTCTCGTCAATATATTTTGTAATTAATAAAGTAAGTAGATGAAATAGAGATAAAAACAATCTTTAGTGGAGCTAGAACTTCAGTTTTAGAGGTAGACTCAGAAGACAAAGGAACTATCAAGTTTAATTTGTGCAAAATAATACATTTAACACTGAGAGAAATAATTTTTTCCTAAATAGTTTTTTAAATTCATTCATGAAACAAAAATAGTACTTGTAATAAAAATCAATAAATTCTGTATCATAAATGTAAATATAGCTAGCTAGAGGCTCAGCTCCATAGCATTAAAGAACTTTTTAGAATATATTATAAAAACTGAATATTACAAATCTACCATCAAAACCAAAAGTTTGTACATGAACAAACTTGGGAATAAAACTAATCTCCACAACAGAGAAAATGTAACAGTGTAACACATGTAGATACAAACCCTGTATGTATAACAGTAAAGAGAAACAAAATGCTATTGAGGTTTTTGAGGGGTAGGAAGGCAAGGCAAATAAATGAATAAATAAAAAGCAAACAAGTATTATGGACTCAACCAAAAGAATGAAAAGAATGAGGTGAGCAATGGTTATTACACAGCCTTCAAGTAGGCCAGCTGGAAACATGAGCTGTACATAGAGATTTCAGTTCTAGACACAAGTTAGTGCTAACACTACTTCCAACTGGACAAATGGCACAATCATACAATGAATCTCTCACTTATTCTAGTTACAACAGCCTAACATAATAGTTTGCATAAGTAAACTAACAAAATCTATGAGAATGGTTTTAAGTTGTCCGATTCATTTTTGAAGTAAACAAATATTACATTTAAAAACATTTTAAAAATACACTGATTGCGAAGATCTATTTAACAGTTAAATTTAAAGTCTCGTTGTAAAATGTAAAAAATATTGATCTCGTAAATAATGTGCAAAATGACTAGATGGTGGTATACCTATTTATCAAAACTAAGATGTCCTTTTTAATCTTTATCATTCACTACAGTTCTTGAAACTATAACAAAGGTTGCAATCACTATAAAGTAGAAACATACAGCAAAAGATAACATCAACATTATGAAAATCGTCCAAAGAAAGACACAATGAAATGCACAAGTGGATTGTAAATTAAAGTCCATATAAAAATATGCATACCCTTTCTTATTTCTGAAAATTTCATTTTGTTTTTTATCAAAACTGCCTATGTGGTTGAAGATATCACAACATGTCTGTCTGGTGGTTCAAAGCACTCAACAAATAAAAGAGAAAAATCTTACTAGAGTGGACATAAGGTGAGACATTGTTATCCTCATCATTGAGCTCAAGAACATTCCAGTCTTCTCCGTTTGACTATTGCATGTTGAAACAGGTGAAAAATGGTAGGCTGGTCATTCTTGTCATGTTGCTGTCAGGTTTCATATCACATAGGTAAATTGTTAAAAACATTGAAGGAATGCTGCTTGTTTGACACAACATACACATATTGGGCTTTAGTTGTCCCTTCTAGGCTTCTTTTTCTTACTCTTTGGTGCGGCTTCTTGCCAGGAATCTGTTGAAAAACATTATTTTGATTGAAGGGAAGACACATTTTAGATTCTACTGTGAGTCTGATGACTAAAAAGTTTTACATCTCTTTAGAATAGAAAGCTAAAATGAAGCCAACCTCCTATTTCATCAAAAGACACAGCAGCAGGAACAACTTGTGGTTCAGAAATGGCTGGTTCAGGTGCCACTTCAAGTGCTAAAACAAACAGTTCAATTGTTATTTTATAAGCTTTAGCAACTGATAAAAGTTTTTTTTTTAAATCTTAATTTTACAGATTATTTGTGTTTATTTAAGAACATCAAAACTAAATGTATTTTCATTTTTCTGTAAACTAGTATGAAGAATACCTTTGGTAGGTGGATCTGGCTTTTTAACGGGATCTGGCTTTTTAACCACTGCCTTTTTGCTGGGCTCCACCTGCTTGAGCTCAATGTCCACAGACTTTTCAGAGGGAACCTCCTAAAATATTTCAAGACATTAATAAATTAGGATTTGTTTAATGCTGTCATTATACTAGGTCTGAGTTTTTTCAAACCAAAGCTCATATTAATGTTGTATTGTATGCACTAAAAATGAAAATATACAGATGCATAAATTCTAATCAAAATTCAAAAACTTAATGTTTAAAATTAATATAATAATTGACATTTATTTTTGTGCTATTTTTTTGTACAAAACTAATTCCATCAAGTGTACAGGTACAAAAAACTAGGCTGACTTAGCTATAAATATAGATAGGTTATTTACAAAGTAGGTTAAGTTCTGCATACATTTGTAAATTCATAAATTATTATGGTAAAGTTATTCCTTTATACATGATAATTATTTCATTAGAAAATGTACCTTATTGAACATACTAGAGAAAATATTCTATTATCATCTAATAAATCAACAAAAATTGGATCCTGCCAAGTTTACCCTGAAATTTTAAATACATTCTTTAAATAACACAATATACATAAAAATGAAAGTGCTTTTAAAAATCTGTACCTGATTGTTTTCACTGGTTTTAGATTTTTTCTTTTTGGGGCTCGTCTTGGAAAGCTCAGTATTAGAGGATCCACTGCTTGGTTTTGGCTGCTCAGTTTGGGCTGGAACAGCCTTTGCTTTTTTCCCAGAAGCTGCTGCAGCTGCAGGTTCAGCACTCACAGGTGCAGAGACAGCTTTCTCTGGCTGGGGGCTGACTGGCTCAATGGGGGTTGCTTTGACCTTCTTGGATTTACTGGGACCACTAGGCTTGGCCTGTTCTCCTGACACTGCTGCTGAAGCAGTGGACTTTTTAATGTCTCGGGCTGCTGGTGCAGGGCTAACTTCTTTTTTAACTGACTTTCCAGAGGCAGGAGCTGCACCTTGAGGCAGATTATCAGCAGCAGGAGCAGCTCCGGCTGCTGCATTAACAGTTTTCTTATCTTTCTTAGCCTTCTTTTTTTTATCAACTGGTTCCTGAAAGAATTCACATTTATTGTATGCCTACAAGGATACCAAAACATGTAAAAAAATCTGTTGTGTTTGCTAAATGTTATCATAGACTTACATCAGGTTGAACAGCACTTGTCTCTATTACACTTGAGGAGGAAGAAATTTCAACTTTTTCATCAACTTTTCCCTGCTATATAAACACATATTACTAGAGCAGACTAATCATGAAAGTTTGACAACAAATACATTACTCTTTGAAACTGTTTTTTATATACTAGAAGATTTTTAAGATTAAAATCTATATTTGATCTAGCAATTTACCTTTTCAATTGGTTTATCTTTCCTCTTCTTCTTTAACTTATTGAATGAAAGAGGGCTTGACTCTTCTGTTTCAATTGAGGTTATAGAAGCAGAAGCAGCTGCTGCGTCTGGTGTTGACAAACTCTCTTGCTCATTTTCTACTTCAAATGCAGATTCAGCATGCCCTCCATCTTTCTTACTTGGCTTCTGCTTTTTAGTTTTCTTTGATACCAGTATAGTTGTCCATTCACCTAAAATATATTAAAGGTTACAATTTTACAAATCTGCTCTTAGGTAATGTTTTATAAAATAACATCAAGGCTAAATGTACGGTTCTACCACATGCTTTAATTTACATAGCTTAGCATTCTGCATTAATCAATGTTAGAAAACATTTTTACATATCAAAACAGTAAATTATAATTAAATGACATTTAAAAATACATAACATTTACAAAAATAGGTTTAAAAAAATTGTCTTTAACTATCAATAGTATCAATACAGTTATTAGTTGTGTCTTTACATGGCTACTAACTATCAACATTTTTAATGAATTTAATCAATTCATATCAACTATTCGAAACTGATGCATCCACAATTAAAATAAGTTTTTACTTTTATTAAAATTACATTATAAAATCTGAAGCATAACTTCAACAAAGAAATTCTAAAAAGCAGAACTTCCAACAAAACTACAACTCTTCAGTTCTGCTAAGACATAATAAACATTTACCATCATCTTCAGTTTCTTTCTTTAGAGGAACAGCTTTTTCTTTTTTCACAACTTCTTCTTTATTTCCAATTAGCTTCTTTGAAAGTTGCTACATGGTGGTATTAGAACAAAAACTTAAAATACTATAAAGTAAACATAATAGTTGTTACGTTTTTTCATTTGTTTACTGTTAAATTACAACTGCAAAGCAAATTTCTATTTAACTCAAAAATGCAATATAACACTTATACAAAGTAATAGTATTTAGATTACATAACTAATTAAGTAGTTTACAAGTAGGTCTAATTTGAATTTATATGAATTTCAAAAAATATAAACCTTTTCTTTTTTGTCAGTTTTAACTTCCTGTTTTGTATCCTTTTTAACTGGTTTAGAAGTATCTGTCTTAGGCTTAGGAGGTGGTGATGGAGTTTTCACTTCTTTAACAACTTTGGGTGTTGCTTTAGGTACATCATCCACAATGGTTTCATTTAACACTTGTCCATTTATTGGACTTTTCACCTGCAAGTCAAAATGAACCAAATGCTTAAGGACAACAAAGTGACACACCTATGCTTACAAACCCCCCACAAAATTGCATTCTTTTTTTATAACATTCATTTTATGTGTGCATTAATCAGTATCTATTATAATTTACAAAGACTGTTAAAAACACAAAATAACTCAAACTCAGCTTCTAACAATACTTTTTTAAATTTCAAAGTGTGTTCTCCCACTTTCTGACCATCTCCCCCCTCCCTCCGCCAAAATTCTGGAATTGCCTTCAAATGTGAAATTATTTAGGCTTATTTGAGTAAATGATTAATAATTACTCAAGTATAAGTATAAGCACTACCTATGATTTACCTGATAGTACACTAGAATTAGATTAGCTATCAGCTGATACTCAAGGGGGTATGTGTTAGACCAGTATCTGATAATTCCCCCCCCAAAAAAAGACACTTCTTAAAAAAGGGTGGTAAATAGCTGGTAGTAGTAGTCAACTCAATAGAATTATGAATTGTACTGTCAGTGCAAACTCAATCCCTAATCCAAGTTATACAAAAGCCTAACTCAAATTTCTAACTTGACTCAGTGACTGACCTGGACCATAATGGTAATACCAATACCCCAAATTAAGTATGTGCACTGAGTGGGACTGTGTGCTCAAATGGTACTCGAGTCTCGAGTTCAAATCCGGTTTCAAGTATGTAAAACATTTCAAAGTCAATCCAGCTACGATGGGTAACTGACTCACATTAACAGTTAGCTGTTAAGGCAAGTGAAGGTGGCTGGGCATAGAGCTGACCACACTATCGTCCTTTCATATGCTGAGGTTACATGCCTACTTCTTACACTTATTGAGTATAGGCCAACTATCTAATAAATGTCGGTTATTATTCCAGAATTGTACAGCAGTAAAAAACAGTAAAACCACGGCGCAGTCTGTCGAGCCGTTCCGGGAACCGCAAAAAATACGTAAAGCATCATTTATTTGCCGCCATATTATTTTTAATACATGTTCAAAAATGTGCATGGATTGATTTTAGTTGCATTTTAAATACTGTTTTGCTAATTATTTTGTATTTCTAATTATTTTAAGTGTATGTGCTAATTATTGCTGCTACTAAACATTAATCTAGTTCTTCCTACTAATTTAAACATTAAATCTAATTGTCTTATTTTACAAGATCTAGAAGTAGTTGTTGCAACCGCAAATCTTCTGCAAGTTTTTTTTTTCTGTGTTTCTTAAAAAAACATTAATTGTTACACTTGAGTTTATTAATAATATTTAGATATACTAATTGTTGCTAATTTTCTGTCAATTGAACATTAAATTAAGTTAAAACATTAATTTAATGCACTTGACTTTATTACAACAGTCAAATAAACATTGTTTTACAGTAACGAATGTTACCGAAACTCAATAAATTACCAGATAATTTGTAACGCTATATCATGAGATTACCTACTAAACTACTAAATAACTCAGATTCAACATCTACCAAACTCACTCTCCTTTATTACTTTTGGACTTGTGAATGCTGGGTAATAAAATAAATAGGCCTAGATCTTGATAAAAAAATATTTTAAAAAACCAAGGCATAAGAAGGCTAATTACTAGTAATTAGTAATTAACTTCAACACTGACACTTGACTTAGGGGTCATCCAAAAATGACGTCACGCTATTTTTGACAATTTTTATCTCCCCCCCTCCACTCCGTCACAAAAACCCAGAATCCCCCCCCCCTTAAAATGATGTCAAACCTCAGCCTACAACCCCCCTCAAAATTGCAATTGAATTTTTTTAAAAACATCAATATTTTTCTAAAATCTTGTCTGAACTCTGTCAACATAGAGTATTTTTTTTAGGCCGATTCTAGTCGGAATAAGATACGCATGCGATACGCATGCGCAATGGAGAGAAACTACGACTTAGCGGCGATGTTTTCGATGGTACTGCGCATGCGTGTGTTTACAACCGCAGAACCCTAATACCAACCCTAATCCTATCCTTAACCCTATCCCTAATCCTATCCCTAACCCTAGCCCTAATCCTATCCCTAATCCTACCCCTAACCCTCATTCTAGCCCTAACCCTAGCCATAGGTCACTGCGCATGCGCAGAACTATCTTTTGCCGAAAAATCTTATTCCGAGTAGACACTTCGTTTTTTTTAATCAATTCCTATTACAATTTATTAAAACAGTTTTCTAAAATGCGAAATAAGGTCTAAAATTCGTTTTCTAACATTGCTTTTTTATGATGCAAAAGTGTGATGTCTCGCCATATGATCCCCCCCCCCCTCATCACACACCGTCACAAAATTACGGACCCCCCTCCCCCTTACGAGTATGACATCATTTATGGACGACCCCTTAGAGTTGACTTAGATCTAGATTAGCTAGATCTATTTAGTTACATTAGTAACTATTTAATTTAGTATTTTATTTTAACTTTAGAGTTAGACTCTTCTTAGAGTCTTAGAGTCACTTAGACTTGACTTAGACTGTGTAGATCTAGATATTATTATATTAGATCTCTAGGCCTATTTTAAATTTATGGCTTTTTATTAATAGGGAGATACATAGCCCGATAGCAGTAAGAAATTTCGATAGACAATATCTAGATTCTAGAAAATCTAATCTAAGCATTAGGCTAAACATCTCACATACTTTAGGTTGTTTTGCTCGCCTTTTGTTGCGCTTTTCTTCTTCAAAACTGAAACTCGGAGGCTGAACAGGTGAACGAAAACCGAATGCAAATACAATAAAAGCACAAACTACAACTCCTATAACAGGCATAGCCACACTTGGAGAAACTAGTTCAGTTAACTCCATATTTTTATTTTGTTAAATGCGCTTTGTAAACTAAGAAATCAAAAAAAATATGTGCAGTTTTGCTCAGCCTTCTACTTTTCTCATTCCAACATTAGTTTTGATGCTGACGTCGCTTGTGTGCTACGTCATCAAACATGCTGTATAGGACCTAGTCTAATTAATCTTTTCTATTCTGGCATATTTTTTAAATTGACTATAAACAATACTATTTTAAAATATAACCAGTTTAAAAATATTATAGAAAATTAAAAATAAAAGTAATAAAAAAGTAGTGGTCAATTTGTGACGTAAATAGCATTTTCATCATGGCAGCCATTAGGCCTAAATTAAACTAAATTTGTTTTGATAACAACAACTCACATTGAATGCTGAATCAGTGAATCACTCGTCACGATTCTCAAGCTGCCAGTCGTCCCACTGGTTTGTCATCAATATTAATTTAAAATATAAAAAAATAGTTCTAGGCCTGTATTATTTTCCACAGGTAAACTAATGAATTGTTAGTGTTGTTAACTTGTTAATTCATTGTTAATGATTGTTAGTTATAATAGTAATAGTTAGGGTGTTACTGAGTGTTAGTCTGTTAAGTTAGTTAGAGTGTTAGTGTTAGACTCAGGACTCAGAGTCAGACTGAGTCACACTGTGACTGTTACACTGTTGTTAGACTTTAATTATTTTTTTTATTTACTTTAAAAAAAAATTCTGGGTAATCTATCGTTTTATTTTTATGTAGATTATTGTAGATCTACGTGAAATGGGCCGAGGCTAGAAATCTAGTGATGTGAAAAAGGTGACTCAATCAATAAACTTTAGGCCTAGTAATTAATAAAATTATTTCACATTTTTAGGAGGATTTATGTTTTGAAAGCTACAAAAATGTTTCAAAGTACCACTCATGTAGATTCTAGATCTATTCTAGACTCTAGAGTTAACTAACAATACGGTCAACAACACGTTTAAAGGTGTAAATTATTTATTTTAGCTATTAAAATTGGATTAAGACTTAAGACGTATAAAATACGATTGTAACGCGAGCAGTTGCAGGCGATCACATGAGAGGGGGGGGGGGGGAGATATCACAACTAGTGAAGCCACTAAAACATGAATATCTCAAATTCTATGCGTAGGAATAAAAAATGACGGAAATGACTTATACATACATATTAGGGTAGAATTTTTCGCGGTGTGATCGCGTGTGGAAATCTACTCTAGATTTCTACCTGTTTTTAAAGATTTGTATTAAAACTTTTCAGTAGGCCTAGGAAGTAGCCTAAATAGTAGGCCTAAATATAGATTTTTAGGTACGTAAAATCTGCTGCGGCTAGTAATGTACGAAAAAGTTACCTCATTCTCATATTGTGAAATATGTCAAATATTATAGATAACTGACTTATAAACCAAAATCAATGGCTAAATATATCAATATAGGCCAGAAATTAACTTTAAATAGCAGTGTTTGCAAGCAAGATTTGCTATATAAACAACAGCCATTTGTAAAATAGAGTGGCTTCCCCTGAATCTCGCACTATAATTTACAAAAAAAAACTTAAACGAGATCTGCTATAGTAAATGAACATGGTTGCATCTGTTGGAAACATCGCTAGTCTTCATTTATTACTGAAAAGTTTTAATTCAACTGTTTAAAAACAGGTAATTAAATGAAACAAGGACACATTTTTGTATTTTTTCAAAACATAAATCCTCATCAAAATGTGAAATAATTATTAAAATTTAAGGAGTCACCTGTTTTTCACATTTCTAGTCGCCGGCGATTTTTACGTACCTAAAAGGATAGATTACCAGATTTTCTTACTAAATCTAAAATTTAGGCCTACTCAATTTTCAATTAAATAAAAACCACTGAATGATATACATCCATATTTAATCCATTAGGCACTAATTTTGAAGTTTTTGGTTCGTTTTAAACTAAATTACTTAATTTAATATTTATTGGCACTCACTGCCATGCACGACACTTCTCCATGACAACACTTGCAGGGGTGCCATAATAATAAATAAATGGACTCTACTTCCATAATAAATAGGCAGTAATATGCACATTATAGTTCTCAGGTGGTTTACTCCAGATTTCTGACTATGTCATTCTTTCATTTAATTTATTTATATTAAAACATTGCTTTCGATACATTTTCATATTTGCGCAGCACACAGTTTTTTGGGGTTAGGGGAGGAAGCCAACAAAAATATACTTTCTCTTTTATTTTTATTCAGTTCAACAAGTTCTAGATCTATATATATTTATAGCTAAACTGCAAAAATATGAACAAAATACAAGTAAAATAACTCAGCTCATTTATTGATGTATGGCCAATGCAAAAAAATTCACTAAAAGTAAAAAAAAATATTTGAGCTAGAAACATTTTGTTGTTTTGTTTTTATTAAAAGTGTTGCTCATGTTTATTTTCAGGTGAGTTTTCACCTTCTCACAAACCATGGGAGACCCCAACAATCCCAAGCCACTTTTAAAACCAGGCAAAGACAAAGGTGTTTTTGATGTGGCAATAACCAAGTTGCTCAAAGATTTTACCAGGTAATGTTCACTGCTCATTTCTGTGTATCATATTTTTACTAAACAACACAGTTATACGCCTAATTGCCTGATTAACTCTCTTCAACCTGTTTTAAAACTACACTTGCAACTGTTAAAGCACATATGATGGTGAAGTTTTTGTTCAATTCCAATTGTTTCTCCACAGTGCTGAACTCTTACCTCAGGAAGCAGAGCCTTCATCTTCTGATGACAATAAAAACTCTAAATTTGATCATGTCATTTCTTCAATGAAATGCTTACATCTGCGCAAACCAAAGCTGGCCAGGTATCAAAGGCAGTGTGTTGTGAGAAAGAAAGGCTTATCAAACACCTTAAACTTAGCTGTTGCAGCTAACAGCGTCCAAAGGCCCATTGTTTGGCCCGCTAGACTTAGCTCGCAGGATAGGAAATCAAGCTCTGCTGTACTCTACCCACCTCGCCTAGACATTGCAGGTACCAAGTCTGCCTTAACTTGTACACATCAGACCAAACTAGCTGAGAAAAGTTTGACCAAAGAACCAAAGTCAGAGCAGAAAATATTTGGCAGCTGTCAATCATCACTCTTGTCCTTCACCAGCCTGTCTGAATCCAGGGCTGAGAAGTGCCAGGAGAAGGGAGATAACTCTCCTGCTGGTGCTTGCTCCAACTTGCTGACCAAGCGCCACACAACAGGACCACTCCCACCAGCTAAACATGCCAGAACAAGCTGTAATAGAACTGACACCTCTCCACAGAGGTTCTCAGGGTATAGGAGCTCCTCCTCCAGTACCACAACCACCTCTTCACAGAACTTCTCAGGGTACAGAAGCTCCTCACCTGGTACCACTGCTGCACCAGATGGCCTGGAAAGTTTGTCAGCCCTGTCTGCCCAATTGACTGCCATACAAAGCAGCCAGCCTGATGGTGCCTTTAGCCGCTCATGTTCTCAGGAGATGAGAATGGAAGAAACTAACGTCAACGAACTGGCCAGCTATTTAGAAGATTTCTTGCATATTCCTCGTAAAATGTCATCAATGGCAGAGATGATGTATGCCTGAGTTGTGCAGCTAGATGTTGGGGGGGAAAAAAAAACAAGCAAATAATGATTACTTAAAACTTTTACTATTTATTTTTTGATTGATTTAAAAATAGTCCAATTGTACGGACTTGACATGTTAGAAAATCTTGTCCATATTTGTTCATGATAGTTTTTTTTTTACTCTTGTTATATAAAACGTGAATATTGGCCAGTAATTTCTTTATAATTTATAATCATGTTTATTATTAGGGTTGCAGATACTTGAGTCCAGAGAAATTTTTAGGTGTCAGCCTCAATACATATATGTAAATCTTTTTGTAATTTTGTGCTAGGGGAAAATGTATTTTCAATGTCTGGTTTACTGAAAATATTGGTAAGTATGAAATGACAGAATAATCTGAATTTGGCCAACTTTGGCATGGACTTCATCTAAACAAAATGTATGACACTTGGAGTAAGAGGGGAGGGGGGGGGGGGGGGGCACTAGTTGTCTACAGATTTTTTTTTACCTGCTCTGCAGCCCCTTTATTTTGTTGACTTCAGCATTTACTAAATAACAGTGTCTTTGTTACTTTTGCTCATTAAAGATTTTTGGGTTAGCAACTCTCAACAAATTTGTTTTGTATGGTACAAGAAGTACACACATTCATCCTGCTATGGTGTACAAGTCACGGTCACACATATATGTCAGTATCCCTGAACAGTGTACAAGTCACGGTCACACATGTATGTCAGTATCCCTGAACTGTGTACAAGTCACGGTCACACATGTATGTCAGTATCCCTGAACTGTGTACAAGTAACGGTCACACATATATGTCAGTATCCCTGAACTGTGTACATGTCACGGTCACACAAATATGTCAGTATCCCTGAACTGTGTACAAGTCATGGTCACACATGTATGTCAGTATCCCTGAACAGTGTACAAGTCACGGTCACACATGTATGTCAGTATCCCTGAAAAGTGTACAAGTCACGGTCACACATGGATGTCAGTATCCCTGAACTGTGTACATGTCACGGTCACACATGTATGTCAGTATCCCTGAACTGTGTACAAGTAACGGTCACACATGTATGTCAGTATCCCTGAACTGTGTACAAGTCATGGTCACACATGTATGTCAGTATCCCTGAACTGTGTACAAGTCATGGTCACACATGTATGTCAGTATCCCTGAAAAGTGTACAAGTCACGGTCACACATGTATGTCAGTATCCCTGAACTGTGTACAAGTCATGGTCACACATGTATGTCAGTATCCCTGAACAGTGTACAAGTCACGGTCACACATGTATGTCAGTATCCCTGAAAAGTGTACAAGTCACGGTCACACATGGATGTCAGTATCCCTGAACTGTGTACATGTCACGGTCACACATGTATGTCAGTATCCCTGAACTGTGTACAAGTAACGGTCACACATGTATGTCAGTATCCCTGAACTGTGTACAAGTCATGGTCACACATGTATGTCAGTATCCCTGAACTGTGTACAAGTCATGGTCACACATGTATGTCAGTATCCCTGAAAAGTGTACAAGTCACGGTCACACATGTATGTCAGTATCCCTGAACTGTGTACAAGTCACGGTCACACATGTATGTCAGTATCCCTGAACTGTGTACATGTCACGGTCACACATGTATGTCAGTATCCCTGAACTGTGTACAAGAAACTTTCATTTATCCCTGACCATAAGAACACATTCATATATCCCTGTTTGGCGTACATGTTTACTCTTGTATACCTGTATGATGTACACGTCAAGTACACATTCACGTATCCCTGTGTGGTGTACAAGTCAAGTTTACTCTTGTATACCTGTATGATGTACACGTCAAGTACACATTCACTTATCCCTGTGTGGTGTACAAGTCAACTCTTGTATACCTGTATGATGTACATACACATTTAATTCTGCCTGTGTGGTGCACAAGAAACAATGCATGTAACTCTGTTAGTAAAAAGAAATAAAATCCTTATTGAGTGAATCATTTACCAGTCATGTTTACAATACTAGTGTTAGCCTAAAATTTCTCCAAACGGAGAATGAAGAAGATAGGATGGCATTGGTTATTTTATTGATAAACTACTACCCTTACTACTGGTTATTTGTACATCTTGAAGGCTTACTCTAGCAAAAGGTTACTCTGCTTCTTTGACTGGAAGTTGACAGTTAATGATTTGTTGTCCAATATTAAAATATGCAAATCTTGTCTTGATTAAAAACATCTGAATATTGGTTCTTGTCTATTTTCTTTCACCAAGTATCCAGACGTGAAGGGAAGTAACTTGTTTTTTTTAAAAAAGATACTTCAGAAGGGAGGTAACTTTGTTAAAACAAACCATACCATTACGATGTAAGTCTTTCTTCCTCTTCAATCACCAATTTCTAAATTCTATAGCCCGATTGGACTGGAAGTGCCATGTTATTTGAGAATATACAAGAAAGTTTATGGGAAATACTACCGACTTTATAAATTCACTTACGGATGGAATTCGGAGATTGGGAATACCAGTGTAACGAAATATGCAAATAGTGAGCATCATATAGGCTGTAGCTTCCAGAAGGACCTTTCAGTAAAGTTGACTAGTTTTGTACTGGCTGACAGTGTTTCTTCCAGACTTTTTTTCTCGGGGGGGGGGGGGGGGGCTCTTCCCCACCGAAGAGATGCCTGAAAGAAACTGCTGGCTGATCTTCTGTACAATAAACAGTATCTGCTGTGGGATGCCAAAAACTTCCCCGCGTTTGTGTGCACTCGCTCTCTGGGCCTCTGCATGTTCCAGTTACAACGTAAAGATGGAGAGCATGCTTTCATTATGTTCTTTAGCATTCTAAACATTTTGCTAGCTTATGTAATTGGCCTATGTTATTTGACAAAGTTACCTAGATTACAGATTCACTAACAGTTTTTTAATTACCTAAAATATGAGAAAAGAATTCGAACAAATGTAAAGAAAAATAACATTTGCAAACAACTCGGCTCGTGCAAATGATATGACAGTTTATCGCTTTAGTAAAACATAACAAATGGGAATTAAAATATCGCGTATGTGATTCAATGGTACAGTATATACTTAAATATGTGGAGAAAATGACGTTAACATAATAAAACAAAAACCTACCAACTGTCACCTTAACGTAAATTATCACGCTGAAACCAAGGAAAAACTACTGCAGTAGCTTTAGCAATAAAGCAGATGATTTTTAAAGGCCAAGGAAATATTAAAAATAAAATGTTTGAGGTGTATTATATATATATATATATATATATATATATATATATATATATATATATATATATATATATATATATATATACATATATATATATAAATGCTACTTGACAACGCCACTGGTTTCAACTCCCTCTGATTGTATGGCGCCAGTAAAGGACAAGCCCAAGAAAAAATAAACCGGGAGTGATCTCCCCTAAACTTTCTCGAATATTCTTATATAAAACAACAGGGGATGGGAACTCGGGATATAGATATGATTCTTAATCCATTTTAAATACATAAACTTTTTAAAATAAAATAGAATCTCATAGAAAAAAGTATTGCACACCAAGCGAACGCCGAATAAAGATGTTCATAATGGTGCGCAATATTATTAGTACTTTATAAATTTAGATGCGTTTTTGAGAAATCGGAAATAGCGTAAATTAGTACTTCCCGTCAACGGAAATTACTCAAAATTTAACAGAAGGTAGAGAATTAGATCTTTTACTTACATGTGAAATTTCATTTATCTATCTGAAATAGTACTCAAGTTATAGGCTTTTGAAAAATTCAAAGTAGAAAAAGTACCACTTCCGGTTATCGGAAATCGCTCAAAAGTTGATACGGATCTACGATTTTGATAAAATACTTATATATGAAATTTTATCAACCTAGCTGTAACGGTACTCAAGTAATCGTGTTTACACACACACAGACACACACACACACACAGACACACAGACATACGGACAAGATTGCAAAATTATGTTTTTCCGTATCAGTGAGGTGTAAAACGCAGGGGCGGAACTACAGTGCCGCCAGACCCCGCAATGCGGGGGGGCCCAGGCCATTTAGGGGCCCAAAGCCTACCTGAATCAACGTTTTAGAAGTTAATTTTTTTTATTTTTTTTTTTGCAAAAAAAAAAAAGCAACAAAAAAAAAACAACAGATTTACTACAGTAGTGATGTTCTACAGTATCTAACATCGCTGTTTCAGAAAGGAAAAACATGTATAGCTACATGAGTTGTAGTGTTAAAGACAGGGAAACGTTCAAACCACTTCCATGACTTATTTCCCTTTTTTTAAAAAGTGAAATATGTGTGCTCTTAAATAAAAAAATTTTTTTCAGCACTAAACAAATTAAAAAGCAATTACTTCGCTTAATTATTATTTAAAAAAACCCAAAATAAAGAATGACATAATATAAAAGGAAATGTATTAAAAACTAATAATATAAAAACAAAAAAAAATTAAAAATAAACATATGGCGAGAAACCATTACACATACATAGCTTTCATGCTTCATAATTTTTTGACCGCTTTGTAATAGGAATCAACTCGTCAGACATTGAAACAGAGAATTTCAAAACAGACTAATAGCACTTACACAAATGATGTGTTGTTGTAATATGCTTTAATTAAAAATAAGAACTAAGAATTTTAATTTTTTTCAAATTTCGAACAAGCCCGAATTGAGTATTCTACGATGATATTTTCGTATTTAGTTTATATATATATATATATATATATATATATATATATATATATATATATATATATATATATATATATATATATATATATATATATTATTTATGGGGCCCAACAAATTTTTTTGCGGGGTGGCCCTTTTTTCCTAGTTCCGCCACTGGTAAAACGTCGAGATTTGTAAAAATCTCGATTTTTACTTTCTCGTATATACGTAGTTTAGAGAAAGTATTGTAATCGTGCAAAAAAAAAAAAATCGAGAGTTTTACAAATCTCGACGTTTTACACCTCACTGATACGGAAAAACATAATTTTGCAATCTTGTCCGTATGTCTGTGTGTGTGTGTGTGTGTGTCTGTGTGTCCGTGTGTAAACACGATAACTTGAGTACCGTTACAGCTTGGTTGATGAAATTTCATATATAAGTATTATATCAAAATCGTAGATCCGTATCAACTTTTGAGCGATTTCCGACAACCGGAAGTGGTACTTTTTCTACTTTGAATTTTTCAAAAGCCTATAACTTGAGTACTATTTCAGATAGATAAATGAAATTTCACATGTAAGTAAAAGATCTAATTCTCTACCTTCTGTTAAATTTTGAGTAATTTCCGTTGACCGGAAGTAGTAATTTACGCTACTTCCGATTTCTCAAAAAACTAATGTAAATTTATTAAGTACTAATACTATTGCGCACTATTATACACACCTTTATTAGGCGTTCGCTTGGTGCGCAATTGTTTTTTACTGAGATTCTATTCTATTTTTAAAAGTTTCAGTATTTAAAATGGATTAAAAATCATAACTATATCCCCAGTTACCATCCCCTGTTGTTTTATATAAGAATATTCGAGAAAGTTTAGGGGAGATCACTACCGGTTTATTTTTTTGCACGATTACAATACTTTCTCTATACTACGTATATACGAGAAAGTAAAAAAAAAAGGCCGGCTTCCACTGCAATGTTTGAAGGTGGGTATTGGTCCAAATCTGACCACGTCATGAGTGCCCCAAGTCCCATGGGCCCCCGGGTAAATCTCAGACAGGGCCCCCCTCGCTATGTTTATCCCATTCTCCCGACCAACCAGCCCCCCCCCCCCCCCCCCCCCACACACCCTCCATGAGTCTGCTTGATTCTGAATGTTGTGAACTCACAGTATTTCACGTGTAACCGTCTGCCGGTCGACCTACTTTTAACGCAATCAATAAAATGATTAGACTCCCGACTACACAACGCGCGTGTACCTGGTGAGTACACCAGGTAGTCCGGCGTGCGTCTGACCCGCGGCACCTGTCGCGTGGATCAATTGCCGCCACATCCGCCCTGGGCGAGCAACATTTCAAACCAAAGAAACAAGAGCGCTATCGTCTGGCTTGCTGACACGTTTTAAACTGCCGGCTTCCTCTCTCTCGTCAGCACTGTTCTTCTCACAAACTTTTCCCCTGCTCAAGTTAAGGCCAGTTTCTTTTACACTTGTGTTAGCGTAGTGAATACGTTTTTAACTTCAACTTTTGATAATACAATTTCAACGTTTGGGCATCCAGAATTTCAATATCGTCTTTAAAAAAAATCACCGCCAAAAGTTTATTGATTTGACATAAAATTCTAACGGCTTAGGACTTAGGACAAATAGGGGTAATGGCCATGCATGACATCTGCGGAAGAGCAGACAGCCAACAGCATGACGTAGCAAGCTTTCTCTGCGGTACAGCACACCGCAGCAGCCCTCAGACCAAGACTGGTGACGTCAGACGGATGGACCAATCCGAATCGCGTGTTATTTCACACTGATGTGTTTCCGCATTGTTTACCTAATGGACCAGTTTGAGTAAAATAATCTAGCTTTAAGATCTCTGGAAACTTAACACTTTTCATTTGCTTTTCATTGATGGAATAGTGCGCTCCATGATCCTGGTAAGCTTTTTTTCAATTGATTTTAGAGGCCTAATTAAACAGCTTATTAATAAATCTAGCTAATTAACATTCCATGGTGTGTTGCCTGATTCCACTGCGTCTTTTAGTTTTCTCAAGGAGCTTTTGATATTTACATAAGTTGAATGTTCTGATGAACAAAATATTGATGAAACAATACAATTGCGTGATCAAAGTTTGCCCAAAGATGGTTGAAATCAATGACAGCGACTGTCTATGGCACCATGTTAGGATGTGACCCCCGCCCTTCAAAATGTCTGAACCCAGCACAAGTCCTGGCTTTGTTTCAATTAAATCCACCCAATGCTGATGACATATTCACGTCTTTAGAACACTGGTCCATTTCTGATGAGCCAAGTTTGTTTGTTTTTAAATCGCATCATCATCTGTCTCACTCCATTTGTCATTAGTCCTAGAGCAAGGCGAACTGGTTCAATGCATAACTAATGACGTGAGTGGGATAGTTTTCGTTATGGACGATGGCTGCTTGACCCCTACTTGACCCCATCTTGTCCCCATCTTACTTCTTACCCTAATCGCTAAAGCCTAACCTTTTCTTATTTAAACCGTGATGATACCGATGCTTCTGGCACCTATACTCCCTGCGATTTATGCAGTCAAGTGACGTGTAAACACAACACACAACACTCACTACACACAACACGTGATGGCTGAAAATGTTAAGTCTGGTTGAGAAGTCTATCAATGTATTCATCTTTTTGTGCCAGCAAATACATCGTCGTCTTAGAGATAACTGTACATTGTTATCTAATAGATAACTTGTACATTGTCGTAATAGAGATAACTGTACATTGTCGTCCTAGAGATAACTGTACATTGTCGTGATCGATCTCTGCGTTAAATATTTTCAGTCTTTGTTGGATAGATGTGGACAGTTAGCATGTTAATCCTGTAGTCCACTGGGCATATGTTAATCCAGTGGTCCACTGGGCATATGTTAATCCAGTGGTCCACTGGGCATATGTTAATCCTGTAGTCCACTGGGCATATGTTAATCCAGTGGTCCACTGGGCATATGTTAATCCAGTGGTCCACTGGGCATATGTTAATCCAGTGGTCCACTGGGCATATGTTAATCCTGTAGTCCACTGGGCATATGTTAATCCAGTGGTCCACTGGGCATATGTTAATCCAGTGGTCCACTGGGCATATGTTAATCCAGTGGTCCACTGGGCATATGTTAATCCAGTAGTCCACAGGGCATATGTTAATCCTCTAGTCCACTGGGCATATGTTAATCCAGTGGTCCACTGGGCATATGTTAATCCAGTGGTCCACTGGGCATATGTTAATCCAGTGGTCCACTGGGCATATGTTAATCCTGTAGCCACTATTACCCATTAATCTGCTGCAGCACATAAGGTCAGTTAGGCCGATCGCCATTCGCAGCCTCTGATGTTTGGACAACAAAAGTGTCAATATGGTCGTCAAGGCCAGTTAACTGGAGGGACAGGGGGGGGGGGGGGGGCTGGTCCAGTTAACTGGAGGGTCAGGGGGGGGGGGGCTGGTCCAGTTAACTGGAGGGACAGGGGGAGGCTGGTCCAGTTAACTGGAGGGACAGGGGGAGGCTTGTCCAGTTAACTGGAGGGACAGGGGGAGGCTTGTCCAGTTAACCTCATCGTTGGTGTCAGTCGAGGTCAGGTGTAGTGCAGGGTTCTATGTGTGAGCTGTACTTGGGTCAGGATGTGACCTGTAGCCTAAGCATGTCTATGACTAACCAGCAATGGCACATGTAATATAGATGCACATTCTCAGTCGAAATAGATCATAACAATACTAGACAAAATGAAAGGTCGTTTGTTCATTGTAGACAGTTGTTGAATTAGTTTAATGTCAAAATGGCACATAATTTTTGACATGTTTACACTAAGCTCTAGATGCTCTTGATAAACATCGTTGGGTCACTGAATAAAACAATAAAACAGCTTGTTAATGAATTACTAATTACATTTGCTGATGGATGCACCTGTTAATAAACTAAACATACACAGTTCAGAGGTCAGATGGCGTAGGTTACAACAACATTGACCTTACAAACTGATGAAAACGTTAGCCAACCATCCCACACAAAGAGAGTTGAGCAACCCTTTCAAATAAAGAGGGTTGGCCAGCCTCACACATGAAGAGGGTTGATCCGCCTCCCACATGTCAAATTACTTTTAAAAAATTGCAATGGGAGAGGGTTGTAGGTTTAGGTGTATGAGGTGTGACATCATTTTAAATTTAAAGGGTTAATGGGGCGGGCGTCTGAAGTTTTTGTGACGATTGGTGTGTGTGTGTGGGGGGGGGGGGGGGGGGGGGAGGGGGGGGGGGCGGAGAGTGGCCAAATTGCTTTAAAAAGCGTAATGTCATGGAGGAGAGATAACGATAGAAATATCCTTAATAAAGATTGGCTCTCTTCTTAGGTTTTTTAAAATTATCTTTTCTTAAAAGAAATGTGAAAATAAATAAAAATACTTTTCATTCAGCTGCTGATGAATGTGAAGAAAAATAAACCCAGCAATAGTAAAATTTCAATAAACAGATGTAGTCCTGCTATTTATAGCACATACAAAACTACATTACTTTCTCTTATACAGAGTATAGAGAAAGTATTGTAAAAAACCAAACGAGATTTCAAATGTTTTTGCCGTTTTACACGCCCCATGAACTCGATTATTTGAGTAATGTTTCAGTTTACTAGGCGAGCTTTCAAATAGAAGTATACGATTTTACACGGAGTTTAGATCTTATACTGAGATTACTTAAATTACCAATTGATTCGACGGTAAAACTGCACCAATCGCATCAGCCGGCACCACAGAAGTTGAGTGACCCATAGCGCCCCAAACTCCACCGTGAGCACTATGGCGCCTATGTTAGTTTAAAAAAGGCTATACACTAAAGACAGGGTAGGCTGCGATGATCGTTAACTAAATCGAATTAAGCATGTCTTCCCGCGTCCCGGTATGGTGTGATTTGACGCCCCGGGCTAATCGTGAGCACAAAGGCGCCTACGTTGGTTTTAAAGAGCACCCTGCATTGACTATACCAAACCAGCAACACGCGGTATGAGCACGCATGTACACAAATAAAGCAGAAAGTTTTCGGGAGATCACTCCCTCTTTATTTTTTTTATTCGCGCCGAATGTGCCCACGTTTTTCTTAAAAAATATATATCTGTCTGTGTTTAGTGCTTCAACACAATTCTAATGATCGCCCTAAGGCCTCTACAGTAAAAAGCTTGTGACGGACCAACCAATCAGTCATTGACTACACACAACGCATCCTTCCGGTTCATCTTTACCTTCAGCGTCGTGAAGTGGATCTATTTTTAGCTGCGGTGTTTTCGTTATTTTTGTGTGTGTGAGGAGGGGGAGGGAGGGGTGGAGAGGACAGTGAATGTTATTTGAAAGAAAAATGTAGATGCATGTTTAACAATGGAGAGTTGAATGGATGCTGACTATATTGTCAGACCCAATGTTTGTACACCCACCGTCGTTATACGAACAGTCAGTGGACCAGTCGTTATGATGCCGTAATAGATGTGAGATCAAACGGCAGGAAAATTTTGTAAAACTTCTAGACATCATCTCACATGGTGTCAGTGTCTCACCTGGCCTCAGTGTCATCTCACATGGTGTCAGTGTCATCTCACCTGGTGTCGGTGTCATCTCACCTGGTGTCAGTGTCATCTCACCTGTTGTCAGTATCATCTCACCTGGTGTCAGTGACATCTCCCCTGGTGTCAGTGTCTCATCTGGTGTCAGTATCATCTCACCTGGTGTCAGTGTCATCTCACCTGGTGTCAGTGTCATCTCACCAGGTGTCAGTGTAATCTCACCTGGTGTCAGTGTCATCTCACCTGGTGTCAGTGTAATCTCACCTGGTGTCAGTGTAATCTCACCTGGTGTCAGTGTGATCTCACCTGGTGTCAGTGTCTCACCTGGTGTCAGTGTCTCACCTGGTGTCAGTGTCTCACCTGGTAGCCGATCTCTAGGTATGGTTGTTTGGTGGTGAATTCGCTAGTGATAGGGGAAGTAGATTGGGGGTAACTATTTGCTCGTACATAGGGGAAGTAGAGTGGGGGTAACTATCTGCTCATACATAGGGGAAGTAGATTGGGGGTAACTATCTGCTCATACATAGAGGAAGTAGATTGGGGGTAACTATCTGCTTATACATAGGGGAGGTAGAGTGGACGTAACTATCTGCTCATACATAGGGAAGGTAGAGTGGAGGTTACTATCTGCTCATACATAGGGGAAGTAGAATGGGGGTAACTATCTGCTCATACATAGGGGAAGTAGAATGGGGGGTAACTATCTGCTCATACATAGGGGAAGTAGAGTGGAGGTAACTATCTGCTCATATATAGGGGAAGTAGAGTGGAGGTACCGCTCTGGTACCTATCTGCTCATACTATCCTGAGTATCCACAACCAAAGTTCAAGCGTATGTGTAGTTTGAAAACGAATGAAAAGTTTTTATAAAATGTCAACAACACCGGCCTCTCCTGGCCCTTGACTTGTGCAACTGTGAGAAACTCACGTCTGCTTGTGTTACCCGGAAGTCGTGTCGCGCGCGACGTCCTCACTCAGACGTGAAGAAGGCAGCTCGCGGGTTTAGTAGCAAGTCAGGCAGACGTCAAGCAGGAAGGAGTTTGGTTGAGCACACACAAGGCGACACGAGTGTTGAAGACATTCATTTGTGTCGGTCACAACACAGTTTAGTCTGACATACAAGTGACAAGTGCTGGCAGTCTGTTGGTTTCAAACTACAAGTGTTGCTGTATGTGTTGGTTTCAAACGACAAGTGTTGCTGTGTTAGTTTCAAACGACAAGTGTTGCTGGCAGTCTGTTGGTTTCAAACTACAAGTGTTGCTGTATGTGTTGGTTTCAAACTTTTCTAGGTTCGTGGTATCACTCTTGGATTTCCATCTAATGACTTAGCTGCTAGTTAAGTATAGTTATAGTTTCAAATAATGTATATAGAAATAATACTTTTGAATGTCTAATTTTAACCTTATCAACCTCAATGACTTCGCTAACGCTAAAGCAGGCGATATTATTGTTATAAATATTAAATGTTTACCATAGGCGGAGCCAGTCTTTCACTATGAGGCGGGAGAAAACTTTATTTAAAGGCCTGTAAGGTTCGCGTACATATGTCGTGGGGGGGGGGGGGGGGTTAGGGCTTCCTTCCGATATTCGATCTTATCTAAAAATATAGGCCCTATATTAAGTAATATTAATATATTCCGAGTGTAAGAATTACAAACCCTCACACGCTGTGTTTACATCTGATAGCCTTACATCACCTTAGTTTTACTTCTTGACCTGCCGGCTACATTAAGATCTGCCAAAGTTCTCTGTGTTGGCCGGCACTTACACAGCATGATCAGTCCAGGAATAACTCTCTGATATAGGTTGCAGTTTATTCGGGTTTACATTTCGTCTCGCTTGTCTCTGTTTAGTTTTTTCTGTCTACCCGTCATATTCCGGGAGCTTGGGGGGGGGGGGGGGGCTTGTTGGACTTGTGAGAGGGGTGAGGAATGTTGAAACGTCACACTGTTGCGATAAAAAAAAGCATTGAAACACTTCCTTTTAGAAGCCTTTTTTCATTAAAAAAAACACCGTTTGTTTAAATTATTATGGTAATTATTATCATTTAAAAAAAATTTAGTAAGCCTATTGGAATTTACCACACAAGGGAAACTACTTGTTAATAGTTTCGGCGAAATTGGTTATATCCCCTGATGGAAAATTAGTGTAGAGTGGGTGGTCACTATACGTATGATGTCATGGTAGTGGGGGGGGGGGGGGGGGGGGGGTTTGACCAGAATTTCTTGCAGGCATCTCTTGGGGGGGGGGGGCGGTTTAAAAAAAAGGATGATATCCTTTATTTATAGAGGATCTAATAATCTTCTCGACCGTTAGGTATCAGAGCTGTTACAGATTACATTCGACAACATGGGAAGTTTCGTGTCTGTATCAAACCCGTCAAGGTTATAGCAGTCACTGGATTTTGTATCCCAACACCCCCCCCCCCCCCAAATCAACCGGACACGTGTTACCATCGTTGTTAGCACTAGTCCTGGGTAAATAGTCAAAGTGTTGCAGTGCCATAGCCATGTTCTGTCTTCTGTGTTAGAAATTCACCTCCCTCCATTAATTTTTCTATAATTAAATAATTACCTTAATGTCTTCCAATATTACATTATCAATGGAGCCTTCAAGTTCATATTGATTTTTTATCTCCAGATTTGAATCCAGTTTTTAAATACAAATTTGGACAAAGATAACGGCAAGGAACTGAAAAAACTGAATTATCCCCCTTGCCAAGATGCCCATAGAGTTCATAGATTTGGAGGAGTTAGTCAAAAGTTATGCCGAGGATTTTTTAGACAACGATCAGAAGAAACATGCGGACTTAAAGAACCCAGTCATAGACTGGAACAAGATGCACGTCATCTATGGTGAGTATGTGGTGCCAACAGTTAATGATTGCTCATAGCAGAGTTGTAGGACGTTGACAGGAATACCGTCTAGGTACATCAGCTCTAAATTATAATTTGTTTTAAATAAAAAGCCAGTCAATTTAGTATAATTTTTAAATAACTTTTGAGTGAAACTGGTGAGACCACATAAGCCTTACACCAAGTCTCACCATCCCATGTTATATAACATGTACAATATGTATGCATGTAACAGGTGAGACCATATGAGACTTACACCAAGTCTCACCATCCCATGTTATATAACATGTACAATATGTATGCATGTAACAGGTGAGACCATATGAGACTTACACCAAGTCTCACCATCCAATGTTATATAACGTGTGTACAATATGTATGCATGTAACAGGTGAGACCAAGTACACGAGACCTGAGGTCCCACCACAGCCGACCGCCCATGTTTTGTTCTGTGCCAACTTTGCCAACAACACACCCAACAACCAGACGTACACCCTGCGGACAGAGAGGAGGACACGGTCCAGTAGTGAGATCTGCTTCATGAAGACCTTCACCTACGGCGTCAACATCCAGATGAAGCTGACCCCACCCAACCCCATCATAGAGGCGAATGCTGGCTTCATGTCAGAGATCACCAAACAGAAAGGTAGGTCACCACAGAGTAGGTCATGATACATGAGGGTAAGTCACCATAGAGGAGGTCACGACCCACGAGGGTAGGTCACCATAGAGAAGGTCATGACACACTAGGGTAGGTCACCATAGAGTAGGTCATGATACACGAGGGTAGGTCACCATACAGGAGTCATGACACACTAGGGTAAGTCACCATACCTGAGGGTAGATCAGCTCACAGGGTATGTAATATGCATAAAGGTAGTGTGATGATGAGGTTTTAGTGCATATACATGAGTTAGGGAATGGACCCTTCTGGTTGGGAATCCTGACAGATTCTCGTGTTAAATTACACATATAACAACAGCTTCAGTAAACTCCAAATTAGGTGCATCATCACACAAATGTAGATCACAACACAGGATAATAAATGATCACAAAAGTGGGGGGATAGCTAACAGTTACTAACACAGACAATCTTTACTACCATACAACAAATGATCTTTACTAATACACAACATATGATCTTGATTGAAATAATTTTAAGTAGTATAACTGAATGATATATATCCCCACTCATGCAAGTATTCAAATTGATGAAATTCTTACACTTAGAAATATATGAAAATCTAATTGTGAAGTGTTGACATAATTTATTAGTACTTGAGAAATGTGATTGTTAACTAATGAAATGTCATGCATACTGACCCAGCCTACAGTGCCACTAACTTGAAATGTCATGTGTACTGACAGTGCCACTAACTATAAATGTCATGTGTACTGATAGTGCCACTAACTTTAAATGTCATGTGTACTGACAGTGCCACTAACTATAAATGTCATGTGTACTGATAGTGCCACTAACTTTAAATGTCATGTGTACTGATAGTGCCACTAACTTTAAATGTCATGTGTACTGACAGTGCCACTAACTTGAAATGTCATGTGTACTGACAGTGCCACTAACTATAAATGTCATGTGTACTGATAGTGCCACTAACTTTAAATGTCATGTGTACTGACAGTGCCACTAACTTGAAATGTCATGTGTACTGACAGTGCCACTAACTATAAATGTCATGTGTACTGACCCAGCCTACAGTGCCACTAACTTTAAATGTCATGTGTACTGACAGTGCCACTAACTATAAATGTCATGTGTACTGATAGTGCCACTAACTTTAAATGTCATGTGTACTGACAGTGCCACTAACTTGAAATGTCATGTGTACTGACAGTGCCACTAACTATAAATGTCATGTGTACTGACCCAGCCTACAGTGCCACTAACTTTAAATGTCATGTGTACTGACCCAGCCTACAGCGCCACTAACTTTAAATGTCATGTGTACTGACAGTGCCACTAACTTTAAATGTCATGTGTACTGACCCAGGCTACAGTGCCACTAACTTGAAATGTCATGTGTACTGACAGTGCCACTAACTATAAATGTCATGTGTACTGACAGTGCCACTAACTTTAAATGTCATGTGTACTGACAGTGCCACTAACTTGAAATGTCATGTGTACTGACAGTGCCACTAACTATAAATGTCATGTGTACTGACAGTGCCACTAACTTTAAATGTCATGTGTACTGACAGTGCCACTAACTATAAATGTCATGTGTACTGACAGTGCCACTAACTTTAAATGTCATGTGTACTGACAGTGCCACTAACTATAAATGTCATGTGTACTGACCCAGGCTAAAGTGCCACTAACTTTAAATGTCATGTGTACTGACAGTGCCACTAACTTTAAATGTCATGTGTACTGACAGTGCCACTAACTTTAAATGTCATGTGTACTGACAGTGCCACTAACTTTAAATGTCATGTGTACTGACAGTGCCACTAACTATAAATGTCATGTGTACTGACCCAGCCTACAGTGCCACTAACTTTAAATGTCATGTGTACTGACAGTGCCACTAACTTAAAATGTCATGTGTACTGACCCAGCCTACAGTGCCACTAACTTGAAATGTGATGTGTACTGACAGTGCCACTAACTTGAAATGTCATGTGTACTGACAGTGCCACTAACTTTAAATGTCATGTGTACTGACAGTGCCACTAACTTTAAATGTCATGTGTACTGACCCAGCCTACAGTGCCACTAACTTGAAATGTGATGTGTACTGACAGTGCCACTAACTTGAAATGTCATGTGTACTGACAGTGCCACTAACTTTAAATGTCATGTGTACTGACCCAGCCTACAGTGCCACTAACTTGAAATGTGATGTGTACTGACAGTGCCACTAACTTGAAATGTCATGTGTACTGACAGTGCCACTAACTTTAAATGTCATGTGTACTGACCCAGCCTACAGCGCCACTAACTTTAAATGTCATGTGTACTGACCCAGCCTACAGCGCCACTAACTTTAAATGTCATGTGTACTGACCCAGCCTACAGTGCCACTAACTATAAATGTCATGTGTACTGACAGTGCCACTAACTTTAAATGTCATGTGTACTGACAGTGCCACTAACTATAAATGTCATGTGTACTGACAGTGCCACTAACTTTAAATGTCATGTGTACTGACCCAGCCTACAGCGCCACTAACTATAAATGTCATGTGTACTGACAGTGCCACTAACTTTAAATGTCATGTGTACTAACAGTGCCACTAACTATAAATGTCATGTGTACTGACAGTGCCACTAACTATAAATGTCATGTGTACTGACCCAGCCTACAGTGCCACTAACTATAAATGTCATGTGTACTGACAGTGCCACTAACTTTAAATGTCATGTGTACTGACAGTGCCACTAACTATAAATGTCATGTGTACTGACAGTGCCACTAACTATAAATGTAATGTGTACTGACAGTGCCACTAACTTTAAATGTCATGTGTACTGACAGTGCCACTAACTTTAAATGTCATGTGTACTAACAGTGCCACTAACTTTAAATGTCATGTGTACTGACAGTGCCACTAACTTTAAATGTCATGTGTACTGACCCAGGCTAAAGTGCCACTAACTTTAAATGTCATGTGTACTGACAGTGCCACTAACTTTAAATGTCATGTGTACTGACCCAGCCTACAGTGCCACTAACTTGAAATGTGATGTGTACTGACAGTGCCTCTAACTTGAAATGTCATGTGTACTGACAGTGCCACTAACTTTAAATGTCATGTGTACTGACCCAGCCTACAGCGCCACTAACTTTAAATGTCATGTGTACTGACCCAGCCTACAGTGCCACTAACTATAAATGTCATGTGTACTGACAGTGCCACTAACTATAAATGTCATGTGTACTGACCCAGCCTACAGTGCCACTAACTATAAATGTCATGTGTACTGACAGTGCCACTAACTATAAATGTCATGTGTACTGACCCAGCCTACAGTGCCACTAACTTTAAATGTCAGGTGTACTAACAGTGCCACTAACTTTAAATGTCATGTGTACTGACAGTGTCACTAACTTTAAATGTCATGTGTACTGACCCAGGCTACAGTGCCACTAACTTGAAATGTCATGTGTACTAACAGTGCCACTAACTTTAAATGTCATGTGTACTGACAGTGCCACTAACTATAAATGTCATGTGTACTGACCCAGGCTACAGTGCCACTAACTTTAAATGTCATGTGTACTGACAGTGCCACTAACTTTAAATGTCATGTGTACTGACGGTGCCACTAACTTTAAATGTCATGTGTACTGACAGTGCCACTAACTTTAAATGTCATGTGTACTAACAGTACCACTAACTTTAAATGTCATGTGTACTGACAGTGCCACTAACTATAAATGTCATGTGTACTGACAGTGCCACTAACTTTAAATGTCATGTGTACTGACCCAGGCTACAGTGCCACTAACTTAAAATGTCATGTGTACTGACAGTGCCACTAACTTTAAATGTCATGTGTACTGACCCAGCCTACAGTGCCACTAACTTGAAATGTGATGTGTACTGACAGTGCCACTAACTTGAAATGTCATGTGTACTGACAGTGCCACTAACTTTAAATGTCATGTGTACTGACCCAGCCTACAGTGCCACTAACTATAAATGTCATGTGTACTGACAGTGCCACTAACTTTAAATGTCATGTGTACTGACAGTGCCACTAACTATAAATGTCATGTGTACTGACAGTGCCACTAACTTTAAATGTCATGTGTACTGACCCAGCCTACAGCGCCACTAACTATAAATGTCATGTGTACTGACAGTGCCACTAACTTTAAATGTCATGTGTACTGACAGTGCCACTAACTATAAATGTCATGTGTACTGACAGTGCCACTAACTTTAAATGTCATGTGTACTGACAGTGCCACTAACTTTAAATGTCATGTGTACTAACAGTGCCACTAACTTGAAATGTCATGTGTACTGACAGTGCCACTAACTTTAAATGTCATGTGTACTGACCCAGGCTAAAGTGCCACTAACTTTAAATGTCATGTGTACTGACAGTGCCACTAACTATAAATGTCATGTGTACTGACAGTGCCACTAACTTTAAATGTCATGTGTACTGACAGTGCCACTAACTATAAATGTCATGTGTACTGACAGTGCCACTAACTTTAAATGTCATGTGTACTGACCCAGCCTACAGCGCCACTAACTATAAATGTCATGTGTACTGACAGTGCCACTAACTTTAAATGTCATGTGTACTGACAGTGCCACTAACTATAAATGTCATGTGTACTGACAGTGCCACTAACTTTAAATGTCATGTGTACTGACAGTGCCACTAACTTTAAATGTCATGTGTACTAACAGTGCCACTAACTTGAAATGTCATGTGTACTGACAGTGCCACTAACTTTAAATGTCATGTGTACTGACCCAGGCTAAAGTGCCACTAACTTTAAATGTCATGTGTACTGACAGTGCCACTAACTTTAAATGTCATGTGTACTGACAGTGCCACTAACTTTAAATGTCATGTGTACTAACAGTGCCACTAACTTGAAATGTCATGTGTACTGACAGTGCCACTAACTTTAAATGTCATGTGTACTGACCCAGGCTAAAGTGCCACTAACTTTAAATGTCATGTGTACTAACAGTGCCACTAACTTGAAATGTCATGTGTACTGACAGTGCCACTAACTTTAAATGTCATGTGTACTGACCCAGGCTAAAGTGCCACTAACTTTAAATGTCATGTGTACTGACCCAGCCTACAGTGCCACTAACTTGAAATGTGATGTGTACTGACAGTGCCACTAACTTGAAATGTCATGTGTACTGACAGTGCCACTAACTTTAAATGTCATGTGTACTGACCCAGCCTACAGCGCCACTAACTTTAAATGTCATGTGTACTGACCCAGCCTACAGTGCCACTAACTATAAATGTCATGTGTACTGACAGTGCCACTAACTATAAATGTCATGTGTACTGACCCAGGCTACAGTGCCACTAACTATAAATGTCATGTGTACTGACAGTGCCACTAACTATAAATGTCATGTGTACTGACCCAGCCTACAGTGCCACTAACTATAAATATCATGTGTACTGACAGTGCCACTAACTATAAATGTCATGTGTACTGACCCAGGCTACAGTGCCACTAACTATAAATGTCATGTGTACTGACAGTGCCACTAACTATAAATGTCATGTGTACTGACCCAGCCTACAGTGCCACTAACTATAAATGTCATGTGTACTGACCCAGCCTACAGTGCCACTAACTTTAAATGTCATGTGTACTAACAGTGCCACTAACTTTAAATGTCATGTGTACTGACAGTGCCACTAACTTTAAATGTCATGTGTACTGACAGTGCCACTAACTTTAAATGTCATGTGTACTGACCCAGCCTACAGTGCCACTAACTTTAAATGTCATGTGTACTAACAGTGCCACTAACTTTAAATGTCATGTGTAGTGACAGTGCCACTAACTTTAAATGTCATGCATACTGACCCAGGCTACAGTGCCACTAACTTGAAATGTCATGTCTACTGACAGTGCCACTAACTTTAAATGTCATGTGTACTGACCCAGGCTAAAGTGCCACTAACTTAAAATGTCATGTGTACTAACAGTGCCACTAACTTTAAATGTCATGTGTATTGACCCAGGCTACAGTGCCACCAATGAGCAGGAACTGACCTGGGCAGTGGACAGCGAGATCTCTGTTCCACCTGGATACAAGACCAAGGCTGAGCTGGTCTTCACAGAGGATGACTTTAATGGGGACTTTGAGATTCTCACAACATTTGAAGGAAAGGTACGACTAACTTAGCTTCATTTCTCACACATAGCTAAATCTATGTACTTAAAATATTGCTTAAAATGTATGTAGATACTATATCTAGATATTTAAATTTTATCATATATTATATACATTTTATTATTGGATACACTTGTATACTTCTAGCATTCTAAAATCATGTGTTTGGTGAGAACAGTTATAGAAAGAATAAAGTATTAACTACAAGCTAATGAAGATCACTCTATCATTTAAATGAAACATTTGTCAGTTAAAACTGTAAAAATTCCTGTTTGTTTCAGATTCTGGTGACTTATGAGAGCAAGAAGAGCAGGGACCATATATCAACTGTCACGGTGCATGTGGCCAAAGTTTTCAACTCCAAATCAGGCTTCACGTTAGACGATACAGGACGACCAACTTTCTTAGTGAGGGGCGTGTGCAAGTGTCGGTTTGGTGTAGAGCAGAATGTCAACTTGACAGAGACACCACTCAACCAGTGATAACAAAACTGTTAGATCCTATCTAATTTTAAATAATCTTCAGCTTCTAGCTAACTTACACAAAAGAAGTAACTCTATGACCTGTACAAGTTTTAAAGAACGCTGTTTTGGCTGCAATTTGTCCAGTGGTTTATTTTCGTCTGTCTGTAGGCCCACACAGGTGCAGACAGCTTTACACAGAAACGTCTTCCGTGTCAAAAAGGATGGGTCAGTTATGTTAATTAATTTTAATTAGTTTACAGGTACCAATCATTAGCACACCTCCTATATTTAAAAAAAATGTAAACTATTTTTTAGCACACACATTTTAAGTTGAGTCATACATCAACAGACAACTATGACTTTTTTTGCACAATTTTAGAAATTTTAATAACATAGATTTTAAATGTCTTTTTGTTAAAAACAAGTACAAATTAAACAAAAAAATATTCAAAACAGTTACATACATATGTATTGAGTTTTACTTGTAATTCTATATGCAATAGTTCATTCAACAGTTGATTGTAAATTTTGCTTATACAAATTTTTAATGTAAAAAAAACATAAGTTGTGAATTATAAACATTTATTTTTATAATTTTATTCTGTCTGTTTTACTACTGTATATTTTTTAGTAATTAAAATATTTACATTTGTCAATAATGAAAGAATAAAAATATCTTCCCATAAAAGATGTTGTAGTCAGTAGGTCTATGTGGAGAGTGGGATAAGACTGTCGCAATAGAATTTATTTTACCATTTAGCTCTGGAAATGTATTTTTAATTTGAAAACAAATGTAATAAAACATCTTAGAAAAATTAAGTCAGTGTCAATTAGAAAAAAATGTATGTTTAATAATATGACACTTTTTTAATATTAAGTTTAATTTTAAATTATATTTTATAAAGTTATGCAACTATACTTTACTTTGGTACTACAATAGCCAAAAGGCTAATTTATTCCAAAATAAAATGACAGCATATATGAGCAAAAAAAAAAACTGAATCTAATTTTTTTTGTAAGCATTGTTAGCGTATAAACTAATAAAGAAATAAATATCATGTAGTAATTATGTTATCTCTTAACTAAATATAGAGAAAAATAAATTTTAAAATTGTTGCAAATCACAGTGGATAAATGTGTATACTTGTAAATTATTGCCTGTATATTTAAAAGAGTAGTTTTTACCTTTTTAAATTTCAGTGTAATCATTCAGAAGATATGAATAATAATACTGAACTTTGCTATAGATAAGATTTCAATAATTAAAATTGCTTAATAATACTCTTTTATCATATGTCCATTATTTAGGTGTCGATATTGTTTCAACATGGTTCTTTGTTTATCTTGCAAATTATTCTTATAATGACAATCTCAATACCAGTTTCTTTACTTTAATTTGATGCCATAAAATAGGCCTATTTAAAAAAAATAATTTGATTATCTTAATTTTAAATAAATTAATTGAAATCTGTATTACTGAATCAGGTGGAAATTACGTAGATCCTAAATGCAGCCTCTATTATATTGTGGTAGTGACCTAGACGTTTCATGCAGTCTCTAGGCTCCCTTCTCTGATATATTTCTCCCAAGATTGATAATGATCTTTTTTCTTGAGAAACATATAAATCCAACCATCTTCACCCTGTACAACAAAAATATACTTCTGTTAATGTAAAATTTTAAACAGAACTTACAATCAATTATCACCATTACATTGCACAGTTTTGGAAACATTGAAGGCTGTTGTTACAATTTTAGTTTTAATTTATTAAAATAAAATTTTAAAATATAGTTGCGGTATAAAAATAAAGCAAATGTTAAAATCTTGTGTAAAATGTGAAAGAACAGAACTTGCTTTAATATAAGATTCACTAGGGATGATGTCGTAAGGAAGAAGTTTGATCACCAGTCTGTAGTGGGCACCTTTCATGTCAGTATCTATTCCACCCTTGACTTCAAACACAATCCCTCTGCAAGTCAAGTCATTTAACATTTTTTTTAATCGACTAACAAGTAAATAAGTAGGTTGAGCTATGTGAATAACATAGTGAATTTTAATACTTAGGCCATAGGCTATACAATACAAATTTATAACAACCATTGTTCTATTTTTAAATCAATGATGTGTTTAGTGCTAACTTAATATTAAGCATACATTATACTTATACAATCAGATATCATCACTCTTTAGTACTATTTCATAATTTATAATTTAGATAACTTGATTTATAAATTAACCCTAGCAGTAAAAAAATTGATAGGTATAAATTATGTAAAACCTCAGCAGGCTGGATGCGTTATAGTATTTTCAACCAGAAAAAATAGATTAATGAAAGACACAAATGAGTTGACAACCTTGTGCTAAATTCAGGTGGCTCTATTGTGGCATTTTTAGCCTCAGGAAGGGGGTGTCGGTTGCCAGGAAATTTCATTATTTTAAATCCAGAGCTTTTTATTTTTAATCCATTCATCTTTATCTTAAGCCGCACAAATCCTTCTTTTGTTCCTTCGTCCACAGCTGTTCAAGCAGAAAAGTTAATGTTTGAGGTTAATATTATATACATTGTAAATGAAGTTATATCTCAATGTTTGCGCTGCAGATCCCAAATTTACAACAGATATTATCATCTATTATCATATATTATCTAGTTAGTAGACTAGTAAGTAGACGAAAAAAATTAAAGTAATAAAAATAGACTGCATTATTATTATATAGTGAGAGGACCTAATAAGTTGTAACATGATGACATAGGCATACATAACAATAACATATAGGCCTATATTACATAGATGAAGATCTATTCCATTTTTTACATACCCTATTGAGTCGCTATTTGACTTCATAGTCATACTAATACTATGTCGATTGTAAATCTATTTCTATAATTTTTCTATGCATATGCCATAATGAGATGACTATTATTAGGCCTATAGGCCTAGATAGATTAGGCCTAATAATTATAAATTATAAGGCCCCTGCCCTATACTACTTACTAATTAAATATTATTAATAAAATAATAACTATGATAATAAAGACCTAGTCTAGATCTATAGTAGAATAAGAATGTAGATCTAGCCTTTATTTAATACTAAAAGTATTAGCCCTAATAATAAATAATTCAATTATTAAATAATTAAATAATTTAATTTACAGTTTACAGGTAGGCCTAAAAAATTTTAAAAATAATATTTTATTAATTTATAATTTTAAATAATATTTAGATTAGGCCTAACTCTTTTTCAGACTTACAAAGTTACAAACATACCATAATCAGGCTCTTCTGCTGCTTGAGCCATTGTTAATTACAAAGAATTTATTTAGTTTAGAATCTAGATATCTAATATCAGGACTTGGTCTACTTCAGTAAAATACACTAAAATCTGTAAGTAGGAAGTGGACTTTGACAACACACAATACACAAAGCTACGATTTCTTTCGCTAACTCTCGTCTGTTAGCTTTATTTTTTCATGATACAGGGAAGTAACTGTGGAAAAAAAAACTTCGGCCTGATTGTTTTACTTTTGACCGTTTTTTAAAAAGAAACTCTCCCTTCGGGGTGGTCCATAAATGACGTCACACTCGTAAGGGGGGGGGGGGGTCCGTAATTTTGTGATGGTGTGTGATGAGGGGAGGGGAGAGGGTTCAGATGGTGGGACGTCACATATTTGCATTAACGAAAAGTAATGTTAGAAAACAAATTTTAGCCGTTATTGCGCGTTTTAGAAAACTGTTTTAATAAATTGTAATAGGAATTGATTAAAATACTCTATGTTGAGAGAGTTCAGACAAGATTTAAAAAAAAAATCGATGTTTTAAGAAAAATTAACTGCAATTTTGAGGGGGATTGTAGGCTGAGGTGTGACGCCATTTTAGGGTGGGGGGGGGGGGTCTGGTTTTTCGTGACGATGTGTGACGGAGGGAAGGGGGGGGGGGAGGTAAAAATCGTCAAAAAAAGCGTGACGTCATTTATGGATGACCCCTTCACGGTAAGTCTATTTTGGTTCCTAAAGCCAGCAAGTCTACCCGTCTCTTCCACGCATCGCCCCCCTCCCCCCCCCCGAAGAAAGTCTAACCCCCCCCTCCCCCCCCCCCCTCAGAACGAGATGGAATTTTATAGAAAAATTATACTTTTAACAGTGTCGTCCCCGTCCCCCCCACCCCCGCAAAAAATATCGTCCGCCCCCATTGCAAAGTTAATGTATGTAATAATTATTATTATAGTAGGGTACTTTGCATTACAATCTCTAAAATGAAAAGAGTAATGGGATTTCGCATTTGTTTTATGCGCACTTCTTCGCCCCATACCTGAACATGCACGTTTCTAGAAACTGAACAACTGACATGTTTCGTGTAAACAGAGAAAATATTTTTGTGCTAGCCGCCAGCGGACATTTAAATACATTTACACCTGTAATTTGCTGCATACGTTAGGAGGTGAGTGGCTGAGTAAATGAGTGTATGGGTGAGTGGATAAGTTAATATATGAATACATGAATTGATGAGTGAGTGAGTGTGTAGATGAGTGGGCGTGTGATTGAGAGAGTGAGTTGAAAGGTGCTCTCTTATTCCCGTGAAAACTTAAAAAAAAAAGCCATGTTTATTTCCGTTTTTTTAAAAACCATGAGACGGCCCAGCCATGTGCACTCCCATAGTTGACATGGAAAAAATAGCCAGAGACCACGCGCGGGCCATGCTGCCAGCAGAAGTAAAGAAATACGCAGACAAGGTCCCCATCTACGACTGGACAACAATGGACGTCTATTACGGTACAGTTTAGCCATTTTCTACATTAACTGTTGTGTTAGAAGTTTATTATTGTTCAGCTGACCCATAGTTCATACCAGATTTTTTTAATTCATGGGTCGGCCCACCAGTCCCCCCCCCCATATAAGCCAGGTATATGCTATGCCAATGTCAACATGTGCAATGACTTCCGGTCAAGCGTCCAGCTGCGCTAAGCATCTTAAGTCAGTCGTCTGCTGGTGTACCTGTTTGTATAGAGGCCTACATGGTTGTCATTTAATCCCATCTTTTTGTTGATGTTTTAATTTTTGCTAACCGCACTTCTGTAAGCCCCTTAACCAAACATGGAAGAGGTTTACCACTATTGGTAAACCCTTAACCAAACGGTTACAGATGTGGTTTACCAATGCTGTGTGTATACTTTACTGTATGTAGCGTGTGTGTGTTGTGTGTATATTGTACTGTTTGTAGCCAGTGTGTTGGGTGTGTGTGTTGTGTGTACACTGTACTGTGTGAAGCCTGTGTGTTGTGTGTATACTGTACTGTGTGTAGCCTGTGTGTTGTGTGTATACTGTACTGTGTGTAGCCTGTGTGTTGGATGTGTGTGTTGTGTATATGTACTGTGTGTACCTATGTGTTGTGTGTATACTGCACTGTGTGTAGCCTGTGTGTTGGATGTGTGTGTTGTGTATATGTACTGTGTGTACCTATGTGTTGTGTGTATACTGCACTGTGTGTAGCCTGTGTGTTGGTGTATACTGTACTGTGTGTAGCCTGTGTGTTGGGTGTGTGTTGTGTGTATACTGTACAGTGTGTAGCCTGTGAGTTGGGTGTGTGTTGTGTGTATACTGTACAATGTGTAGCCTGTGTGTTGGGTGTGTGTTGTGTGTATACTGTACTGTGTGTGATACCAATGTGACACCTGTCTGTCCCCCTGCCACAGGACCGACCCAGTACAAACGAAAAGACGTGGTGCCCCAGCCCAAGGTTCACGTGCTGTATTGCGCCAACCTATCCAACAACACGGGCTCCGAGCAGTGCTACTCCCTGACCAACGAGAGGTACACCCTCTCCAGGTGCAAGATCACCTACCAGAGGAACTTCAAGTACGGCGGCAAATGCGGCGTCTCCGCGGAGCTGCCCGGCGTCAAGACTGGCATGAAAGCTGACTTCACAGGGGAGGTGACCAAGTCTAAGGGTGGGTCTTTACAGGGGAGGTGACCAAGTCTAAGGCTGGGTCTTTACAGGGGAGTAGACCAAGTCTAAGGGTGGGTCTTTACAGGGGAGTAGACCAAGTCTAAGGGTGGGTCATTACAGGGGAGGTGACCAAGTCTAAGGGTGGGTCTTTACAGGGGAGTAGACCAAGTCTAAGGGTGGGTCTTCACAGGGGAGGTGACCAAGTCTAAAGGTGGGTCTTCACAGGGGAGGTGACCAAGTCTAAAGGTGGGTCTTTACAGGGGAGGAACTAGGTTTGTTCCCATTACGAATTTATCTAGACCTGGCACATGTTCCAATGGCTAGCTGAACTAGACGTGGCACATGTTCCAATGGCTAGCTGAACTAGACGTGGCACATGTTCCAATGGCTAGCTAGACCTGGAACATGTTCCAATGGCTAGCTGAACTAGACCTGGCACATGTTCCAATGGCTAGCTGAACTAGACGTGGCACATGTTCCAATGGCTAGCTGAACTAGACGTGGCACATGTTCCAATGGCTAGCTGAACTAGACGTGGCACATGTTCCAATGGCTAGCTGAACTAGACGTGGCACATGTTCCAATGGCTAGCTGAACTAGACCTAGCACATGTTCCAATGGCTAGCTAGACCTGGCACATGTTCCAATGGCTAGCTGAACTAGACCTGGCACATGTTCCAATGGCTAGCTGAACTAGACCTGGCACATGTACCAATGGCTAGCTGAACTAGACCTGGCACATGTTCCAATGGCTAGCTGAACTAGACCTGGCGCATGTTCCAATGGCTAGCTGAACTAGACCTGGCACATGTACCAATGGCTAGCTGAACTAGACCTGGCACATGTTCCAATGGCTAGCTGAACTAGACCTGACACATGTTCCAATGGCTAGCTGAACTAGACCTGGCACATGTTCCAATGGCTAGCTGAACTAGACCTGGCACATGTTCCAATGGCTAGCTGAACTAGACCTGGCACATGTTCCAATGGCTAGCTGAACTAGACCTGGCACATGTTCCAATGGCTAGCTGAACTAGACATGTTCCAATGGCTAGCTGAACTAGACATGGCACATGTTCCAATGGCTAGCTGAAGTAGACCTGGCACATGTTCCAATGGCTAGCTGAAGTAGACATGGCACATGTTCCAATGGCTAGCTGAACTAGACCTGGCACATGTTCCAATGGCTAGCTAGACCTGGCACATGTTCCAATGGCTAGCTGAACTAGACATGGCACATGTTCCAATGGCTAGCTGAACTAGACCTGGCACATGTTCCAATGGCTAGCTGAACTAGACCTGGCACATGTTCCAATGGCTAGCTGAACTAGACCAGGCACATGTTCCAATGGCTAGCTGAACTAGACCTGGCACATGTACTAATGGCTAGCTGAACTAGACCTGGAACATGTTCCAGTGGCTAGCTGAACTAGACCTGGAACATGTTCCAATGGCTAGCTTAACTAGACCTGGCACATGTTCCAATGGCTAGCTGAACTAGACCTGGCACATGTTCCAATGGCTAGCTGAACTAGACGTGGCACATGTTCCAATGGCTAGCTAGACCTGGAACATGTTCCAATGGCTAGCTGAACTAGACCTGGCACATGTTCCAATGGCTAGCTGAACTAGACCTGGAACATGTTCCAATGGCTAGCTAGACCTGGCACATGTTCCAATGGCTAGCTGAACTAGACCTGGCACATGTTCCAATGGCTAGCTGAACTAGACCTGGCACATGTTCCAATGGCTAGCATAACTAGACCTGGCACATGTTCCAATGGCTAGCTGAACTAGACCTGGCACATGTTCCAATGGCTAGCTAGACCTGGCACATGTTCCAATGGCTAGCTGAACTAGACCTGGCACATGTTCCAATGGCTAGCTGAACTAGACCTGCTGTCCGCACCATCCACAGGATCTGACGTGGAGAAGGAGCAGAAGTTGATCTGGTCAGTTAACAGCAGGTTGAGGGTCAAGCCCAACCAGACAGCCAAGGTAGAGATGGTCGTCAAGGAGCAGGAATTCAACGGGGACTTTGAGCAGCTCTGCACGTTTGATGGCTTCGTGAGTACACTCTTCTGTACATGTTCGATGGCTTAGTGTGTACACACTTCTGTACACGTTCGATGGCTTCGAGTGTACACACTTCTGTACACGTTCGATGGCTTCGTGTGTACACAACCCGCCTTTATATAACATCGTTGTACACAAAGTTAGTTTGCACTCAATGAGTACATGTTTGTATATACTTGTACGGTACACTTGAAGATTGGGTGTATGTGATGTAAACATGTGTACATGTAGAAGTATGACAAACGTGATAGTGTACATATAGAAGTTATGACAAACCTGAGTGTACATGTAGAAGGTATGACAAACGTGATAGTGTACATGTAGAAGTTATGACAAACCTGAGTGTACATGTAGAAGGTATGACAAACCTGAGTGTCCATCTGTACACGTAGAAGGTATGACAAACCTGAGTGTACACGTAGAAGGTATGACAAACCTGAGTGTGTACATGTAGAAGGTATGACAAACGTGATAGTGTACATGTAGAAGTTATGACAAACCTGAGTGTACATGTAGAAGGTATGACAAACCTGAGTGTCCATCTGTACACGTAGAAGGTATGACAAACCTGAGTGTACACGTAGAAGGTATGACAAACCTGAGTGTGTACATGTAGAAGGTATGACAAACCTGAGTGTGTACATGTAGAAGGTATGACAAACCTGAGAGTGTACATGTGTACATGTAGAAGGTATGACAAACTTGAGAGTGTCCATGTGTACATGTAGAAGGTATGACAAACGTGAGTGTACATGTGTACATGTAGAAGGTATGACAAACGTGAGAGTGTCCATGTGTACATGTAGAAGGTATGACAAACCTGAGAGTGTAGATGTGTACATGTAGAAGGTATGACAAACGTGAGAGTGTACATGTAGAAGGTATGACAAACCTGAGAGTGTCCATGTGTACATGTAGAAGGTATGACAAACGTGAGAGTGTAGATGTGTACATGTAGAAGGTATGACAAACGTGAGAGTGTACATGTAGAAGGTATGACAAACGTGATAGTGTACATGTGTACATGTAGAAGGTATGACAAACCTGAGTGTCCATGTGTACATGTAGAAGGTATGACAAACCTGAGTGTACATGTAGAAGTTATGACAAACCTGAGAGTGTCCATGTGTACATGTAGAAGGTAAGACAAACGTGATAGTGTACATGTGTACATGTAGAAGGTATGACAAACGTGAGTGTACATGTGTACATGTAGAAGGTATGACAAACCTGAGTGTCCATGTGTACATGTAGAAGGTATGACAAACCTGAGTGTACATGTAGAAGTTATGACAAACCTGAGAGTGTCCATGTGTACATGTAGAAGGTATGACAAACGTGAGTGTACATGTGTACATGTAGAAGGTATGACAAACCTGAGTGTCCATGTGTACATGTAGAAGGTATGACAAACCTGAGTGTACATGTAGAAGTTATGACAAACCTGAGAGTGTCCATGTGTACATGTAGAAGGTATGACAAACGTGAGTGTACATGTGTACATGTAGAAGGTATGACAAACGTGAGAGTGTACATGTAGAAGGTATGACAAACTTGAGAGTGTCCATGTGTACATGTAGAAGGTATGACAAACGTGAGAGTGTCCATGTGTACATGTAGAAGGTATGACAAACGTGAGTGTACATGTGTACATGTAGAAGGTATGACAAACGTGAGAGTGTACATGTAGAAGGTATGACAAACCTGAGTGTGTACATGTGTACATGTAGAAGGTATGACAAACGTGATAGTGTACATGTGTACATGTAGAAGGTATGACAAACTTGAGAGTGTCCATGTGTACATGTAGAAGGTATGACAAACGTGATAGTGTACATGTGTACATGTAGAAGTTATGACAAACCTGAGAGTGTCCATGTGTACATGTAGAAGGTATGACAAACGTGAGTGTACATGTGTACATGTAGAAGGTATGACAAACGTGAGAGTGTACATGTGTACATGTAGAAGGTATGACAAACCTGAGTGTGTACATGTGTACATGTAGAAGGTATGACAAACGTGAGAGTGTCCATGTGTACATGTAGAAGGTATGACAAACCTGAGTGTACATGTGTACATGTAGAAGGTATGACAAACGTGAGAGTGTACATGTGTACATGTAGAAGGTATGACACACCTGCATGTCCCCCAGAGATGCCTGTAACGCACCTACTCTTGCAGGTGACGCTGATGTACGTCAACAAAAAAGACCGCGAGCCCATCGTGTTCCTAGAGCTGACGGCTGCCGACATACTGACCAGCTGCCACGGGTTTCACCCTGACCATGACGGCAAGCCGACCTTTGTCATGAAGGGCACGTGTTCATGCAGGATGGCCGTGGAGCAGAGCATTTATGTGTCAGAGTCGTCGTCGGTCTAGTCTTAGTCCAGTTTTAGTCCAGTCTAGGTCCAGTTTTAGTACAGTCTAGGTACAGTTTTAGTACAGTCTAGGTCCAGTTTTAGTACAGTCTAGGTCCAGTTTTAGTACAGTCTGTGTCCAATCTAGATCCAATTTTAGCAGTCTTTGTCCAATCTAGGTCCAGTTTTAGTACATTCTTTGTCCAGTCTAGGTCCAGTTTTAGTGTAGTCTTTGACCAGTTTATGTCCAGTTTTAGTACAGTTTTTGTCCAGTTTTAGTCTAGTTAGTTTTTGTTCAGTTTTAGTTCAATATTTGTCCAGTTGTAGTCCAGTCTTAATCAAGTCCATTCTTTGTACAGTCTTTGTTCAGCCCATTCATAGTTCCAGGTTTAGACAACTCACGTGTCTAGGTTTAGACCATTCACGTGTCTAGGTTTAGACCATTCACGTGTCTAGGTTTAGACCATTCACGTGTCTAGGTTTAGACCATTCACGTGTCTAGGTTTAGACCATTCACGTGTCTAGGTTTAGACCATTCACGTGTCTAGGTTTAGACCATTCACGTGTCTAGGTTTAGACCACTCACGTGTCTAGATTTAGACCACTCACGTGTCTAGATTTAGACCATTCACGTGTCTAGGTTTAGACCATTCACGTGTCTAGGTTTAGACCATTCACGTGTCTAGGTTTAGACCACTCACGTGTCTAGATTTAGACCACTCACGTGTCTAGATTTAGACCACTCACGTGTCTAGGTTTAGACCACTGACGTGTCTAGGTTTAGACCAACATGACACAAGTCCGCTCACACTTTTGGTTATACTATCTGTCTAGTTTTGATTTAACATGCACATTTTTACAGAATATTTAGTTTTTTTCAGTTCTATTTTTAAGTTGTTTTAATACGCACTTCATACAAAAACACACACCACATGTAAAAGACGCAGCACACATATAACATAGCATATATACAACAGAGAGCACATTTTTAAGTTTTTTTGTTTTAATACACACTACATACAGAAAAACACACAGCACCACATATACAAACCGCATCACATATACAACACACAGCACATATACAACACACAGCACATATACAACACGCACCACATATGCAAATCGCATCACATATACAACACGCAGCACATATACAACACACAGCACATTTACAACCTTATACAGTAAAAAAAAATGCATTACATAAACAACACAAATACCATACAACCTATAAATAACACACATCATATATAAACATAGAACAAAACAATGAAATGGTTATTGTAGATCTCTTGTTTTACCTTCTACAAATGTTAGACAAGAAAATAGATTTTATGTTACACAAGTTCATGCAAGTTGTTTTAAAACTAATGTTGTATTTTTAGGTGCAATAAAAGTTTTCATGTTGAAATCTGTACAAGAAATTACGTGTGTTATTTACTTTCATCTGTGTTGTTGGTTTTAAGATTTTCTCAAGCCTGAATATAACGAGCAAACAAATATTTTAGACTATTACGTTCTGTGGGGCTATGGGAAAATAATATTTTAGACTATTAGGTTTTTTGTTTATGGTAAGGGCTATCTGGGTTTCTTGTAGTAGTTAAAATCTGTTTTTCCCTAAACGCCTAGGATTTCAATTCCACTACAAACCATTTGAAAGCCTGTTGAATTTTTCGACGTGTTGATAATTAGGAATAATGAATTCAAAACAAGCAGTTAGTACGCAGTGGCGGAACTAGAAAAAAAGGGCCACCCCGCAAAATTTTTTTAGCCCCCCCCTATATATATATATATATATATATATATATATATATATATATATATATATATATATATATATATATATATATTCAAACACAAAATACGAACATAAGATACTCATTGCTGGCCTGTTCGGGTTTAAATGGAATTTTTTTTTTATTAAAACAAATTACAACATCATGTCATGTGTGTAAGTGCATTAGTGTGTTTTGTGAAAATCAGTTTTATTTTATCTGTTATATGACCTGTGACCTCTAAGTCGGGCAAAAGAATATAAGCCATGCAAGCTTTGTACAAGTAATGGTGTCTCGTGTAATGTTTATTTTTATGTTTTTTTTTGTATTTATATTATTATTTTTGAATACATTTCCTTTTTATACAATGTCATTGTTTAGTAACTACTTTATAAAAAAATAATTAAGAGAAATAATTGTTTTTTAATTTGTTTAGTACAAATCGATTAAAAGGAGCCCTATTTGACTATTTAAAAAAAGGGAAATAAGTCATGGAAGTGGTTTGAACGTTTGTTATCTTTGATAAGTTTGATTGTAGGAGAAAGAGGACTCCGCTTTCACAGTGGTTTAAAAACAAAGGGAAAAAGAATATACAAGAGCGTGGGGTGGTGTCTATAGAATAAAGATAATCCAACCGCAGCTACAGTAATCTTTTTTTACAAAACAACCATCAAGTCAAAAATGCAAGAAAATAAAAAAAAAATTTAAGTATGAAAAAAATTAATATGGTCGGCTGTGGGCCCCTAAATGGCGTGGCCCCCCCCCCCCCCCCCCCCCCGCATTGTGGGGTCTGGCGGCACTGTAGTCCCGCCCCTGTTAGTACGTTATATGGGATAGAAATGGGTAAAAAAATCCTATATTTGTGCTGCGCTACACACTCCCCCTTGGAAACACAAACAAAATAAAACACAAGCTCACTTTGGTATTTCGAGTTTTAATATTAGTAACCTTCTCGTTAATTTGAATGAGTAATTAGATATTTGCTAGATTGAAAGTTATATATTAATGCAGTGTCAGCTAAGATGCACTTAAGAGAACAGAAAGACTTTGCTCGTATAGAAACAGTTTGAATCAAACAACAAACAGACATAGGAGAAATGAAAGTGATCTTTTATTGTTTTGGATACAACCAAGGGTGCATGAGCTTGTGGAACAGTGGCATGTTTTGAAAACATTGAACTTTTGATTACATTCATATTGATTGATTTTCTCGCTCGTTTCTATTTTATTTTAAAAACAGTTGAATGGAAATTTCCGATGCTTTTCGAAAGCGCTTTTGCACCGCACTAAATGAACTCAAATCCCGCTTACGCAAAAACACATTGAAAACAACTTAACTGTGAAATTTTTCGAATCAGTTTACCGTTGTTTTCCGTTCAATTCGTAGTTTATTAATTATCAATTTCCAGGTTAGCAAGTCCACTTTGTTTGGTGAAATTTTAGTTAATCTGATTATCAGGTAGCTAGACTACCTAAAATTCCAAACTCTTTTTTTATTATTTGTATTTAGAATCTAGATCTAGATCTAGATCTAGAATCTAGATCTAGATCTAGATATATTATTTTCGCAAAAATTACAACAAACTATCTCTTTAATAGACTTTAAGCTACGCTATCTAGATCTAGACATCTAGTAGGTGTATGTAGATCTAAAATATAAGCTGATCTAATCTAATACCTATGACTATTTTAGCCCAAATTTTAAACGGTAGGACTGTTTTTGCCAATGTCGCTCTTAGGATCAGTATAAGGTAAAGAACATGGTCAGGATTAAGATAAGGATCAGGTAGGGTTAACGGAAGGCTTAAAGCCCTATATGGCGTAGGACTTGAATGACGATACGAACTTTCCAAAATAGATTCACCAAGCCTCCGACGTCAGGTCATGTATGACTTTATGTCGCTCAGTCAAGCTACGGTCATTTTCCCAGTCTAACTTTAGCTCCACCTATTTTCCCAGTCTAGCTTCAGCCATTTTCCCAGTCTAGCTTCAGCCATTTTCCCAGTCTAGCTCCAGCCATTTTCCCAGTCTAGCTCCACCTATTTTCCCAGTCTAGCTTCAGCCATTTTCCCAGTCTAGCTTCAGCCATTTTCCCAGTCTAGCTCCACCTATTTTCCCAGTCTAGCTTCAGCCATTTTCCCAGTCTAGCTTCAGCCATTTTCCCAGTCTAGCTTCAGCCATTTTCCCAGTCTAGCTTCAGCCATTTTCCTAGTCTAGCTCCAATCATTTTCCCAGTCTAACTTTAGCTCCAACTATTTTCCCAGTCTAGCTTCTTCCATTTTCCTAGTCTAGCTTCAGCCATTTTCCCAGTCTAGCTCCAGCCATGCCATTCGAAGTCCTTGACTTGAACAAGATCTGTATCGATTACTTCAAGCCCTTGGTGCCACCAGAGAAGAAGAAATATATCGACTTCGACTCGGTGGAGGTCAACCTGGATTACATGACGGTCATGTACGGTAGGTCATAGGTCATCTGGTGGGTCAGTTGGTGGGTCAGTTGGTGGGTCAGTTAGTGGGTCATCTGGTGGGTCAGTTGGTAGGTCAGTTAGTGGGTCAGTTAGTGGGTCATCTGGTGGGTCAGTTGGTGGGTCATCTGGTGGGTCAGTTGGTGGGTCAGTTGGTGGGTCAGTGGGTGGGTCAGTTGGTGGGTCAGTTGGTGGGTCAGTTGGTAGGTCAGTTAGTGGGTCAGTTGGTGGGTCAGTTGGTGGGTCAGTTGGTGGGTCAGTTAGTGGGTCATCTGGTGGGTCAGTTGGTGGGTCATCTGGTGGGTCAGTTGGTGGGTCAGTTGGTGGGTCAGTTAGTGGGTCATCTGGTGGGTCAGTTGGTGGGTCATCTGGTGGGTCAGTTGGTGGGTCAGTTGGTGGGTCAGTGGGTGGGTCAGTTGGTGGGTCAGTTGGTGGGTCAGTTGGTAGGTCAGTTAGTGGGTCAGTTGGTGGGTCAGTTGGTGGGTCAGTTGGTGGGTCAGTTAGTGGGTCATCTGGTGGGTCAGTTGGTGGGTCATCTGGTGGGTCAGTCGGTGGGTCAGTTGGTGGGTCAGTTGGTGGGTCAGTTGGTGGGTCAGTTGGTGGGTCAGTTGGTGGGTCAGTTGGTGGGTCAGTTGGTGGGTCAGTTGGTGGGTCATCTGGTGGGTCAGTTAGTGGGTCAGTTGGTGGGTCAGTTGGTGGGTCAGTTGGTGGGTCATCTGGTGGGTCAGTTAGTGGGTCATCTGGTGGGTCAGTTGGTGGGTCATCTGGTGGGTCAGTCGGTGGGTCAGTTGGTGGGTCAGTCGGTGGGTCAGTTGGTGGGTCAGTTGGTGGGTCATCTGGTGGGTCATCTGGTGGGTCAGTTGGTGGGTCAGTTGGTGGGTCAGTTGGTGGGTCAGTTGGTGGGTCATCTGGTGGGTCAGTGGGTGGGTCAGTTGGTGGGTCAGTCGATGGGTCAGTTGGTGGGTCATCTGGTGGGTCAGTCGATGGGTCAGTTGGTGGGTCAGTTGGTGGGTCAGTTGGTGGGTCAGTTGGTGGGTCAGTTGGTGGGTCATCTGGTGGGTCAGTTGGTGGGTCAGTTGGTGGGTCAGTTGGTGGGTCAGTTGGTGGGTCAGTTAGTGGGTCAGTTAGTGGGTCATCTGGTGGGTCAGTTGGTGGGTCAGTTGGTGGGTCAGTTGGTGGGTCAGT